GATTGAACACCCATCCCTCTACCAGTGCACATTCTTCACCACCACTGTTCCCAGTAGCCCCCTCCCACCCAACCCAATCCTCCCCCTGCCTCTATGGCAGATAATTTCCCCCATCCTCTCTCTCTACTTTTGGGCATTATGGTCTGCAATATAGATACTGACAGGCCATTCACGTTTGGTCCGTTATCTACTTTCCGCACACATCTCCCATCCCGAGCGATCCCTCCAACCATCCTTGACTTAGTGGTCCCTTCTCTATCCCAGCTGCCTTCTCCTCCAGCTCATGAGACAGGCTTCCAACCGTGGAGCAATCTTCCTGGCCCTTGTGTCTGCTGTCCTTGGGTGTCCGTCTCATGTTATTTTATGTTCCACAAATGACACTCGCTCCTGATACCTTGTACACATCCGAGATGATGTTTGGACCGAAAAGACTTTCTCTGATCACAGAATCAATCCAGGGTGGAGTGGAGGCAGAGTCAATACAGGATGACTGTTTGTTGGGGAGTGAGACTTGTAGAAAATCCAGGTTTTTTTTTTTTTTTGAAGGGAAAGTAAGCTCAGAACTTACAACTGGCAGGGCACAGGGGAACCACATGGGGTGCTGGGAATCGAACCGGGGTTGGCCACGTGCGAGGCAAACGGCCTCCCCACTGTCCTGTCATTCCGGCCCCAGAAATGCCTATTGAAGATTCTGTGCCTTTTTCTGTGTTCTGTGCTCCAGGCCAGCCTCGCAAAGGGCTCGCTGTCATGCAGACTCTCCCTCCCTCCTCCCAACCCGTTTGCTCATCCATCACATGGCCTGCACCCGCTGCTCGTGGAGTGAGGTTTCTGGAAGTCACGCGTCTCAGCACTGGAATCGTGAAAGGTGGCAGTGAGCTGGCTGGGTACACCTGCCGCTCTGTGTGCGCCGCACCGAGACTCAAAAGTCAAAATCTGGGGCCAAGGAATGTAGCCCCGCGGAAGAGCACTGGCCTCGCATGGTGAAAGTCGGGCCTCAGGGAGTCGGAGCGGTAGCACTGCCAGCAGGGCACTTGCCTTGCACGCCGCCAACCCAGGTTCAATCCCTAGCATCCGTCAGCTCTCCAAGAGCGATTCCTAAGGGCAGAGTCAGGAAGAAGCCCTGAAAAGGGCATTGGTTTAGTCCCTGGCAGAGAGAGAGAGAGAGAGAGAGACACTCAGGGATGCAGCATAAGCACTGCACGGAGAGGACCCAAGTTTGCCGTGTTGGCCCGCCACATGCTCTCCTGAACCCTGTGGCCCTTGAGGCTGTTTGCCGACTGGTGGGAGCTTCACGTGTCCTTCCTTGCATCGGGCAGCACCCCAGGCCCGCAGTGCCATTTCTCTGCCCTTCTCAGAGCCCGCCTTCGCTCTCTGCTGAGCACAGTACCGTGAGCTTCCAAGGAATCAGCACAGCGCCCAGTGCCCCCCACGATGCCCTGCAGCGGCGCTGGGTCACCGCTATCATGACCCCCGTCTTACAGGCGGGAGGGGCATAGCAAGAAGGCGCCCCCCCCCCAGGCGCGTCCACAGGCAGGAGTTGGGACCCCATGTGACCCTACGGACACCTTTCAGGCTACCGCCCTGCCACCTGCCCGAGCGCCTGTCCTGCAGCCTCTCCGCACGCTGGGCTCTGCCGGCTGTGGGTGTGGAAGTATATTTCCGTATTTTTCTGGGCCTGTTAGGTATTGGGATTTCCTTTGGGGGTGCGTGAGCAGCTGTTCCCATGCCGGCTTTGGAATCGTCTCGGTCGGCCCCCTAGCGGGGTACAGAAGTTCTTTGTGTTCTCGACCAAGGCACCACGAGCCCCAGGTTGGCTTTTCAAAACTCGCTCATTCTAAATTTGTTGGGGGTTTTTTATGGGGGGGGGGTTTTTTTGTGAGTTTTGGACCACATCCAGTGGTCCTCAGGCCTTACTGCTGGCTCTGAGCTCAGGGATCGCTCCTGGCGGGCTTGGGGGACCATATGGGGTCCCAGGAGGGATCCAGGCCAGGTTGGCTGCGTGCGAGGCAAACGCCCTCCCTGCTGTCCTAATGCTCTGGCCCTCGCTTGTTCTAAGTTTCTTTTTTTTTGCTTTTTGGGTCACCCCCGGCAATGCACAGGGCTACTCCTGGCTCTGCACTCAGGAGTTACTCCTGGCGGTGCTCAGGGGACCATATGAGATGCTGGGAATCGAACCCGGGTCGGCCGTGTGCAAGGCAAATGCCCTACCCGCTGTGCTACCTCTCCAGCCCTTGTTCTAAGTCTTAAAGACTCCCATCAGATTTCCTGCATGAACAATCCTGTCATCTAAAAAACAGTTTTACTTTTTTCTTTCCAGTCTGGATTCTTTACCGCCACCCTCGTCTCTGTCTCTGTCTGTCTGTCTGTCTGTCCGTCTCTCTCACCAGTTAGAAAAAATAATATAGTTTGGGTTTTGTTTCTATTTTTTTGGTTTATGGGTCACACCCATCTGTGCTCAGGGCTTCCTACTGGCTTTGCATTCAAGAATCACTCCTGGCAAAGCCTGGGGTAGGGGCTAGGCCATATGGGGTGATGGGGATCTAACCTGGTCACTGCAAGGCAAGTGCCCCCCACGTCCCCCATGCTCTCCCCGACCCCCAGAAAATTTTCTGTGTCTGCCTTCTCCGGCAGGGTTTTTACTCCTCTTGATGAACTCATTCATCGTGCAGTTTTATTTATTTATTTGGCCTTTTGGGTCACACCAGCCAGAGTTCCTCCTGGCTCTGCACTCAGGAATTACTCCTGGTGGTGCTCAAGGGACCATATGGGATGCCGGGGATCGAACCCGGGGTCGGCCGTGTGCAGGGCACCCTACCCGCTGTATTGTCGCTCCAGCCCCTGGGTTCTGCCTTTCTAACGTGATTCTGCTTCGTAAGAGGAAACCACCTGGGGCCTGAAGGAACTGAGAGCAGCACGTAGCTGGCTGCCCCACCAGCAGAGAAACACATGTCCCCACATTGTCCACCCTTTCATCTCGACCACCTCACTGCCTCACAGCCTCACCTGGGAGCCCCGGGCCTCGCACTCGGGCCTTGCGTGTGTAGGCATGTGTTGGCATGCTTGTGCTCTCCCCGTGGGTCACGTCCTGCCCCCTTACTTGTGCCTTTGCTCATGCCCCGAGTCTGCTCAGAAGCACCCGCAGATCAGTCCAAAGGTGGGAGCTGTTGGCTGGGAAGCGGGACCCTCGCTGGGCAGACCCGCGGGCAGGAAGGAGACCGGCCCAGCCCTCGGCTCTTCCCGCTCCCTTTCTTTCCTATGTGGCTTGAAAACGTGCCCAGCTCTGTGGCGAGCTGCGTTTCTTTTCTTTCTTTCTTTTTTTTTTTTTTTTTTTTTTTGTTTGCCAATGTCTCCGGTCTTTTTCTCGCATGTGGTGGTGCTGTGCGCTCGGCGCTGCCCTGCCTCAGCCGCTCACATGCTCCCGCCAGAGTCACACCTCCCGCCGGTGGCGCTGGCTCGGGTCTCTCCAGCTGTGGTGCTCGGGGGTCACAGCCCGCCGTGTGCTGCCTTGAGCCCAGGACCGGGGGCTTGTCCCCCAGGTGTGCTGAGCCCGCGTGCTCCTGTGGACCCGAGCTCCTGGTGGAGCTGGACAGAACCAGGACCCCTGGGGGCCAGCTCACCCCTGCGCTCCAGGAAACGAGGCTGGTGAAGCCGCGGGTGGGTGCAGGGGGAGGCTTGGGGGACCCCAGCGTGACGCCGGTGGCTTTTGTTCATCAGGCTTGAGCATGCGCAGAAGCAGCGGGCTGGGCTGGCACCCGGTGGCAATTCTGCCGGGGCTTCCCAGGGGAGCCTGTTTTCCTGCCTTTCCTGGCTCCTAGCAGCCACCATAGTTCTTGACTTCTCGCCCCTTTATCTCCAAAGCCGATGGCCCCCCTTCCCTGCTGCTGCCCCCGTCACCGTCTGCTCCGACGCGCACCTTCCTCCGTCCAAGACTGTTGTTGGTCCAGCCAGCTAGCCAGGAGAGTTGCCCCGCGGGGTGGGGGTGGGGGTGCGTGGGTGACCGGCTCTGGGTCTTTAGCTTCATCACATCCACAAAGGCCCTTTGTACCTGCACCAGCTCCCTTCGGATCTGGAATCGGAGACGGTGTTTGGGGAGCAACACGGGTCGTGGGGGGGCCCAGCTGGCTGCTCGAGGTCAGCCCCAGTTATGGTGCCTGTGTGGTCCACAGCATCACCCCCTTCGGCTCTGGGGGATCACACACACATACACACTCACTCACACACACTCACACACACACACACACACACACACACACACACACTCTACTGTCAGCTCTCTTCTCTTTGGGGTGCACACGTGCGTCTGAGTAAAGTGTGGAGGTTGTATGAATTAATTCAGCTTTAAAGCAAGGAGCGAGGCTCTGCTCGGCTTCCCTTTGCGTTAGCAGATCTCAGGAAGGACTTGCTGCAGCCACAGTGGTCACACCAACAAAGGGAGGTGCAGGGGGTGAGATGGTCCAGGCTAGACTGAGGCCTGCGGTTTCCCTGCCCCCTCACGAGTCTGTCACGTCTCGCCCTATATCCCGGTTCGCGTGCTTAGCTAGCAACCGCCTCGGGAAGTTGTTAAACGCTGTCGCTGAGTACCCGGAGCTGGGGGGTGGGTGGCCCAGGTTCCCTCGGGCAGCCACGGAGACCCCTGAGTCTCCTGCCCCGGCACCAGCCGTCACATTCACCCTGAGAGCTGCGGAGGTCACGGGTTTTCTCTGCACCGTCTGGGCGCTTCAGTGCCACCTGGTCCTGGGGGTAGGGGGGCACGGGGGCTCCCTCCCGTCACTGCTCGTGGTCTTCAGGTGGTCTCCGGTGCCTGCGGGGACTGGGTGGGCGATGCCGGGCTCGGAGCTGGGCTCCCTCCCCCACACCTCCCGCGGCCGGGACAGCCGGGCCCCCTCGGAGGTCGGTGGCGTGGATCGGGTGGGTGCCAGGCCAGGCTCTCCGGAGGGCCGGTCTGCCCTGACCTGTCCGCGCATCCCTGACCTTTGACCCTCTCTTCTGACACTCCCCAGGCTCTTCAGCTTGACCCTGAAGAAGCTCGTCATGCTCAAAGAGATGGACAAGGACCTCAACTCGGTGGTCATCGCTGTGAAGCTGCAGGTAAGCCGAGCACCGCTGTCCCCCGGGGCCCAGGCATGGGGCCACTTTGCCGCCAGTTGAAGCTTCAGAAATATTCACTGTGGGGGGAGGATGGGGAGCCGGCTCCGACACCACACACAGCAGGCCTGGGCTTGATCCCAAGTGCCCCGAGCACCCCCAAGAGCAACCCGTCCCCACGCCTGGAGCAGGAGCCGCCGCCCCCCACACTCCTGGGAGAACCCCCCAATAAAAGAACAGTCTAGCAACACTTGCCAGTTCTACCCCTCATTAATGTTCCCGCTGACCTTCCACCTTCCCACCTCTCTTAAAAATGGTTCCTGCTGGGCCAGAGATATAGCACAGCAGGGAGGACATTTGTCTTGCATGCAACTGACCCGGGGACCCCCCTCTCCCCCCCCCATCCCATATGGTCCCCGAGCACTGCCAGGAGTGATCCCTGAGCACAGAGCCAGGAGTGACCCCCTCAGCACCGCTGGGTATTTCCCCCCTGCCCCTCAAAAAGAAAAGGAGAGAGAGAGAGAGAGAGGATGGAAGGAAGGAAGGAAGGAAGGAAGGAAGGAAGGAAGGAAGGAAGGGAGGGAGGGAGGGAGGGAGGGAGGGAAAGAATAGGGCTGGAGCAATAGCACAGCCGGTAGGGCGTTTACCTTGCACACGACCAACCCAGGTTCGATTCCCAGCTATCCCATGTGGTCTCCTGAGCACCGCCAGAGTAACTCCTGAGTGCAGAGCCAGGAGTAACGCCTGTGCATTGCCAGGTATGACCCAAAAAGAAAAGAGAGAGAGAGAGAGAGAGAACCTCCCTGCTGTGGTACCTGACAGCGTGAGTTTGGAGATAGGTTCCCAAGTGCATTAAACTGCTCAAAAAGAAAGAAAAACCAGTGGGGAAGGTCTTTGGAGGTTTCCTGTAGAAGGAACTTAGAGATCTGCTTTCGAATTTCACCACGTAAGACTTGCCGGCAGACGTCCCGCTGCGGATAAATCCCCCGCTCCTGTACACTTACCCCCCCGCCCCCCCCCCGCCCCCCCCCCCCCCCCCCCCGTCAGAGCTGCTGACCTGGGGCCCCCTCAGCTCTGCTCCCACCGCCCTTCCTGTTTCCCGTCATGCCTCCCAGAACTTCCTGAGTCTTAGGGGTCTTTGGGCCCATCCTTAAGGACCCAATGCTGGGTTTAGGGGCCCCGTGGGAGGGGCCCAGCACCCCTGCCCTAGACACCCCCAGCACCTCTCCCCATCCCTGCCCTAGGCACCCCCAGCACCCCTCTCCCCACCCCTGCCCGCCTTTCTAACTCACTTCTCAGCTAGGTGCAAAATTCCTCCCGACCCTGTGAGACCTTCCCAGACACTCCAGTGTGGGCGATGATGTGCCAGGGGAGCTGTTGAGTGTCTGCCCCCCTTTCCCGGCCTCCCCCCAGTTCTCGGTCACAGGAAATGCCCCAGTTTTCAGGAATTGTGTCCTCTGAGCCGTTGCTTTCCAAAGCAGGAGCCCTTTGAGGCAGGTTTAAAAAGTCTCTGCCACTTCGCCGGTCCCCACAGTTCCACGCCACTGCCAACAGAAATCGTGTCTTTTATTTCCCGATTAAATATTTAACATACTGTAAAATTTTAAATTACACCCAAAGCCTCCAAATGCCCTGAATTTTTCATCTCTGTACTCCCTGGCGGCTGAAAGTAATTACAGATGTGATCGGGTTCATTTATGCAGACACTTATTTATTCATTTAATAAATATTTATCGAGGCTCTGCTCCGTGCCAAGTTCTAGGCGCAGGGAGCGAGAGCAGTGCAGGGAGCAGGCCAGGAGGGCACGTGGGCGCGGGGGTAGGCGGCGGCACTCAAAACGGGCTCCCTGGGCCCCGGGACCACTTTGGCGTGGGGGGTTCCATGAGGCGAGGAATCGGGGGGGGGGGGGTTCTGCCCGGACGTGCTGCGGTTGGCTTTGTGTGTGCCGGAGCGCTGGTTGTGGAAGAGCAGAGAGCGGCCGTGCTAGGCATCGTCCCCCTAGGGACCTAGAGTCCAGGGCCGCTGCTGCCCACCTGCGGCAGCCTTTCGTTTCCTTGTCTCCCCGCTGGGGGGCGCAGGGGAGCTGCCGGCCTCGCGCCTGGCTCAGCGTCTGCTGGAAAGGACAAAGCCGTTCCCCAGGCAGGTGGGAGCAAAGCGAGGTGCGTCGGGGCAGGAATAAGCAGACATTGGGCTCTCAAGGGGGGTCTGGTTTGCAGAATGCGGGGGGAGCCCTGCCCCTTGGGGACAGGGACAGGGTGACGGGAACCAACAGTTCTCCCACAGGGTCCTGCACACGCTCACAACAGCACTAACTCGGGACCGTGGAGAAACGGCCCGAGCTCGTTTGACTGGCGAGTGGGTTTAGAAAATGTGATTCAGCCACATTTTATATTAGACAAGGGGCCGATAGCACAAAGGACAGGGCGCTGGCTTTGATAGCGGGCGACCCGGGTTCGATCCCCGGCATCCCATTTGGTCCCCCGAGCACTGCCAGGACTGATTCCTGAGTGCAGAGCCAAGAGTAATCCCTGTGCATCGCTGGGTGTGACCCAAAAAGCCAAAGAAAAAATCAAAATATTAGACAATAAGAAATAATCCAGGGGCCAGAGACCTCGCACCCGTGTTAAGGCTCTTTCCTTAAACATCCCCCCAGCCTGGCTTCCATCTGCCACTGTGTAGGATGCCCTGAGTGCTGCCAGGAGTGACCCTTGAGCATAGAACCAGGGGTAAGCCCTGAGCTCAGGTCAGGTGTGACCCAGAACCAAAATAATTCTAACAGTAATAATGGTCCAGGGCTGGAGAGAGAGTCTGGTCAGCCGGCCCGCGGCCTCTGAGACAGGAAGCTGACCAGCAGTGGGTGAGGTAGGGGCCGGGAAGGGGGAACAGGCCCCAGGGAGCCCTGCTGCATGGTCGGGCAACTGCGGAAAGAAGTTTGGAAAGAAGAAATTTCCCAGTTAAGACTCACCTGGCAGACCTCGGTCTCTGACGTCTCTTCACTATTTACAAAATCCGCTCAGAAGAATAACCTCAAACTGACACCATCATGTAAATGAACATGAACTGGAGCTGTTAACAAAAAGATTGTGTTGGGGATAAATTGTTTTGAGAACCAGCTGCTTGCCCCTTGGAATAAAAATAGCTGTGTTGGGGGCTGGAACAATAGCACAGCGGGTAGGGCGTTTGCCCACCCGGGTTCGATTCCCAGCATCCCATATGGTCCCCTGAGCACCACCAGGGCTAATTCCTGAATGCAGAGCCAGGAGTAAGCCCTGCGCATCGCCGGTGTGACCCAAAAAGCAAAAAAAAAATAATTAAAAAAAAAAGCCGTGTTAAAAACTAACAAGGTGCCAGAGCGATAGCACAGCAGGGAGGGCGCTCACCGTGCACGCAGCCAACCCGGGTTCAATTCCGGCATCCCACATGGTCCCCCAAGCACCACCAGGAGTGATACCTGAGTGCAGAGCCAGGAGAAACCCCTGAGCATCACCAGGTGTGCACCCCCCCCCCCCCCCCGCAAACAAAACCAAAAAACCCTGATGATGAAAGGGGCAGCCTGAGTGTGTCTACCTCAGAGAGAGAGGCCTGGACTGGCGGGAAGGACGGGCAGATGGGAACCTTCACCTTGGCATCGCACGGCCCCCTGAGTGGGCGCGTTTGCCACCGGGATCTCTGTACTTAGAACAGAACACAGGCAGGACAGGGGCTGGCGGGCCTCAGCCTTTTGCTGTTTTCTTGCTCTCTCCTGGATAGCATTCACCAAGGTCACCGTGTGACCCCTGAGCCACTCCCTAACCTCTCTGCTGTTCTGTCTTTTATTTATTTATTTATTTATTTATTGCTTTTTGGGTCACACCCGGCAATGCACAGGGGTTACTCCTGGTTCTGCACTCAGGAATTACTCCTGGCGGTGCTCAGGGGACCATATGGATGCTGGGAATCAAACCCAGGTTGGCCGCATGCTAGGCAAATGCCCTACCCGCTGTGCTATCGCTCCAGCCCCATGTTCTGTCTTTTAATTTAGAAAAAGTTTTGCCCAACTCTTTTTTTTTTTTAATTTTCTGGGTTTGGGGAGGTGTTTGCAGTGCTCAGAGGCTGACTCCTGGCTATGCACTCAAGGATCACTCCTGGCAGGCTGAGGAACCTTACGGGGTCCCAAGGATTGACCCCAGGTCACATTCGTGCAAGGCAAACGCCTTCCCCGCTACACTATTGCTCCGGCCTCCCAGCTCTGTGTGTCAGCAACACTGTCCGGTCGGAAGAGGGCTGAGTGGATGAGTGGAGAGGCTGTGTGTTGGGGGAGGGGCGTGGCTAATCTGTGGGGACACGAGGCCTCCTGAGAAGAGCCACCTGCAGGAGCAGGGGCTGCCACGGGGCCCCCGGGGACACACACTGCCTGCCCCTTGGGAGTCACCGAGAACTCAGGGTGGCACACAGCAGTGAGAGCCGGGAAGGACGGTCCCAAGGGCACATGCGGAGACGCGGCTCCATCCCAGCACCGTCAGGGGCACCTCTGAGCTCTGAGCCCGGGTACCCCACCCAGTGGGTGCAAGTGATCACAGGGGCTGGAATGATGGACAGTGGGGAAGGCGCTGGCCTTGCGCATAACCGATCAGGGTCTATCCCCAAGACCATATAATCCCTTGAGAACCCAGGAGTCAGCCCTGAGCACAGAGCCAGGAGTCAGCCCTGAGCACGCTGGGTTGGCCCAACCCTTTCCCATCTCACACACACACACACACACACACACACACTCACACACACACACACACACACACACACACACACACAATACCAGAAGATTTGCTAGTGAAAACCCTCATGGGCGGGGCTGGAGCGATAGTACAGCGTGTAGGGCGTTTGCTCGTTCGATCCCCGGCATCCCATAGGGTCCCCGGAGCACCGCCAGAAGTAATTCCTGAGTGCAGAGCCGGAAGTGACCCCTGAGCACTGCTGGGTGTGACCTAAAAAGAAAAAAAGAAAACCCTCATGAGCAGGGCCCACACTGTTGCCTCCGAAGTGACCCAGGCTCGGTCTCGGGGCCAGCCCAGACACTGACACCCGACGCAGCGTCTCCGGGGCCACCTCCAGTGGCTCAGCTCCGACCTGGGTTTGCCTTGGTTCCAGGGCTCCAAGAGGATCCTCCGCTCCAACGAGATCATCCTGCCGGCCAGCGGGCTGGTGGAGGCCGAGCTCCAGCTCACCTTCTCCCTGCAGGTGAGGCCACAGCTGGGCTTCTAACGCTCCGGGGGCTCGGGAGTCGCCTTCCTCAGATGCGCAGGTGCACCCCTTCCTTACCGTGGCCCCGCCCTTCCCTTCTCCCCGGGTCCAGAGCACCGTGTCTCGGGTGCCTCTCAACCGTGCTCCGTGTCTCGTCATATTGGCATCTCTAACTTAAAACACATCCAGAAAGTTCGAAGGGGCTGGAGCTGCCGTAAGGTGCTCGCCTCGCACACGGCTGACCTGGGTTCGAGCCCCGGCATCCCATAAGGTCCCCTGAGATCTTCCAGGATGACTCCTAAGTGCAAAGCCAGGAGTTTGCTTGGTGCTGCCCCCTCCCCCAAATAAAAGGGAGGGAGGGAGGGAGGGAGAGAAGGAAGCTGTTTTCCAACTGTGCGTGGGCTGTGTGGAAGTCGGGGGCCCCCCGCCAGACACTCCTGGCACCTTCGCGTTCCCTCGCTTCCCCACACCCCTTCTCCCACCTCCTGATGCGAGAGAGGCCTCCAGCCAGCCGGCTAACCAGGCTGAACTCGGGCTTGTTCTTGGTAGTACCCTCATTTCCTGAAGCGAGATGCCAACAAGCTGCAGATCATGTTGCAGAGGAGAAAGCGCTACAAGAACCGGACCATCTTGGGCTACAAGACGCTGGCCGTGGGGCTCATCAACATGGCAGAGGTGAGGGACCGCGCGCGCCTCGGGCAAACGCCAAGCGTGTCGTGCGTCTCCCGGGTTCATCCGAGTTTGTCCCTGTGTCTCCCGGGTCCTCTCTTGCCTGGGGCGGGGCTCGGCCTTGCACAGGTGAGACCCTGGCTTCTATTCCCACACCTCAAAAGAAAAAAAAATTGTTAGGGCTGGAGCGATAGCACAGCTGAGAGGGTGTTTGCCTTGCACGTGGCTGATGTGGGTTCTATCCCTGGCATCCCATATGGTCCTCTGAGCACCACGGGGAGTAATTCCCAAGTGCAGAGCCAGGAGTTACCCCTGAGCATCACAGGTATGACCCAAAAAGGAAAAAAAAAAAAATATATATATATATATATATATGTATTCCTGAGCCAGCAATAACCCCCTGAGCATCTCTGGATTTTGCCCAAATTAAAAAAAAAATTAAGGAGCCAGAGCAATAGTGTAGGGGGGATGGCATTTGCCTTGCACGCAACCGACCCAGGTTCAATCTCTGGCATCCCATATGGTCCCCTGAGCATTGCCAGGAGTGATGCCTGAGTGCAGAGCCAGGAGTAACCCCTGAGCATTGCCGGGTGTGACCCAAAAGAGGGGGGAAAAAAAACCAAAATTGGTAATTATATACTTGAAAATACATATATATTTTAAACGCAAGTTCATTCTTTATTTGGAAACCCAAGATGTGCTCCTTTATATAAAGTATTTTCTCACTCATGTAAATTTTTTTCTTTATTTTAAAATGTTTCACGGGGGCTGCGTCTGAGTGACAGTACAGCGGGCTGAGTGCTCGCCTTGCAGGCGACCAACTCAGATTCAGTCCCCAGCTTCACAAGCACCACCAGGAGCAGTTCAGAGCACAGAGCCAGGAGTAAGCCCTGAGCATCACCAAGTGTGGCCCCAAAACCAAAACAAATAAACGAAAGGTTTCGTGGGAGCCAGAGAGAGATACGGGAGTTAAGGAACTTGCCGCGCATGTAGCCAACCCTGGGACCCCATGTGGTCCCCCAAGTACCACCACAAGTGAACTCTGAGCACAGAGCCAAGAGTAAACCCTGAGCACTGCTGGATATGGCCCCAAACCCCAAAGTTTCATGTGCCCAAGTAATAGAACTGAGGTTAAAGCACTTGCCTTGTACATAGCCAACCTGGGCGCCAGCACCCCATATGGTCCCCCCTGCCTCGTCAGGAGTGACCCCGAGCACCTCCAGGTGTGGCCCCACAACGTTTCCACTTGGCTGGGGAGATAGTTCAGTGGCAGGACACAGGCCTCACTTATATGAGGCTCTGGGTTGGATCCTTGTCACAAAAGAATATATATGTTCTATATTCTATATATAATTTATAGAAAAATTGTAAGATTAGAAAAACGAATTCCCTATAGGCCGGAGAGACGGCACAGGGGTGAAGGCACTTGCCTTGCATGCAGCCGACCCCAGTTCAGTCCCCCGGCATCGTATCCGGTACCTCGGCCCCTCCAGGAACGACCCCTGAGTGTAGAGCCTGAAGTAGACCCTGAGTAACACGGCGCGTCCCCGAAATCCAGATTCCCCCATAACCTTCACCCATGCTCTTGAGTGTCCTTTCACGTGGCGGAGCATCTCGAACCCCGCAGCGAGGCGCCCGCAGGTGGAGCTGGCATCTCCAGGCATACACCCGCTCTCTGCAGCCCACCGCAGGCCCTTGTCCCGGGCCTCTTCCCGCCGCGGTCCTAGCAGGGAGGAGGGGGCTCCGTCAGCTCAGAGCTTCTTCCCGCATGGCCGTGGCCTTGGAGAATGGGGTGTGCGCGGGGTCCACCGGCCCTGTCCTCTCCGGGCGTGCAGGCATAGGATGGAGACCAGCGGCCCGCCCCCTCCCCGCCCCCCAGGGTCCCTTTTCCGCACCCCTCGGCTCCAGGCCTCCTGTTCAGTGCGGCTTCGCAGGCAGGGGCGGCCCAGGACAGCATCTGGAGGGTGGCCGAGAGGTGGCCGTTGGCATTTGGGGCGGGGAGGGGGCGGGCGGCCACAGGTGCCCCGTAAGCACAGCCCCTCCCCGCCAGGTGATGCAGCACCCAAACGAGGGCGCCCTGGTGCTGGGCCTGCACAGCAACGTCAAGGACGTGTCCGTGCCCGTGGCCGAGATCAAGATCTACTCCCTGTCCAGCCAGCCCATCGACCACGAGGGCATCAAGTCCAAGCTCTCAGGTAGGGGACACGGCCCTCGCCTCCGCCCACCCCAGTGGGAGCAAGTGCCCCCCACTGCCAACACTGCGCAGCTGCCCCCCAACACAAACACACACACACACACACCAGCACCAACACACACACCAACATACAAACGCACCAACACACTCCAACTCCAACACACATGCACCAACACACACCCCAACACATACACACCCCAGCACACGTATCAAAACACACATGCAGCAACAGACCAACACACACACCCCAGCACATACCAGCACACACACACGCGCGCACCAACACACACGTACCAGATGCACACGTACACACCAGCACACAGTGTACACAAACACAACACCCCAACACACACATATACACCCCAGAATACACACACACATTGCGCCGCACCTGAGCTGACCAGGGGCTCACGCGTCTCCCTGCAGACCGCTCTCCCGACATCGACAATTACTCCGAAGAGGAGGAGGAGAGCTTCTCCTCGGAGCAGGAGGGCAGTGACGACCCGCTGCACGGGCAGGTACCTGGGCCCGGGATGGTGGGGGGGCGGGGAGAGGCCGGCCCCCGCCTGCCGGCACCCCCAACCCAATCCCCGCCCCTCCCTTCCCCAGGACCTGTTCTATGAAGATGAGGATCTGCGCAAAGTCAAGAAGACGCGGAGGAAACTCGCCTCCACCTCCGCCATCACCAGGGTGCGCCAGGCGGCCAGGGGTGCAGGGCCCCACTTTCGACTGTCCAGGGAGCTATCGGCCAGTGCCTGGGGCTGGGTTTTCGCCGGGTTTGCTGTCGGGGCGTGCCCAGCAGTGCTGGGGGTCATGCCCGGCTCCCTGGCCGTGCCTGCAGGCCTGAAGCTGTGGGTTCAGGAGAGTCCCTGTGACCTGGGTGTCTGTCCCGTGTGGGCACTCATGCCAGGCCCCTCGTGAGTGTCAGCATGACCTGGCCCATGGTTCCCGGGCCAAAGAGGGAACCTCCCTTTGCCCAACGCGCCTGATTCTCTCCCGCCCAGAGGTGGGCCAGAACCCAGGGGCCTGCCATCCCCACGCGTCCTCGGGCTCCAGCAACAACAGCCACCGTCTCACCGTGCTCTGGTCCACAAGGTCGGGAGCACAGTGCCGCGGGCTGGGAGACCGCAGCTGCTCCTTGACTGGTGGCCCTGCCCTGGCCCCGTGGGTTTCCTCTGAGGTGTCCTTGGACTTCATGCATCACCCTCGGGGCGTGACCAGCACCAGCCCCTTTAGCCCTGAGAGAACAGTCTGGCCTGCATTAGCCGTAGGGCGCGAGCAGGGCTGCCCAGCGTCGGGGAGCCCAGAGTCCAGGCACAGACGTGTTTGCAGAAGGGCCGGGTGCAGGGGTGGGGTGGCAAGCCCCTGAGCAGGAGTGAGGGGCTACCATGGGGGGGGGGGGTTGGCAGCTGAAGGAGGGAGAGGGACCACCCGCGGCCCCCGCTGTCCAGTGCCCTCCTGAAGGTGGGTGTCGGGCAGGGGGCCGAGGCTGCCGCCTGTAGGCCTAACACAGACACGGGCAGCACCCGCCGCTCTCCCGTGGCTCGTGTCGTGGTGGGAGCGGCCTTGCCTCCTGGTCCTTGGGTCCCCGCCCAGCATCGGGGGGGGGGGGGGCGCTGGCCCTGATGGCAATGCCCGTCTCACTTCTCCCGCAGCAACCCAACATCAAGCAGAAGTTTGTGGCCCTCCTGAAGCGCTTCAAGGTGTCGGATGAGGTACGGCCGCTCCCGGGGCGCCTTCTAGCCTGTGCTGAGGGTCGGCTGGAGGCCAGCCCGGGCCGTGAGGAGAACCGGGAGGATGTCACGCAGTCTGGGAGATACTGTGGGGTTTCTTGCTTGGGGGCCACACACGGTGGCCTGACTCGGCCCAGGAGACCATATGGGGCGCTGGGGAGAGAATCTGGGTTGTCCGAGTGCCCTGCCCACTCTAATGTCGTTCTGGTCTCCGAGATGGGGCTCCGGCCACCCCTCCAGCGAGCAGCTCCAGCCCTGGCACCGCCACGGTCACTGGCCCATGTCCATTCTGCCGCTTCTGTGGGGAGCCGTGTCCTCGCGGTCAGCTTGGGTGGCCGGAGACGGCCCTGTCTGTCGGGGGCCAGGATGGAGCCTAACTTGCCATCACGGCTGTCTCGCTTGTTTGCCTCGTTCTCAAGGAGGCTATGAGCTCTTGGCCATTGTCCACGGCCCCCAGGCTCAGAGTGTCCACCCGCGAGGCCTCCCCAGGCCTGCCTGAGGGTCCGACAGGAGCAGACACAGAGGCTCCCGACCCTTGGCCGAGGTTTGCATTTCGGCGCAGGTGGGCTTCGGGCTGGAGCACGTGTCGCGGGAGCAGATCCGGGAGGTGGAGGAAGACTTGGACGAGCTGTACGACAGCCTGGAGATGTACAACCCCAGCGACAGCGGCCCCGAGATGGAGGAGACCGAGAGCATCCTCAGCACCCCCAAGCCCAAGCTCAAGTAGGGCCCGCGGGGGGCGGGGGCGGCCGTGCTCCTGCGGGCAGTGGTGCTCCCGGGGCAGCCATGCCAGCCCATTGGCCCTGACCCCAACCCCGCTCCTCTGCTCAGGCCCTTCTTCGAGGGGATGTCTCAGTCCAGCTCGCAGACGGAGATCGGCAGCCTTAACAGCAAGGGCAGCCTCGGCAAAGACACCCCCAGCCCGGTGAGCGAGACCAGGGACAGGCGGGCCCGGGCCAGCCAGGGTCGGAGCCAGCCCCGGGCAGGTGTCATGTGCTCTCCTCAGCCCAAACCGCAGTGTGTGCGGGGGAGGTTGTTCCCTGAGTCGGCTCCTGGTGGCCTCTGGCCGCTGTGAGTCTGTACCGGCAGAAGCCGGGATGCCGCCCACGGCTGTTCAGGAGGCAGGACTTAGGCGTTGTCCTTAAGGGACTCTTCCCTCCAAGGGTTTAGAATTGGGGCTGGAACGATCGTTCAGCGGGGAGGGCGTTTGCCTTGCATGCGGCCAACCCAGGTTCGATCCCCGGCATCCCATAGGGTCCCCCGAGCACTGCCAGGAGTAACTCCTGAGTGCAGAGCCAGGAGTGACCTTAATCTAGCCAGGTGTGACTCAAAAAGAAAAAAAAAAAAAAAAAGGCCCTGGACCCCGCGTGTCCCCACTGGGCTGGCCTGGCTGTAGCCAAGGTCCCAGATACCCAGGCAGGAAAAGCTGGCACTTGACCCCGGGCCAGTTCCTGCCCAAAGTCCCGTTTCTTTTCCAGAGCTCCCCCTATTCTTGCCGCATTAGCCTCGGGACCCCAACCCCACCCTGTGCTGCCTGAGATCCTCCTTGGGGTGGAATGATGGGGGGGAGGCAGGGAGGCGGGCTGCTCCCCCGCCCAAGCCACTCACAGGCTGCCTGGCCACCTGCTGCCACCAGGGGGAGCTGTCTTCCACGTCATCCCAGTTCAGGTGCAGCCTCACCGGGGCCCAGATTCCACACCCCAAGTGAATGAGGAACAGGGGGTGAGACAGACACCCACCTCCAGGACATGCCCCAGAGCTGCCCCTGGCCCACCCTGTGTGCTTAGGCCTAGGGGGCACCCTGGGGCATGCAGAGAGAGGGCCCAGAGGGAGCTGGGCCATGTGGGAAGGGGCGCCCCTCGGCCCGGCCAGCAGTAGCTTCTGCTCAGGTCTCCACCTGAGAGAGTCCAGCAGTGCATTGTGCCCGAGGGTCGCGGGCCTGGTTTCTGAGGTTGAGTGTGAATTGGAGACCGAGTCGGGTGAAGGCCTCCAGTGAGGGGGCTTGGAGTCCATCCCTAACACCACAGACACAAAAGCAGTGAATTATCAACTTTACATTACGGTAGTTGGGGCCAGAGAGGTAGTACAGTGGGTAGGGCGCTTGCTTTGCATACAGCCAACCCAGGGTCGGTCCCTGACACCCCTTATGGGTCTTCAAGCCCCACCACAATGTTGTCTGAGCACTGAGCCAGGAGTAAGCCCTGAGCACAGTCAGGTGGCAGGATTTGTGCAGCTGTGACTTGCCGTGGGCCTTGAAGGGCCCAGGTCTGAGCCCCAGCACCACAATTAATAAATAACAAACTATGGCAGTCTGAGGGTCCCTGTGGACCAGGTGAGCACTGGGGTGAGAGCACTGACCTGGAGCACTGACCTGGAGGCAGCTTGCTGAGTCTAGCCTGGCTTCTGCCTCCACACTCACCCCATTCCCTTCCCCGTCGACAAAATACAGATGCTGGGGGCCAGGGAGGGTCCACAGAGACTTGGAGAGCTGACGCGGGTGGGAGGTTGGACCCCAGTGGCCTTGGATCTGCTCCCTCGGGCCCCGGATCCAGCAGGTACTGCCTTTTCTGCGAGCCCGGCGGGTGGGTTCTATTCTGAAGAGCCCGCATGCTGGCGTGTGGGTGTGGGACTCTGGAATCCTTCCGTCTGGAAGGTCCTTCGGGAGCCGCTGAGCCCAGCCGTGCTCACCCGCAGAGAAGGAGCCGGGACGCCACGGGGACAGGGGGCCACGGGCCGGCTGTGGGCCGCCCGCACCTGCGGCCAGCTCTGTCCCCCGCCCCCCTCGCATGTGGCGGTTCGGCCAAGCCTTCCTTTTTGTTCCCCGGAATGTTGGAGGCTGCAGCTGATTGTTAGCGGCAGAGGGATTTCTGCTGATGGTGGATGATTGCCGTGGTGAGCCTGGGGCGCACAGTGGCACCCGGATTTAGAGCAGAGCTCTGGATAACAATAGCCCCGCCAGGGAGGGGACCGGCGGAGCTGCCTGCCCGCTGCAGCTCTGAGCCTCAGAGATGGAGAGTCAGAAGTATTAACCCCTCTCCTGCCCGCAACAGACTCACGCAGGAGCGCGCCCCCCCCCCCTTGAGCACACCCACTGTCACACACACCCCCTCCCCCAGGTACAGCGAGGGGCTCCAGGGCCTGGGTCAGACCAGTCCTTCCTGCCTGTCTGAGCGTGTGCCCCAGCCGGCATTGATGGGGTGTGGGGAGGGTCAGGAAGTAGCCAGCAGGGCCCCTCCAGCACCTCCTGGTGGACCGTCCTACAGCGGAAGCAGTACTGCAGTGGCCACCCAGTTCGCAGCAGCTGCGACCCCCTCTCCCCAAAGCTCCCCAGCGGGGGGCATCATTGCCCCCTACCCCTGCGCCCTTTGGGCTCATCTGATTCTTTTTTCTTTTTCTGCTTTTTGGGTCACACCAGTGATGCTCAGGGGTTACTCCTGGATTTGCACTCAGGAATCACTCCTGGTGGTGCCTCAGGGAACCATATGGGATGCTGGGAATCGAACCCGGGTCGGCCACATGCAAGGCAAACGCCCTAGCTGCTGTGCTATTGCTCCAGTCTCTGTGCTCATCTGATTCTGCGCTCAGCTATTTCCGACGCAGCGGCATCATTGGCCACCTTAAATTTGACGGGACATCTCCACATGGGTACACTCAGCACACACTGGCCTTGCTTTGTCTTGTTTTGGGGGACACAGCCAGCGGTGCTCGGGGATCACTCCTGGCAGTGCTCAGGGGCTCTGTCTGGTGCTGGGCCTGAGTTGGACAGTCATGAGGGCATGCACCCACCCACTGTCCCATCACACTGGCCCTTCCCAACAAGTACTCAGGCGGGTGAGCTTGCGCTGGGCCAGGGTCCTGGGATCCGGGTGACACAAGTGAGCCTGTGTTGGGCTCAGCCTGCAGAGTTAGGGCAGGGGTTATCTGGTTGTCTCATGTTGGGGACAGGCTGCTGGTGCCCAGGGTAGAAGCCAGGTATGCGCCACCCACCTCCCACCTCGCAGTTCTGCCCCCAACAGTGCTCCCCTCCTAACCCCCATGCAGGTGATACCACGTTGTGGTGGGAGCGCCGGGTGTGTCTCACCCACCGGGCTGCCGTGTGTCTGTGCCCCTCGATCCAGCGCCATTCTGGACACGCTTAGGTTTTTCCAAGGATGGGAGGGAGTGGGAGGAAGTGGGGGTTCAGCTCTCCTGACACCCTGTTTCCGCTGTGACTAACCCCTCTCCACCCCCCCACCCCCCACTACGCCCCAGCCAAGCAGTATTGGCACACGGGGAAGATCGTGGCCTCTGCAAAGTAAACGTTCCACACGCATGAAAATGCTGATGAGTCTGAGGCGCCAAAGGGGAGTCAGTTCAGGGGACTGGAGCCATAGCGCAGCGGGTAGGGCGTTTGCCTTGCACACAGCCAACATGGCCGACCCAGGTTCGATTCCCAGCATCCCATATGGTCCCCCGAGCACTGCCAGGAGTAATTCCTGAGTGCATGAGCCAGGAGTAACCCCTGAGCATCGCCAGGTGTGACCCAAAAAGAAAAAAAAGGGGGAGTCAGTTCAGCTCACGGCTCATCTGTGGGGGTCTTCACAGTGTTTTTTTGTTGGAGGGTTTCTAGTGAGTGAAAAGCTACCAGCTACCTCTTACTCCTTTTGACTTAGAAGCAAAGCCCTGAGCTTTTTCTGTCTGTCTGTTTGGGGCGGGGGGGGGGCACACCTGATAGTGCTCAGGGCTTACTCCTGGCTCCATACTCAGGGATCATTTCTGGCTGTGCTCAGGGGACCAGATGGGATGCCGGGGATCGAACCCAGGTCCGCCACATGCAAGGCCAGCAACCCTCCACACTGCCTCATCACTCCGGCCCTGACCCTGAGCTCTTAGTTCTTGTTTCTCGGCAGTTTCGGAGAGCCTGAGGCGGCCTGGCTATCTGTTCCCCAGGTCTGGGTTTCAGGGTGCTGGGAGCAGAGCCTGGTGCTCTAAACCTTCTCCCATCCCAGATGAGGCCGGCTTGAGGGGCTGCATCTCACTATTACTAACTTGACGGCTACAGAAATAACTGACCCGGGGCTGGAGCAATAGTATAGCGGGTAGGGTGTTTGCCTTGCACATGACTGACCTAGGTTCAGTCCCTGGCATTCCACATGGTCCCCTGAGCACCTCCAAGAGTGCAGAGCCAGGAGTAACCCTGAGCATTGCTGGGTGTGACCCAAAAAGCAAAAAAAAGAAAAGAAAAGAAAGGGAGGGAGGGAAGGAAGGAGGAAAGGAAAGGAAGGAAGGAAGGCAAGGAAGGGAGGGAGGGAGGGGGAGTTGGAGGGAGAATCTGGCCCCAGGGAAGGACGCCCGGGCTTTAGGAGGTCTGCAGTCCAAGGAAGCGCCCTCCTGTTGGACCCAGAGCACAAACCAGACTGCTGGGGATGCTCGTTGGTGATGACTAATTATTCTAATTTTTGCAGATGGAAATGGCTGCTTTAGAAAAAGTCAAATCCGCTTGGATTAAAAACCAAGACGACAGTTTGACGGAGACAGACACTCTGGTACGCCTTGGGGCCGGAACGCAGCAGGCCTGGGGGCCGCCCTGGCAGTTTCACTCCATCTGTCTCCTGGGAAATCTGGGTCTGGTGCCTGTCCCCAGCCCTGCCCGGGGCACCCCAAGTTCCTCCTGCAGGGCGGGCCCACCCCTGTCTCCTGGAGTCCCGCCAGTGACGGCAGCTTAGAGGGGCCCAGGCATGGTGGCTGGACTCTCGCAAAGGGACCTGGGGCTCGGCTCAGTGCCACGAGTGTCACCCGTTTACCTGGTGGTGGTTACATATATGCTGACACTGGCAGTGCCAGGATGCAGGGAGGTCCGGGGTGCAGGGAGGGTGGGGAGTGCCTGAGCGAGCCCTCCCAGGAGATGCCAGCGGCCGTGGGGGCGGGAGGAGGCAGGGCGCTCTGCCGAGCACCATCTGGGGAGCTGAGCACCAGCTCCGAGTGGCACCTTCTGTGGTTGAATGGACGCCAAGGAAGAACTATTTCAGGCTCGCGTGTCCTGTAGTAAATAATGCTGCGTTGACGGGACACCAGGCACCAGGCCACCTGCGGCTCTATTCCCAGCCGCTGTCCGGCCCCACGCGGCCGCTCGGCTCAGTACAACGCCAGCACCTTGCCCACTCCCACACGCTCACGCCACACACTGCGCCCGCCCCGTGGGGTCCCCCGCAGTCTCCTCCCTCGGGTGCTGGCGACAAGGATGCCCCCACCAGCCGTCTGGGCAAATAGCGGTGGCGGGCGGCTAGTGAGGGGTTCAGGATGGGGGTGACCCCGTGCCCTGAGCCGTCCTTGCCCGCCCCCCCCCCACCTCGGCGACAGGATGTCACGGAGCAGGACTTGTTCGGAGACGGGAGCACCAGCCTGGCGGTGCCCGAGAAAGTGAAGACGCCCATGAAGTCCAGCCGGGCCGACCTGCAGGGCTCCGCGTCCCCCAGGTGTGCGGCGGGCGGGGAGTGAGGGGTCGGAGGCGCCCCCGCGGGGCCCTGACCGCCCTCCTGTGCCCTCAGCAAAGTGGAGGGGGTGCACACGCCCCGGCAGAAGAGGAGCACCCCGCTGCGCGAGCGCCAGCTCTCCAAGCCCCTGAGCGAGCGCACCAACAGCTCCGACAGCGAGCGCTCCCCGGACCTGGGCCACACCGCGCAGGTGCCCGCCCCTTCGGGCAGCTCGCCCCGCCCCACTCTGGCCACGCCCCCACCGGCCCCGGCCACGCCCCCACCCCCACCGGTCCCTCCTAGCCCCAGTAGGCTTCAGAGTCCCCCCCTCCCCCCACCGTGGGCAGAGAGCAGCGGGAAGGCCGCTTGCCTGGCACAGGGACACCCCTGGTTGGTCCCCGGCACTGCATCTGTCCCCTGAACCCTTTCTGAGAACTGAAACAAATGCTCCCTGCAGAGCCCACCCCCACCCCCACCACCACGTGTGGCCTCCGGGAGGAGCACTGCCGGCTCAGCCCTCCCGAAGGCCTCATTGGCTGGCCCTGCACACACACACACACACACACACACACACACACACACACGCTCGGCGGGATCATGCCCCCCTCGCTTGTCGCCCCTCTTCGTTCATCGCCCCTGCTCTCATGCCCCCCCTCGCTCGTCGCCCCCGCTCCAGCCTCAGCCGCCCGCCCACCCTCCCTCCCCATGGGCTGCGACCCAGCAGACTGTCCCCGCAGATCCCCCGGAAGGTCGTCTACGACCAGCTGAACCAGATCCTGGTGTCGGATGCGGCCCTCCCGGAAACGGTCATCCTGGTCAACACCACTGACTGGCAGGGCCAGGTACAGGCCAGGGGAGGCGGCACCTGGGGAGTTGCCCACAGAAGCGTCAGCCCCAGCCCCAGTCCGCAGTCAGGCTATCTCCCACCTGACTGAGGAGGGTGACCGCCTGATTCCTCCAGAGCAACTGGGGGGACAGAAGCCCCTTCCCCGTGCCCAGCCCCACCCACACGCGGCCTCCGCACCCAGCTGACTCCTGGCGCTTGTGCCCAGCTCTGCCCTGGGGTCCAGGATAGGGGCTTCCTGTGGGACTGGCCCCCACGGCGTGGCCTCACGGCGCCCCTTCTCCCGTCCACAGTACGTGGCCGAGCTGCTGCAGGCCCAGCGCAAGCCCGTGGTGTGCACCTGCTCCACCGTGGAGGTCCAGGCCGTGCTGGCCGCCCTGCTCACCCGGATCCAGCGCTAGTAAGGCGCCCGGCTGCCCCCTCTGCCTGGGGCCAGCACCTGCTGTGGGCTGGGGGATTCCGGGGCACCGGGGGCAAAAGGGGCCTTCTGACACGGCACCCCTTCTCCCCAGCTGCAACTGCAACTCGTCCATGCCCCGGCCCGTGAAGGTGGCGGCGGTGGGCAGTCAGAGCTACCTGAGCGCCATCCTCCGCTTCTTCGTCAAGTCCCTGGCCAGCAAGACCTCGGACTGGCTCAACTACATGCGCTTCCTCATCGTGCCCCTCGGTAGGGGCTGCCGGGGGCGGGAGTCCCGGGACACCAGGGCAGGGCTGCCCTCCCCTCCTCACGCCTCCTGCCCACCCGCCAGGCTCCCACCCCGTGGCCAAGTACTTGGGCTCCGTGGACAGTCGGTACAGCAGCACCTTCCTGGACTCGGGCTGGCGGGACCTGTTCAGCCGCTCGGAGCCTCCCGTGTCAGGTGGGGCCCCCATGGAGACCCGGGTGCGGGCGAGGGCCTGCAGAGCTGGGGGTCGATGCCCAGGAATCAAGAGGGAGGGGACTCGGGGGAGGGGGCCTCCAGGGCCCGGGGGTGCAGCGCCCCCCCTCCTGGCGCCTCTCCTGCTGGGATCGGGGCCAAATTGCTCCCCTTTCTGCAGAGCAACTGGACGTGGTGGGCCGGGTGATGCAATACGTCAACGGGGCGGGTGTCACCCACCAGCTCCCCGTCGCTGAGGCCATGCTCACGTGCAGGCATAAGTTGTAAGTTGGGGTCCCCCGGTGGTGTGCGGTGGTGTGAGTTGGCTTTGCCTTCAGCCTGTGTTCCGTGTCCCCACCCAGTCGCCCTCCGTGGAACCCTGCTGAGCTTAAATCTTTTGTGGGGAGGGGCCAGAGCAATAGCACAGCAGGGAGGCCGTTTGCCTTGCACGCGGCCGACCTGGGTTCGATCCCCGGCATCCCGTGTGGTCCCCCAAACGTGGCCAGGAGCGATTCCTGAGGGCAGAGTCAGGAGTCAGCCCTGAGCATCGCCAGGTGTGACCCAAAAACAAACAAAAGAAAAAAGAAAAAAACATGGTTTGGGGCCGTGCAGGGCTGCAGTCGGCAGTGCAGGGCGTGAGGTGTCTGCGCCTGTCCCCGGCCTGAGCTGGGATTTTACACGCTGCCTGCGAGGTTTCGCCCCAGGATCTCCCTCCCCACCTGCCATCGCACAGGCGCCCCCGGGACTGAAGTCCAAATGGGGAGTAGAGGTGCGGGGTGCAGAGTGGGGACGCACAGCTGGCAGGGCACCCCAGGGTGGCCCCAGCAGGTGCTCTGTAAAGCTTCCCGTGCCGCCTGTCTCTGCCCACAGCCCCGACGAAGACTCCTACCAGAAGTTCATCCCCTTCATTGGCGTGAGTACTGGCCCCTCCCCCCACGCATGCGCCCCACCCGTGACAGGCCGGTCCCCAGAGGCCTGGAGGTGTCCCGCTGCAGAGGGGGCCCGTGCACAGGTTCTAGGACCCCAGAAGAAGCAAGGCTGCTGAGGGGAAGGGTCCTCACTCCCTCTGCGCGGGGCCCACGGGAAGGCAGCCCCAGAGCAGAGACTGAGCCGGTCTCCGGGGTGAGGCCTTCATGTCTGTCCGTTGGCTCCCGGGGTCCCTGTCCTGTGCTCGGGTCAGTCGCCCACCATGTGAGAGACCCAGCCGTGCCCTCCAGTGTGCTCCGGGGGGCTGCAGGGATTAATCTGCGGGGCTGGGGCTTGACAGCCTCATGGCCCTGCAGGTGGTGACTGTCCCCTGCCCTCGCCAGAGAAAGATCACCGTTCAGACCGAACACTGGCCACGCGGGGGTGTCCAAGAAGAAGGGGGTGGGGGGAGGTGTTCACGTCGAGGTGTGGGAAGGGCCTCGAGGAGGATGGGGGGGGGCACCGCAGGAAGAGCAGCTCAGTTCTCGGGGCACGCCCTGCACGCCCCGGCCCTGCCTCTCGCTGTGCCCCTGGGGTCCCCTCTGTCCTGAGCAGAATCCCTTACGGGGAACCCAGGATCCTTGCAGTGGGGGGCGGGGGCCCTGGACCCCTACCTGTCACGGCCCTCAATTCCAGGATCTGGAGGGGGTGGATGGGGGCTGGTGTCCGTGTCCTCGGCTCACCCCAGCGCAAGACTCGGGCCGGCCACGCCCGCGGGATCCGCCCCAGCTTCCTTCCCCAGCCGCCCGGAAGGAAGGAGGCAGTGGCTGCACGTGTCCTGCTGTCTGTCTAGCGGGTGCCCTGAGCTGGGGTTTGCCCTGGAGGTGGGGCAGGGCTGAAGGCCGTGAGTCCACCTCAAGGGCTCCCCGTCTCTCGCCCTAGGTGGTGAAGGTGGGGCTGGTTGAGGACTCCCCCTCCACGACAGGTGAGCCCGGGCCCCGGGTTGGGGGACCCACGGGGGAGGGGGGTCTCCCCGCCGCTGAGGCTGGGGTCCCTGTGTCCCTGCAGGTGACGGGGACGACGTGCCTGTGGTCAGCCTGACCGTGCCCTCCACATCGCCACCGTCCAGCTCGGGTCTGAGCCGGGACGCCACGGCCACCCCTCCGTCCTCGCCGTCCATGAGCAGCGCCCTCGCCGTGGTGGGGTGAGGCCCCCACACCCCTGCATCGGGGCCACTGCGGCGTGGGCGGGAGAGCGAGGGAAACCTCGATGCCTCCTTGGGGTGGGGCGCGGGGGGAGCACCCTGGAACCTTGAGGGTCTGGGCCAGCCGAGCTACAGGCTGAGACCCTCTTGCAAAAGCCGGACGCGCCACCAGGCACCCAGAGGCTTGGGGGAGTCACTCCCTCCACGGGTCACGCGGCTGCATACAGGGAACACGCGTGTCATGGAGGCTCAGCCGGGCACTAGCCACAGGGGAGGGGCCAGGCAGAGGAACCGTAGGGTCCAAGCGTTGCCCCCAGGAACAGCCCCAGGGCAGGGGTGAGGGGGCAGGCCACAGGTCAGGGCCAGGACAGAGCCCCCTGCGCCCCTTCCTCCTGCTGGTAGCTGCCCTCTGCTGTCTGTCCTCTGCCCTCTCCAGAGGTGGCCAGGGCAGGGGCTGTCCCAGCCCCACGGCGACTGTCACCGTCGCTGGGAAACCCAGAGCTTTTGGCTCCCGTCCCTGGAATGGCCAGGACAGCCGGGTCACCCCGGGGACACTCTGGGGACACCAGCCCTGCCCTCCGCCCCCCTCCCCTCCCCGGAAGTGGCAGCCGCCTCGGGAGCCGTGTACCTTTTGTGTCTGACGCCTGCTGGAGAAACAGCCCCTTCCCGCCGGCAGCTAAAATTACCCTGAGCCAGAAGTGCTGGGACTGAGGGAGAGCAGGGGGCCCCTGAGCCACCACCTCCGACGACAGTTCTGCCTCTCCCCCCCCCCCCCCAGGAGCCCCAACAGCCCCTACGGCGACGTGATCGGCCTCCAGGTGGACTACTGGCTGGGCCACCCCGGGGAGCGGCGGCGGGAAGGCGACAAGAGGGACGCCAGCTCCAAGAACACCCTCAAGAGCGTCTTCCGCTCCGTGCAGGTCTCCCGGCTGCCGCATGGCGGGGAGGCCCAGCTCTCGGGGACCATGGCCATGACCGTGGTCACCAAGGAGAAGAACAAGAAAGGCGAGTGCCCTCCGGGGATGCAGGGCGCGAGCGGGAACCCCCGCGCCAGGCCAGAGCCAGGCCCCCAGGCCCCTTTCCAGGCCGTGGAGACTTGGGGTCCCTGTGCCCAGCTCCTCGTGCCTCGGGGAAAGCGGGTGTTCGCCAGGGCTGAGTCAGAGCCGGGACACAGGCCCCGATCCTCAGGGCAGGGGTGGGATTGGCTCTCTGCAGAGCACCCACGCCCACGGGGGGCGGGTGGGGCGCGCCCATGACGGCCCTACTTCCTGTCCAGTGCCCACCATCTTCCTGAGCAAGCGGCCCCGCGAGCGGGAGCTGGACTCGAAGAGCCAGGTCATCGGGGGCATCAGCCGCCTCATCTGCTCGGCCAAGCAGCAGCAGACCATGCTCCGAGGTGCGGCGCCGGGCGGGGCTGGGCGGGGGTGGGGGAGCGTGGGGGGACCCGGCCAGGGGCTCACCCCCGGCCCCCCTCACCTCCCTCAGTGTCCATTGACGGGGTCGAGTGGAGCGACATCAAGTTCTTCCAGCTGGCCGCCCAGTGGCCCACCCATGTCAAGCACTTCCCCGTGGGACTGTTCAGTGGTGGCAAGGCCACCTGAGGCGCCCGGCCACTCCCTCCTGGCACTGCCATCCGCCTCGGCAAGGGCAGGGGAGGCCAGGCCCGCCTCTCCCTCCCATCGTGAAGGACACTGCCACAGGGTGCAGCCCCCTGCCTCCCGCCCCCGCCCTCCCAGGCCTCTGCTCTGCTGGGCACGGCTGGAATTGAGCCGGGGGAAAGCTGTCCCTGCCAGACCCCCACGGCACTGGTTGTCCTGTTGGGTGAGGACAGTGTGGGCACCCAACAGGGAGGCCCAGGGAGTTGCCCGCGCTCCCCACGCAAGGGACCGGGACTCCGGCATCCCCAGCCCTGCTCCCCCCGGTCACCATGGCAGCACCCCCCACCCCCGCCCAGGCCGTTGTCTCATGGTGATGCCGCGTTTCTGGGCCAAGGGGCTCCCCGTCCCTGTGCACGACTCCTCAGCGCACCCCCACCCCGTGAATGTCTCTCGGTCTCCGCGCGGCCCTCCCGGCTGGTGCCGTGTGGCTGTCCCGGCCTGTCCCATGAATCCCCCTGTTGTCCCCTTCCCCCACCCCAGAGAGAGCGGGGGTGCTGCGAGGGGCCGCCCAGACTTGGGGGCACCTGTGGAGAGACTGAGCCCACTGCCCGGCGCTCGGCCCCCACCCTCTCAGCCCTCCACGAGTTTGGCCCAGAACTTCATTTGGAAAACGTTTTTCTCATTCTTCATACCCAGACCCCCGGCCCTTCTCCAGCCGCGGCCTGGGCCCAAGGGTGGGGGCGGGGAGGGGCGGCGGGAGGGGGGGTGTGGGGTTTTTCATTCAATAAACTGGTGATTTCTTACCACCTGGCCAGCCTAAGCTCCCGCCTCTCACTGACCGCTGACCAGCTGGGCCAGCTCTGGGGGGGCTGGGGGCGGCCCGGCAGACAGAGCAGAGGGCAGAGGTGCTGGGAACGCCACGGCCCCCCTGCCCCCCGGCCCCCGCCGGGCCCACCAGGGGCTCACCACTAGACTGCTCAGTCTGACAGTCTGAGCTATCTGTGGGGTGGGGGTGCGGGACCCTGTCACCAGGCCCCCCCCCCCCCCCGAAAAAGCGCCTCAGCTGTGGGGGCACCAGGGAGCTCAAGGCGTCGCCTGCAGAGCATGACCCTGCGGGTGGTGGCCGAGCGGCCGCTGGCCCTGGCCCCAAGCCCACAACAGGTGACAGAGTGTGGCAGGTCCGAGCGAGCACATGAGCCTGAGCACACAGGGCCGCCCCCCCCTCCCCACGCCTCAACTGGGAGCGGGAGCCTCGCTGGCCTGGGGCTGTGCAGAGGAGTGCCTACCCCCCACCCCCATTCTCAATGCCCCCAACATGCCTCAGGCTTCCCTTCCCACCCGCGGCCATCGGAGGCCAGATGCCAAGTCCAGTGTCGTGTCCCTTCTGGTTTGCTTTAGGGCCCACACCCGCCAGGGCTCGAGGGCTGCTCCTGGCCCAGTGTTCAGTCACGTCTGGGGGCCTGGAACTGGGCCTGTGCCCATGCCCACCCACACCCAGCCCTGCCCACCTCCACCTTACTCATTGCCCCCCGCAGCCCCCTGCCTGGGGCGTGGGATCAGGGCTCAGCTCACCCCAGCTCCCCGCACCCCGACCTGGCACCAGCTTCTCTCAGACCCACCCTTGTCCAGCTGCCCCCAATGGGTTGGACTCCACCCCTGGCCCGTGCCCGCCTGCAGGTCTTCTGCCCTCCTGCGTCTTAACACAAGAGCTCAAGGCCACTCAGCACGCGGCCACCCTGGGAGTATCCCAGCATCCCGTATGATCTCCTGAGCACTGCCAGGAGTGACCCCTGAGCACCGCCGGGCGGGACAGTGCCAACCAGGTGCCCCAGGCCATCAGCTCTCCGCCTGTCCTTGGCAGGGACACCCGCCACACGCTGCTCCTCCCCTCGGTTCAGGCCCCCATTGCATTCAGGGTCTCCCTACCCTGCCCCTCTATTCCACCCACCAGCACTTCTCCCTGCTCAGCCTGGGGACACGGTGAGCCCCCGAGTGTCAACTCCAGAACAGGAGCTGCCTCTGTCCTGCCCAGGACCCTCTGGCGCCTAGCCCAGCAGCGAAGACCCCTGGCATGTGAGTGGGGGTCTGGCCCCTAGGACACTGAGTTGTCGCCAGGACCTAGGGGCGGAGCGGGGGCTCACCCTGCCACTAAAAGCCAAAAGCCAAGGCCAACCCTACATGCAGCTGACCCCGATTCAATCCCCATAGGGTCCCTCGAGCCTGCCAGGGGATCTGAGTACTGTCAGGTGTGCCCCCCACTCCCCCAAAAAAGAGGCAAGATGCAGCAGGGAGCCCAGAAACAGCCTCCCGAGGCCTGGGGAGAGGAGAAGGGCGCGGAGCAGGTGTGGGAGCCACGCCCAGTTCTCTGCAGTCTAAAGGGACTTTCAGGTTTCCTGGGTGGCTGCTTGGAGCTTTTTGCCACGTGGAACCTTTGACACGAGTCTCTGCAGCTCAGGTAGTAAACGGAGTTCTCGCAACTTCGTTTCGGGTGTCACTTTAGAACAGACTTGGGGCCAGAGGGATGGTCCAGCAGGTAGGGCGTTCGCCTTAGATGTGGCCAGCCCAGGTTCAAGTCCTTCCACACCCCATTTGGTCCCCTGAGCACAGCCAGGGCTGAGCACAGTCAGGAATATCCACTGAGCACTGACCCCAAACAAAGTAGTTTTATTTATTTATTTTTAAACAATTCCTTCTGTTTGTTTTTGCTTGTGGGCCATACCAGCCGATGCTCAGGGGATACTCCTGGCTCTGCATTTAGAAGTTGCTCCAAAAAAAAAAAAAAAAAATAGAAGTTGCTCCAGGCAGTCCAGTGCTCAGGGGACAATATGGGATGCTAGGATCAAACCACCTGCAAGGCAAATGCCCTCCTGGCTGTACTATTGCTCAAAAAACAAAGGAGTTTTAGGGAGCTGGAGCGATAGCACAGTGGGGATGGCAGGGTGCTTGCCTTGCACGAGGCTGACTGGGTTCATCACAAATACCCCATATGGTCCCCCAGGCCGCCAGCAGTGACTCCTGAGTGCAGAGCCAGGAGGAAGCCCTGAGCACTGCCAGTTGTGACCCAAAAACTGAAGGAGAGAAAAAAAAAAGTCATATAGCTTGAAGCCTTGATTTTCCCCCAATCCCAGGATCCCCTCCGAGTAATTTTGTTTCTCTTAATGACCTTGACAGTTTTGGGGAGAGCTGACCGATGGCATGTAGAACCCCGCCCCCGCCTTTTTGTGATGCCCCAACAGAGCTCACCAAGGGCCATGGCCAGACTCCTGGGAATGCTGCCAGGGCGACCCAGCGGGGCTGTGCAGAGCCGGGGCACCACGCGTGCCAGCCCTGTGCCCAACAGCTTGGCCATTTCCCCGGCTCCTGCAGCCTCTATGCTGGGCGTTTCTGTGCCACCCACCTTCATGCATCGCCTGCGGGGCCAGGCTGAGCGCCAGCTTTCCCCAAGGGCCTGCCCTCCCAGGCAGCAGGGAGCTCACCGATTCACTCCACGAGCTCCCCCAAAGGGCCCAGGATGCCAATTCTGCTGCTTTTGGCGGAGAAAGCCCATGCCTGGAGCCTCCCGTGCCAGCTCCAGGTTCGCCTTTTTCGCGGCTCTAAGAGTCATGGACACTGAAGCCTATGCCCTAAGGATGCTGAGGCCACTTCCTTGTCTGAGCAACCACGCCCTTTACCTCCAGAGGCCTCGGCATCACCCCAGGGCCTTAGAACTTGTCTCTTCTGCCTCCCAGGAGTGAGCACTTGACTCCATGCCAGAACCCTCTGACTTCCTAAATCCTTAGTCGCTCCAGGCCTCCCCCAGTTCACCACTTTCTCCCCCGCTCCGTGCCCTTGAGACACCCCAAGCTTCCAGCCCAGCCAGAGGGGCCCACTTCCGTGCCACGGGCAGAAGCACACACGCACACATGTACAGATGGAGGCTCACATCCACACTCATGCACTCGCACGCACACGCGCACACACACGCACACGCGCGCGCACACACAGGTTTTTTTGGTTCGGTTTGGTTTGGTTTTCTTGGGGGTTTTGTTTGTTGTTTGGGGGCCACACCCACAGTGCTCAGGGTTTCCTCCTCCTCTGCACTCAGGATCACTCCTGGCCATGTTCAGAGGACTACAGAGAACCAGGGATCAAACCCTGGTTGGCTGCATGCAAGGCGAGCGCCTCACCCGCTGTGCTACCCCCTGCCCCCCAACGCACACAAACACACATTCTTTCTGGCACTCGGCACACACGCACACACGCACACACATGCACACTGTTCTCCACTCAGCACCCAGCTGACTCTTCCTCCATGTGGCAGCGCCGTGCACGGCCCCCGACAGAGGCTCCCGCTGCCCCGGGCCCAGCGTGCAGGTGCCCATCAGCCCTTTGTCCGGCCCTCGCAGTCACATGAGCACACACCGGGCTCACCAGCTCTTGCTGCCCACCACCCCCAGCACGCGGGCAGACCCCCATCCCCAGGGCCTAACAGAGATAGACGACGGCCTCCTCCTAGCCGCATGTCGCGCGGGGTCATGGGAAAACGCCCAGAGGTGGTACAAAGTTAGTGGCACCTGTGTGGCCTCTTCCAGACACCTGCAGGATATTCCAGGTGAGGGACATGGCACAACCAGTGACGGGAGAGCTGGGGCCTGGGGGGGGGGTGCTCAGTGCCACCCTTCTGTGCCCCACAGGGTCCTGGAAGCTCTGCTGTCTGGAACCCCCAGTGTGGCTACAGTTGGTGAGTGCCAGCATCCAGACGGGCACCACAAGGTGTGTGTCAGGGGTCAGGGGTCAAGGACGGAGGCAAAGACTTCAAGTTTGAAAGATTCCCAGCCCCCTTCCTCCATGGTTTGGGGGTGCAGGGAGAGCCAAAAAGCAGGAGCGAGAGGGCGCCCCTGTACAAACACCAACAACCCGGCTCTCAGCTCTCGGCGCGGGGGCAAGGGAGGACCTTCGACAGAACACCCCACTACAGCCACAGAGACAGAGCGAGTTCGGACACCCCATTATTGTCCACAGCAGGAGAGAGGCAGGAGATAGGGAAGGTCAGGGCCACTCTGAAGGGCCGCTGGAGACAGGCAGGGCCGTCTCTGTCCCCTGCAATCTGGCTTCCACCCAGTCTGAGAACTTTGCCCAAGGGAGGAGTGGGCAGTCCCTGGCTTAAGGGCAGGTGCTATTGGGGAGATACAGGACAGTGAGCTGAGCTGGCCTGAGTGGGTGGGCCATCACCAAGGGACCCCCGTGGGCACAGAGCTGGCCAGCCGGCTGGCCACACACTTGATGGCGGTGCAGGGCCGGGGATGCAGAGGCAGCACAGGTCTGGCTTCCACCGGGCTTCCACTCCGAAATGCAAAAAACATCGATCACCCGTGACACTGTCTGCTGTGTTCAAGGCACAGTGTGAAGCTCTTAACTCCGCCGTTTCATTCTGTTCTCTCAAAGCACCAACAAGGTGGGCCTCAAAACCCTCATTTTCCGGAGGGAGGGGGTCTGGGCCACACCTGGCTGCACTTGGGGACTATTCCTGGCTCAGTGCTCGAGGGAGGCCCCTGTTGGGATTCAGGGACTGTTGGAGTGCTGGGCCGGGAACCACATGCTGCACACAGGCCTGGCCCCGGTATGATCCCTCCAGCCCCAGGAAGCCCATTTTACGGATGAGGAAACGAAGCTAAGAGCAGCCCCATCCTCTCAGCTGGCAGTGGGAACACATGCGGCTTTGAACTCATCTAAACTGAACCCCAAGGCCCATAAGCCCTCCCCACTGAGACAGAAGGGTCCCCAGGAAGAGAGGCTGCACATTTGCTGGGTCTTTTTTTTTTTTCTTTTTGGGTCACATCCAGCAATGCACAGGGGTTACTCCTGGTTCTGCACTCAGGAGTTACTCCTGGCGGTGCTCAGAGGACCATATGGGATGCTGGGAATCGAACCTGGGTTGGCTGCATGCAAGGCAAATGCCCTACCCACTGTGCTACTGCTCCGGCCCCTGCCCTTTTTATTTATTTATTTATTTATTTATTTTTTGCTTTTTTGGGTCACACCTAGCTATGCACAGGGATTACTCCTGGCTCATGCACTCAGGAATCACTCCTGGCAGTGCTCAGAGGACCATATGGGATGCTGGGAATCGAACCTGGGTTGGCTGCATGCAAGGCAAATGCCCTACCCACTGTGCTATCACTCCAGCCCCTTTGCCAGGTCTTTTTTTTTTTTGCTTTTTGGGTCACACCAGCGATGCTCTGGGAATTATTCCTGGCTCTGCGCTCAGGAATTACTCCTGGTGGCACTTGGACACATGAGATGCTGGGGATTGAACCCGGGTCACTTGCTCCAGCCCCACTTTGCCAGGTCTTGGCCAGGATTGGAACCCTGAGCCCACCCAAGTCTGGACCCAGTGGCAGCAATCACTGACCCACAGTCAGGCGCAGCATGCCAGCCCCTTGGGAAGTGGGCGCTGCTCACTGGTGGGGGAGGGGGACGTGGTCTTGAGGGAGCCCGCAGGCCACAGCAGTCAGGCGCCCACTGGCATCCTGCAGAGAGGGGGGATATACTTGGCAGGGTGCCCCGACGGTGTCGAAGGAGACAGAGGCTTGGGGGTGTGAGCACTTCCGAGCCGTTCCCGGGGAGCAACAGATGTGAAAGGGACCAAGAGCGACTTCCCCAGCAAACCTGGCGACAGAGTGGAGCTGAGTCACCCTCAGGCGGGGAGCCCTGTTCCCTCAGCCTGGCAGGAGGCCCGCCGGGCTGCCTGTTGGGGCGCAGAGCCGGGCAGGAAGAAGTAACATTCCCTTCCCTGGGGGAGGCGCGGACTCATCCTCCTGACGAGATAAAGGGCTGGAGTGAACGACGGACCCGCAGATTCAGCCTTGAGAGTTAGATAAGGGCCCGAGAAAGGGGGGCGCCTTCCCGCCACCTGCCCACGGCCCGGGAGCCGGGCCAGACGCCTAAAGAGGATCACAAAGAAACCACCCGAGCTGCAGGGAGTTCGTGAGAAGCAGAGCCAGAAACCAGCAAAATTCACCGAGGGAGACGGAGAAATGTTTTTTTCCATTTGCAGGGGGAGAGCCGGGCAGAGCCAGCGTTTCCCAACGTGCTGTCCCCAGGGTATCCCAGGGGTTCACAGGTGACAGTCGCACCAGTGGGGGGCATGAGACGAAGGGGCCAGCCAGCACAGGGCTGGCACTGGGACACAAAGGAAATAAGGTGTGGAGAGGCCACCGCTGCAAACAGGGGAAAAACACTGGCCTGGAGCTGGAAAGAGCACAGAGGGCAGGTGAGATGAGGGGACGCCCCCTGGAAGCCCACGGGGCCCCCTAAGCCCACTGGGAATGACCCCTGAGCACAGCCAGTTATGGTCCAAAAGCCAAAAAAAATCATGAAAAATGCTAGTCAAAGCAACGTGTCCCTCTGTCAGCAGGAGGAGCTGGGTCGTGTGTTTCTGTGGGATGCTTCAGCCTGTACATGTGCATATATGCACACACGCGTGTGTACTCGCACACATGTCCAGAGCCACTGGGGCAGCTGCCCTTTGACAGTATGTGGTGACTGTGGGCCCCTTTTAGAGTACGTGAGACTCAGTTCCTCCACCCCCACTCCATGCAATCCATGTCCCTCACTCGGGACAGATGACATCACTCTAGAGAAGGACACAGCTGCCTTCCCCGCTGGGGCCTCAGTTTCCTCAGCTGTAAAATGGTATTGAATGAGGCTGGAGCGATAGCACAGTGGGTAGGGCGTTTGCCTTGCATGCGGCCAATGGTCCCCTGAACAGAAGTGATTCCTGAGTGCAGAGCCCGGAATAACCCCTGTGCATCTCCAGGTGTGACCCAAAAAGAAAAAAAAAAAAGAAGCAGACACTAAAATCCCCCCCCCCACCCCACATACACACTGAAGCTTGAAAACAAGATGCTGGGTGGGGCGGGTCTTACTGAACCAGGGGAGGAATGCGTCTTGCACATGACTGATCCTGAGTTGATCTCTGCCACCACTCATGGGCCCCCAAAATTGTCAGTTAGGGGTCAGGAACAAGCCCAGTCCCAACCCCCAGTAAAATAACAATAAGAGATGCCAGGATATTCACTCTGGGACCCTGGGGAGCCATTCTAGGGGACATTTTCCCAGATCCCTGTGTGAGAGACTGAAAATAAGTTGTTACAAAAACAAAGGTGGGACCAAGGGGACACTCAAAAGGCGAGAGCACCAGCTCTGCATGCTGGAACCCTCAGCAGCCCTGACCCCCACAAAGGGGTCGCTCAGCGGAATGTGGCGAGCAGCCTGCCCCTGGAGCGAAGGGCATGGACTCTCTGTCAGGTAACACTGAGGAGCACCCCAGGTCCAGGCCTTGCTCTCAGGTGTGTTCCTGGGTGGTTCCTGCTTGCGCCCACTAGGGATGTGTCAGCCTAGAAGCAGGGGAGATGGTACCCGGAGCAGCAAACCAAGAGTTGGACGCGCACAGACTTGGTGAGAGCAAAAGACACTGAGCGCACATTTCCTGGACCGCTGCAGGGCAGGTCGTATGGAGCAAGAGCTGCAAACCAAGAACACAGGAGACTGTTGAAGGGGTGAGGGGTGAAGGAGCGTAGGGAAGGAAAACTGCCCAGGACCCCCAGAGTGCTCGAAACTCGAGCCCTTCAGACCCGAGGTGACAGCCCCCAGGAGAGTTCTGTTTCCGCCACCATCCCGGGGGACCCCTTCTCTCCAGTCGGGCCAGAACCGACCCTCAGAAGCCGGCAATTCCCTACAGCGACCTGGATGGAGGAGCTTGACCCAGGGCATGACCCGTCCCAAGAGACAAATGAGCCTGGGGTCCCACGGGCGAGTCCAGCTGGGTGGACAGCGATACCCGCTAGCGGGGGGCCTCCGCGAGTGGCCACGAGCTAAGACGGGGCGCGCGCGACCCTAGTTAGTGTCGGTCAATGTCAAGGGTCTGATGCTGGAGCGCGAGCGACGCTAGGGGTGCGCTCGGGGTTCACCACCTCGGCGGGGCCGTGCGCACCCACCGGGAGCCTCGGGAGAGCTGGGACCCCCGCGGCCACCCGCGAGCCCCGCCCCGCCCCGCCCCGCCCCGCCCCCGGGTGGCCACGCCCCTGCCCGGCGGGGCCGGGCGCGTTCGCTCCCTTAAGGCGGCGAGCGGGCCGCGGATCGCGTTTCGCCCCCTCCGACGCCGCCGAGGTAGTGGCTTCACCTTTAAGGAAGCGCGGGGATTGCCGGGAAGGCCGGCGGGATGGAGGCGGCGGCCCCGGCTCACGGCGGCTGGTCCGGGTGAAGCTGGGCGGGAGCCGGAGCCGGAGCCGCAGCCGCAGCGGGAGCGGGAGCCGGGCCCGAGCCGGAGGCGCAGGTCCGCGCGGGCGGTGCGGGGGTGCGGGCCGGGGAGGGCCGGACCCCGAAGGCCCAGGGAGGGGTCGCCGCGGGCGCGGCCTGCGGGAGCTGCGGGGCTCCCCGCGGGGAGGGGGCGCGGTCCCGGGGCGCGGGCCGGGGGCGCGGCCGCCCGGGGAGGGGGTCCCCGGACCTGCCGCCGGCCGCGGGGAGGGGGCCCGGCTCCTCCGCGGAGGGGCTCCCGGGGTCGCCGCCGGCCAGGTGGGAGGTGGGTGCAGGGATGCGGGCACGGAGGAGCGGGACGCGGGGCCCGGGGAGCTCCACGCACCCCCTCGGGCCGGGCCCCGGCGCGCGCTGACCCGGGGACGCTCGGGCCTGCCGGTGGTCGGGCCGGGCCGGGCCGGGCCGGGCCGGATCCGGGTCCAGCTGCCCGGCCGCACCGCATTGCGTCTCCCCGGCGAGCCGCGCCGGGCGCGCCCCCTGCAGGCGGAGCGCGGGCACGGCGCGGGCCGCCGCTCGGGGACCCGGGCACCCTGGGGGACCCGGGCTGTGGGCATCGAGGTGTTTACCGAGTCCGGGCGGGCGCGGGGCGGCCCCAGGCCCGGCACCCCTCTGCCCGCCCCCTCGCTTTCGCAGGCGGCGGCGCGGCCATGGCCACGATGGTGCTTCCGCGGGAGGAGAAGCTGAGCCAGGATGAGATCGTGCTGGGCACCAAGGCCGTCATCCAAGGGCTGGAGACCCTGCGCGGCGAGCACCGCGCGCTGCTCGCGCCCCTGGGTGCCCACGAAGCCCCCGAAGCGGAGCCCGGCGTCCAGGAGCGCTCGGTCCTGCTGCGGCGCTCCCTGGAGGCCATCGAGCTGGGGCTGGGCGAGGCGCAGGTAGGCCGGGCGGGACCGAGCCGGGAGGGCTCAGGGAACCCCTGGGCGCAGGGGGCAACTCGGTCCCGGGGCCCCGGGTTCAAGGAATGGATGAGTGGCCCCCACCGGAAGGCCCGCTTCCCGCCGTGTGTGCCAGGTGGCAGAGAGAAGCCTTACTAACCGGCGGGGGGAAATCCTCCTGCTTCTGGTCCTTGGTTGGCACCTCGGATAGCCGGTGCCTGCCTGGGCCTGACGTGTGGGGTGCCAGGGATACCAGGCCAGTGAGACAGACAACACCCCAGTCCGGTCCCATAGAAGGAGAAGCAGAAAAGCATTTATAGGGCCTGAGCAGTCGCACAGTAGGTAGAGCAGTGGGTAGGGCACTTGCCTTGCAGGTGGCCAACCTGGGTTTGATGGGCCACTGCTCACGTGGTTCCCGGGGCAGAGCCAGCAGTGAGTGATCCCTGAGCGGGACTGGGTGTGCCCCCACCCAAAAAAAAATAAAGAAAGAAAAAAAATTTGTTAAAAACTGCTATAAATTCTCCAAAGAAAAGAGTAGGACCAGCCCAGTCCCAGCAGATCTTATCTGTGGCTTATGCAAGGCAGTCGTGCAAATGCCTTTACTTTTTTTGCTGGGCCCCGCATGGAGAGCAGGTTTCCTGCATGCAAACCATGAAGCCATGCACGTGAGCCCGGAGCCTTGTCCCTGGGAATGACCCTGAAACCAGGACCCCAAGGAAGGCATGGACCAGCCCCTGGAAAAGAAAGCTCAGCCAGAGGTCACCTGTGCCCAGGCCGCCTCAGCACCCAGCAGCAGGGCAGAGTGACCATGGGGGTCCAGAGCACCACACCTCCTTAGTCTGGTCTGGCTCTCTGGACATCAAGAAGCTGTTGGTGGCCTTCGAGTGGTCAAGAGAGAAATTAGGCTTTAAAAGTTTTCTTCGGGGCCACGGAGAGAGGTCCTGGTTAGACTTTTTGTGTTTTGGTCACACCCAGTGATGCTCAGGGCTTACTCCTGGCTCTGTGCTCAGGGATCACTCCTGGCAGGACTCAGGGGACCATATGGGATACCGGGGATCAGAGGGCATCAAACCGGTTGGCTGTGTGCAAGGCAAGTGGAGGCCCTGAGTTTGACCTCTGGCACCACCCTCCCTCCACCCCCAGACTGCGAGGTGTGGTGGGCCCCATAATAAAATAAAACGTTTTCTCCGACTGAAGTGTAGAATGAACCCTAGCGGGTAAGGGGTGCAGCTAGGAAGGCACCGCCAGATCCCAGTGAGGGGACTGGGACAGGGATGGCTGTGAGGGGCACAGCAGGGGACCATCTGGAACTGAAGGGAGGGGTACAAGAGGGGTTGGGCCAACTCCCAGGCCATATGCTGCAGTGTCCAGCCTACTCCCCTCCCTGTGCTCGGGGGTCGCTCCCAGCAGTGCCCAGGAGACCATCCCTGCCCCAAGCCTCGAACCCTGACCCCATGTGGCTTTCTGAACAAATCCAGACGATGAGGGAACCCGGAGGCCAGGGCTGAGGGGGGTCTGCACGCGGGGAGGCCTTGGAGGTACTGGGGTGTAGGTGGGTCGGGCTCCGGGGACACGGGAGGCCAGTGGTCTGGTTGTGGTTTCCTGGCCTGTGGGCGACCCCCCCAGCGCAGACTTTTCTGCTCTCCAGACACTTTGTTTTTTGCTTTGGGGGCCACCTTTGGTGGTCCGTGGGGCTGCTCCCAGCTCTGTGCTCGAGGCTCACAGCCCGTGATGCAGCCCCGGGCCTGCCCGATGCCCAGCCTGCACCCAGCCCTGTAGCCCCTGCCCCGCCCCGTTGCAGGACTCTGCAAAAGCACCTGTCACCCGGGCATTTGGCTACCAGTCACCTGGGACGGGCACGGCCATCGACCTTCCCTCAGCCAGGTGGCCGCCAGGTGCAGAGATGACACACAGGGTCCCCCTTCTGGTGTGCGGGCACGGGCACAGATGGGCTTGGTGTGAGCCGGGAGGGGGGTGCCCTGCTTCCGGGCTGACCGGTGAGACGTGGCCGTGTCTGGGGGCACCCAGGACCCAGGCCAGGCCCCACAGCAGCCAGTCTGTAAGCTGCGGGCTCTGCACCCTCTGGGGGTTGGCCATGCACCCCTTCCCTCCAGGCTCTCAGGCCCTGTCAGGCCAGGCCAGGGCCTGTGGTGACCAATCAGCGGTCTGCCAGGCCTGGGCAGGGCCAGCAGGCTGTGAACCTCACTCAAAAGAGACAGGAGGGGCCGGAGAGCTAGCGCAGTGGGGGGGGGGGGGGGGCGGGGGCAGCTGCCTTGCCTTGCAGCGGCTGACCCGGGTTCGATCCCCGGCATCGCATAGGGTCCCCCAAGCACCGCCAGGAGTGATCCCTGAGCGCAGAGCCAGGAGTAAGCCCCGGGCATCCCTAGGGGGTGGCCCCAAAACCAAACGCAGGAGGATGGTCAGCTCAGGAGCACACAGCACCCCAACTCCCCGCTCCCCAGTTCGATCAAGACAGCCAGGTGGACGGCGGACAGTCATCGCAGACTGGAGGCCCGGGAGCCTGAGCCAGAGCGGGACTCCGGGCGGACAGGGCGGGGCGGGGGCCGCTGGGGCGGGGCCGGCCAGGTGCCCAGGAGAGCCCCGCTGCCCCCCAGGTGATCCTGGCGCTGTCGAGCCACCTGGGGGCCGTGGAGTCGGAGAAGCAGAAGCTGCGCGCGCAGGTGCGGCGCCTGGTGCAGGAGAACCAGTGGCTGCGCGAGGAGCTGGCCGGGACGCAGCAGAAGCTGCAGCGCAGCGAGCAGGCCGTGGCGCAGCTCGAGGAGGAGAAGCAGCACCTGCAGTTCATGAGCCAGATCCGCAAGCTGGACGAGGACGCCTCCCCCAGCGTGAGCCCCGGCCGGCTGCGGGCGAGGGGGCAGGGCCCGCGGCCCCGCTCCCGCCGCGCCATCCCTGACGCCGCCGCTCTCTCCCTCCCCAGGAGGAGAAGGGCGACGTCCCCAAGGACTCCCTGGATGACCTGTTCCCCAACGAGGAGGAGCAGAGCCCAGGTGTGGGGCGCTGGGGGTGGGGGGTAGGGGGGGACGGCGAACTGGGCCCAGGGACCCGTGGCTGCGTTCGTTTCCTGATAGGACAGCGGCTAGGGTGCTTGCCTGGCCCACGGCTGACCTGGGTTCGATCCCCGGCACCCCAGATGGTTCCCCGAGCACTGCCAGGAGTAATTCCTGAGCACTGAGCCAGGAGTCACTCCTGAGCATCGCCAGATGTGGCCCTAAAACAACAGAACAAAAGGACCCCAGCAGGATGGGGCCGGGGAGGTAGTGCAGTCGAAGGCACTGGCTTCGCATGCGGCTGGCACCCAGGTCCTTCTCCAGCACCCCGTGAGGTTCCCTGAGTGCAGACCTAGGAGTAAGCCCTGAGCACTGCTCATTGTGCCCCCACCTAGAAAAGAGAAAGCCCAGCAGGTGAGAGCTGCCGCCCCCTGACCCCAAGGGGCATAGGGCTCTTTGGCCATGGGACAGTTTCTCTTTCTGTTTGGGGGCTTCCAAGAAGATCTCAGGGGCCGGGGGTCATCCCAGAGATGCTCAGCCGGCTGGTGATGCCCTGGGCATGGGACTCGGCCTCGTGCATGCCCCACCCAGCGCCCCCGAGGTACAGTCAGGGAACTGAGGCTTGGGACTTCGTCTGCGTGGCTGAAGTATTGGAGCTGGGGTTCGCCCCGCTCCACAGAGGGAAACTGAGGCAGACTTGGCAGTGAGTGCCCAGGGCACGGTCGCCTCCTGACCTCCTGCTCTTGGCCCGCAGCCCCCAGTCCTGGCGGAGGGGACGTGGCCGCCCAGCATGGGGGCTACGAGATCCCAGCGCGCCTGCGCACGCTGCACAACCTGGTCATCCAGTACGCATCGCAGGGCCGCTACGAGGTGGCCGTGCCACTCTGCAAGCAGGCTCTGGAGGACCTGGAGAAGACGTCGGGCCACGACCACCCCGACGTGGCCACCATGCTCAACATCCTGGCGCTGGTGTACCGGTGAGTGGCCCTCGGGCGCGGGAGAGGACAGTGGCGGGCTCAGGCCTGTCACCGTGGGAAGGAGGCCGGGCAGAAGGCTTCCCTGCGGAAAGCCAAGGCCGGGTGCAGCCGGCTCAGTGGTCTTCCCCTGGCGTCCAGTCCACCCGTTGAGGATGAGTGGGCAGGGTTCAGGGCCCTGGACCCGGGGCCCCAGTAGGGTCTGGGGGCCTCATCCCTGCGCTCCTCCCCGGCCCAGAGACCAGAACAAGTACAAGGAAGCGGCCCACCTGCTCAACGATGCTCTGGCCATCCGAGAGAAGACCCTGGGCAAGGACCACCCAGCTGTGAGTGAGGGGCCGGGGGCGGGACCCCACCGCGCCCAGGCCCCGGGGACTCCATTCTCCCTGCTCCCCCACAGGTGGCCGCCACGCTCAACAACCTGGCCGTGCTGTACGGCAAGAGGGGCAAGTACAAGGAGGCCGAGCCCCTGTGCAAGCGGGCGCTGGAGATCCGCGAGAAGGTGAGCGGGCGGGCGCGAGGCTGTGCGCGTGTCTGAGCGTGTGATTGCGCGTCCACAGGTGTATGTGGACGCGCGCGTGCGTGTGCGCGCCGGTGCGCCGCCCGGGCGGGCAGGGGAGCCCTCACGGCCGCCCCTCTGGCTCCCGCTGCCCCAGGTCCTGGGCAGGTACCACCCGGACGTGGCCAAGCAGCTGAGCAACCTGGCCCTGCTGTGCCAGAACCAGGGCAAGGCCGAGGAGGTGGAGCAGTACTACCGGCGCGCGCTGGAGATCTACGCCGCCCGCCTCGGGCCCGACGACCCCAACGTGGCCAAGACCAAGAACAACCTGGTGCGGGGGGTGGGGTCGGGGGAGCAGGGCAGGGGTGCTGGGGCGTGGGGCCCCTTGTCCACTCACCCCCGCCCGGGCCCCCAGGCCTCCTGCTACCTGAAGCAAGGCAAGTACCAGGACGCCGAGGCGCTGTACAAGGAGATCCTGACGCGCGCGCACGAGAAGGAGTTCGGCTCGGTGAACAGTGAGTGCCAGGCCTGCCACCCCCACCCCCCGCCGCCCGCGCGGGCTCGGGCCCCCCAGGTGTGTGAGCTGCCAGTAAGGAGAGGACTGGGGAGGGGAGGGCTAGCCAGCCACTGCTCCTGTCCCTGCAGGTGACAACAAGCCCATCTGGATGCACGCGGAGGAGCGAGAGGAGAGCAAGGTAGCTTGGCAGGCTGGGGGGGAGGGGGAGGGGAGAGAGCCCCTCCGCCACACCTGCCTGTCCCCCTCCCCAGGAGAAGCGGCGGGACAGCGCCCCCTATGGGGAATACGGTAGTTGGTACAAAGCCTGTAAAGTGGACAGGTGAGGGCCCGCCCCTTCCCCTTCCCCCGCAGCCCCGACTTCCCCACCTGCTCCTGGGGGGCCGGGTGGACGCGACTGTGGGGCTCTCGCCCACAGCCCCACGGTGAACGCCACGCTGCGCAGCCTGGGGGCGCTGTACCGGCGCCAGGGCAAGCTGGAGGCCGCACACACACTGGAGGACTGCGCCAGCCGCAGCCGCAAGCAGGTGGGGGCCGGCCCGGGGCGGGGGAAGGGGGGGCGGGGGGGACTTTCCCCTGATGCACCCTGCCCCTCCCTCAGGGCCTGGACCCCGCCAGCCAGACCAGGGTGGTGGAAGTGCTGAAGGACGGCGGCGGTGGCCGGGGGGATCGCAGGGGCGGCCGTGACGCGGGGACCCGGCCCGAGGCTGAGCTGGACGAGGCGGGGCCGGCAGCAGAGTGGAGTGGGGTGAGTCAGTCGGGGGACGGGGGTGCCCGCGGCCCGGCCCAGCCCGTGGTGGGGCTGAGACTGAGGGCACCTTGCAGGACGGCAGCGGGGCCCTGCGGCGCAGCGGATCCTTCGGGAAGCTCCGAGACGCCCTGAGGCGCAGCAGCGAGATGCTGGTGAAGAAGTTGCAGGGCGGCGGGCCCCAGGAGCCCCCGAACCCCAGGTGAGCCCCTGAACCCCAGGTGAGCCCCGAGCAGGCCCAGCCTCATCCCTTCCCTCCCAGGAGCCCCCAGCCCCCCACCCCGGCTACCCTGCAGGTCCTTGCTCCACAGGATGAAGCGGGCCAGTTCGCTCAACTTCCTCAACAAGAGCGCGGAGGAGCAGGTCCAGGTATGGCCAGGCTGGTGGCCGGCGGGGCCGGGTGCTGGTCTCGCCGCTGGGAGCTGAGCCGGCCCCTCTGCCCGCAGGCTGGAAGCACAGGCCTCTCGGATAGTCGCACGCTCAGCTCCAGCTCCATGGACCTCTCCCGACGCAGCTCCCTGGTGGGCTAACTCCGACGGGGCGCCCAGGCCCAGCACTGCCCCCCGCCCACCGCCCCGCGCCTGGGCTGCTCCTCCGCCTGTGTCTCCCCGAGCCCCCGTCTCTTCTGTTCAATCTCAGGGTAACCCCCCCCCTGCCATCTCCGCCTGAGCCCCGGTCGCTGGGCCTGCCTGTTCCGGATCGATCCCTAATTTATTCCTGCCCGCACTCCCGGCCAGCAGCGCGGGCCAGCTGCTCTCGCAGCAAGAGCCACAGCCCCACCGAGGCCCCAGACTAAGAACACTCAGCACCCCACCCTCCCCTCCCGGCCGTTGCTTGTGTATATAGAGAAATAAGTTATTGGCCGTGCAGCCCCCCGTACCCCGGTGTTCCCTGGCCTCCCCTGCCCCCCTCTAGTGGTACCGCCCAGGCCTTAATCACCCCCATTCCGCACGGTGGTATCTCCCAGGCTCCACTTGGGCGGTGGTGACCCCCCCCCAGGGTCCCCTGGTCCCTCTTGCGCTGCTCCTGGCCCACGAGAGGAGACCGCACCCCGTGGCCCTCACTGCTGGGCCCTGCCCTGCACCCCAGCCTTATGCACTGCCCCTCCCTCCCAGGCATGGCCTGACCCCGGCCCGGGCACCGCGTGCCCCAGCCAGCCTGCCACTCTCCCCCCACGCCTGCAGCTTTACCTGGGACAGTGATGGCTCCCTGGGGCCCAGAGGCTGCTCCGAGGGGCCTGCGGGGAGAAGGTCGCTCTCATTTCAACTGTTGCTATGGAAATAAAGACGGTTTGAATCTGGACTGGGCCTGTTTTGGAGTTGCTTGTCTCGAGGGGCTGGGACCGTTGCAGAGGGCAACGGTCTAGCACTCAACTGCTGTCTGATACTTGAGACTTCGCAGAGGGATTCCCTTAACAGCGTTCACCTTGGGAAGTCACCAAATTCCAGACCATGCATTTGGGTCTTTTGTTTTTGGGGCCACACCTGGGGATGTTCAGGAATTACTCCTGGCGGGCTTGGGGACCCATATAGGAATGCAGGGGATTGATCCCAGCCAGCAGTGTGCAAGGAAAGTGCCCTGCCCCGTATTGTTACCCCACAGGCCGTGGGTTTGGGTTGAGTTCTACCCTTAACCAAGCAGTTTGACCTTGAACGGCTCATCACCTGAAAAAGTGTGATGACACCTTCGGTGGGATGATGATTGGAGCACTGGCACACGAAGCACCTGGGATAAACGAAGTGTTACTAACGCTTACGACTCCTGGAGGTGGGAGGGTAGGGGTGACGGGCACTATCTATAGTCGGGAGACGTGTCAGCCCCAAGCTGAGCTTCCAACGCAGGGACGCCCTCAGGCTCCCCAGCGCTGTCCTCCAGTTCAGGCATGACTGGGGAGCGAACTACAAGTCCCAGAAAGCAACCCGCGGCGGCTGGTGGGTGTGGGCAAGGGGGCGCGGGTTCTCCGGTTTACGCCTGCGCAGTGGAGTGCGGCCGGAGCGGGCGAGTCGGGCCCGGGCGGGAGACTACAACTCCCAAGAAGCTCTGCGGCGAGGCCCGAGTCGGGAGCGTGTGCGCCTGCGCGCCGCGGGCGGGGCCTCTGGGGCGGAGCGGCCACCATCTTGGAACGGGAGGCGGAGCAGAGCCGACTGGGAGCGACCGAGCGGGCCGCCGCCGCCGCCATGAACCCCGAATAGTGAGTGAGCCCCGCCCGCGCCGCCCGGCGCAGCCTCGATCCCGAGTACGGGGCTCTTCGCCTCCCAGGGTGGTCCGGCCCGGGTCAGGACGGCGCGGCGCCCCCACATCCGGGTCCTTCTTCCGCTGACCCCCCCCCCCACATCCGGGTCCTGCCCCTCCCCTCGGGGGCCCCAGGACCCCGGCTCGACGCCCCAGTGCTGGCACCCGTGTGGCCTGAGAGACGGCGACCCCAAGGGTCGCCCGCCACTCGGAGTCCGGGCGCCGTCCCTCCCGCGCCCTCCGGGTCAGGTGACCCCGCGGCGCCGGGCCTCAGTTTCCCCACCTGCTGCCTGAGAGTGACAGCGGGGTGCAGGCGCGGCGCGGCGTCGGGGGCCCCGTCTGCGCCCTGCCCCGGGCCGTCGTCCCTTCTGCCCTTCCGCGTCCCCGGCGTCCAGTGCCCGCGCCGGGCCCCGCGGGAGCCTCGGGCCGCCGTCCCCGAGCCCGCCCCGCCTGGGTCACCCTGGCTGGGGCCCCCCAGGCTCCCGGCCCGTCCCGCCGCCTCCCCGGCCCCGCGCGCCCCGGCCCGCGGTCACACCCCCTCCCTTCCGCCGACTTGGGGAAGTTGTGCGGGGCGGGGGGTGCTGCCCCTGCCCCCTGTGCGGCCGCTGTCCCTGGGGAGGGGGCGCCCTGTGCCCCAGCCCCCCGACAGTGCCCGCCGCTGCCTTCCTCTTCTGCCACTTCCTTTTCCTCTTGATCCAGGCCCCGGGTTTTCTTGGGGCGGGGGAAGCACAGCCCCCTCGCCCGGACTTGGGGCTCCCCCTCTCTTGGGGTTGGGGTCCACAGACTGCACCTCACTTGCTGCAAGGGGGCCCCCGGAGCCTGCTGGAGTCGGGAGTGGGGCGCCCCTTCCTGGCCCACCGCGTTGGGTGGTCTGTGGGGGGCCTCCAGCCTGCCACTCGTGTTGCCACTTGTTGCCCCCTGTCCCTGGTCCCGGTGACTCCCGAGTGGCCCTCCTTGCCCGGCCAACCCGACAAAAGTTGTGCTGGAGGCCCGCCTGCGGGGTGTGCAGTGGGGTACCCAGAGTCGCCCCCACCCCCCACCTGCGATTGTGGGGTCGGCCACCTGGCAGGTCACAGGTCATGCCCCCGCGTGGTCCCATTTTCTTGTCAAGTGGAAACTCCACCATTGGGCAGCCTCCCCACTGGGGGGACCGAGTGCCGCAGACCTGCCCCCCCCATGCGCCCGGCCAGCCAGGTTCCACCCCAGGACCGCGTGCAGGGCCCCCCAGCAGCCAGCAGTGATGGCCGAGCTGTCCCTGGCTGCCTCATGCGCGTCTCTCCCCCAGTGACTACCTGTTCAAGCTGCTTCTAATCGGCGACTCGGGCGTGGGCAAGTCCTGCCTCCTGCTGCGGTTCGCTGTGAGTGGCGGGGCCCGGGGTTGGGGCATGGGGCTGGCTGGCTGGGCGGGGGCCAGGCTGGCCATCCGCTGAGTCCGCACGGGGTCTCGCAGGATGACACGTACACCGAGAGCTACATCAGCACCATCGGGGTGGACTTCAAGATCCGCACCATCGAGCTGGACGGCAAGACCATCAAGCTGCAGATTGTGAGTGTGGCTGGACCCTGGCTCCCGGGGGGGTGAGGCTGGCTCGGGTCAGGGGGCCCAGCTGATCCCCCCATCCTGCTGTCTCGTAGTGGGACACCGCGGGGCAGGAGCGCTTCCGGACCATCACCTCCAGCTACTACCGGGGCGCGCACGGCATCATCGTGGTGTATGACGTCACTGACCAGGTACCTCGGGGCCGCCGCTGGGTCCCTGGCACGGGCATCTGACAGGATCTGAGCTCGCCAGCTCTGTTCCTCCTGCATCACCGGGTTCTGTTGTGTGGGTCCGGCCCTGGGGCTGTGGGAGCAGCCCTGTCCTGAGGGGCAGCTTGTGGGTCCGGCTCTGGTGCATAGGAACAGCCCTGTCCTGAGGGTCGGCTTGTGGGTCCAGCCCTGTTCGAGGTGCAGCTGCACGGGGCTCCCCAGAGAACAGGCCGACAGGCTGTGGGGAGATTGTACCCCAACCCTGCAGCGGCCAGACCCTGCCGTCCCTTCTGCCCTGTGGAAAGTGGCCCCGCCCCCGCTGACCCCTGCCGCAGTGTGTCCTCGGCCTCACGGGCTGTTTCTCTGATCCCCTCTCAGCCCCCCCAAGACCTCAGGCGCCCTGACTCTGCCGCAAACCCCCTCCCCCGCTGTACCCTCTGGCTCTATGCTTCCCTCCCTCCCTCCTCGCCCCTGCTTCCAACCCCCACAACCTCACCCCTGGAGCTAAGCAGTGGGGTCCCCGTTTTCTGGATGAGAAGACGGACTGGGAGGTTTCTAGGGACTGGCTTGTCTGACCCGGCTTTTTGCTTCTGGTCCTTCCCGGCCCCCCCTGAGCCGCCATCGTCATGCCCCCCAATCAGCTCGGCGCAGAGCCCCTGCTTCCCTGTCAGAACACGCTGCCTCTCATCCCTGGCACCCCTACTATGCTGGTGACCCGGAGCCCCGCCCCCACTGTTTCTTAGAACCGAGGAGACTGAGGCTCCGAGGGCCACACCGAAGGGCGCGGGGACAGCCCCAGTGCCAGCCACGGGCCCCCACTCTGGCTTGCTGTCCCGAGCCCGGAGAACTCCCCAGGCCTGCTGTGCCCCGCACCCCAGCCGGAAGGACCCCCAGTCCTCCCTGCCCTCCCCGGCCCTGCGCCCCCTGGCTCACGCAAACCCGCCGCTCCCCGTTCCCGCCCGGGGCCTGGGGGGGCCCAGCCGGAACCCTTCCTTGTCCCTCACCATCTGACTGTCCGTGACCCCCTGCCGGCCTGCGGCTCTCCAGCATTCCGGCCGCTGGGAACTCTGATTCGGTGGCCCGGGTGTGTCCCCTCGTGGGGGAGGCCAGGGCGGGCCAGCCTGGGGGGCGCAGGCTGACGCGCAGCCGAACCCGGGACTCTGGCCCGCCCCAGGAGTCCTACGCCAACGTGAAGCAGTGGCTGCAGGAGATCGACCGCTACGCCAGCGAGAACGTCAACAAGCTGCTGGTGGGCAACAAGAGCGACCTGACCACCAAGAAGGTGGTGGACAACACCACGGCCAAGGTGAGCCGCTGCGCCGCGCCTCTGCCCTGCCTCTCTCCTCTCCACTCTCCCCTTCTCCCTGCCTCTCCCCCTCTCTGCTTTCTCCCTCCCCTGCTGCTGTCTCTCTCTCTCTCTCTCTCTCTCTCTCTCTCTCTCACACACACACACACACACGTCCCCGTCCCCTCCCCTGCCTCTCCCCCTTCCCCCTCTCGCCTGCCCTCTCCTCTCCTCTCCTCTCCTCCCTTCGTCCCTCTTCCCCTCCCTCCCGTCCCTTCCCCTGGCCCCTTGCTCTCCCTTCCCTTCCTCTCTCCTCTTGCCCCTCATTTCCCCACTCACCTCCCCCCCACCCCCGTGCCCTCCATCCCTGACCCCTGGCAGGAGTTCGCAGACTCGCTGGGCATCCCCTTCCTGGAGACAAGTGCCAAGAACGCCACCAACGTGGAGCAGGCCTTCATGACCATGGCCGCCGAGATCAAAAAGCGCATGGGGCCGGGGGCCGCCTCGGGGGGCGAGAGGCCCAACCTGAAGATCGACAGCACCCCTGTCAAGCCGGCCGGGGGCGGCTGCTGCTAGGAGGGCCCGGGGCGCAGGGGCACCTTCTCCAGATGATGCCCAGAGGGCCGGGAGGCGCTCCCCTCTCCCGGGGCATTTGAGTCTGGCTTTGGGGTGTCCCGGGCCCCCCTCTCCTTCTGGCCCGTCTGTGTACTGCCCTGAGCCCGGGGAGGACACCCAGGGCCCGCGGCTCTGCTGCTGCCCGTCACTTTACTGGTCCTTACCACTCTGCGGGGTGAGGGCGCCCCTCCTGCCCCCACACTGCTGCAGGGGGTCCCCCGCTCTCCCTGAGCCCAGGCCCTGGCAGGTAGGGCCCAGGGTCTCGGGGCCTGGAAACCAGGACCCGGGACTGGACCTCAGGACAGGCTTGGGGGCCACGGGCCGGCGCCCCCCGTGGCCTCCTCCCTGGCTCCCCGCCCGGCCCCAGGCCTTCCAGGCATCGGGCTTCGGGCGCGGTGGGCTCGGGCAGGTGGGCGGGCAGCGCGCTGGGCCAGTGTCCCGGCGGCCCGGAGGGAGTCTTTTCGTGCTACGCCGCCCAGTGCCGCCTGCCCACCGCGCCCCTTTGTCCCCGAGGCCGCGGAGGCGGCAGAGGCTGCTCGGGCACCAGCCTTAACCCCCACTCTGCCGGCGCCGCCGCCTCGAGGTAGCACAGCCGCTTCTCCCAGCCGCGGAGCCGCACCCCTGTTGCTCCTCCTGGGGGCAGGGGGTGCAGCCAGGGTCGCCACCTCTGCTCACCCCTCCCACCCAGGCCCTGGCCCCGCCCCCGGCGCAGCTGCCCCTGCAGGAAACCAAACCTTCAGTCCGCCCCAGCCGCTGCGCGCCCCGCCTGGCCCACCTGTGCCCTCCAGCTTGTATTTAAGTCCTTGGGGTGCCCCCGCTCCCAGGTTCCCCTCCGGTGTCATGTCGGGCATTTTGCAAGGAAAAGCCACTTGGGGAAAGATGGAAAAGGACACACACAAAAACCAATAAATTTCCACTGGCCCTCCGGTGAGCTGAGGGTTTTTGCAAGGAAGTTGTGCGGGCTGAGTGTGGTCTGTCCGGGCGCCTGGGGGCGGGGGGGGGGGGATGGAACTGGGCCACCGGCCATCGCGGCAGCCCCCCAGGTCCTGGCCGGGCTCGGTCCCGGGGTGGCAGCCGAAAGCCCTTGACCCACTTCCCGCAGCCCGGGGCTGCCTGCGGAGCGTCCCGGCCGGTCCCCACGGGCACAGCACGGTTCCAGCCGGGAAGGTGGCCGGCGGCCATCGGCCACCTGGTGAGCGCGCGCGAGGCCACACGGGCACCACCCGGCCCGCGGAGTCCGGTCCGGTCCGCGGGCCACAGCCCGGGCGCCGACCCTCCGGCCTGGGGCCGGCGCGACGCCCGCCGCGGCGCCCGAGCTCGGGGTGGCGGCGCGCGGGGGCGTGGGCGGCCGGCGGGGGGCCGGGGGCGGGGCCGCGGGGGGCGCGCGGGGCCGGGGCCCGCCGAGGGGCGCAGAGCCCGCCCCGCCCGCCCCGCCCGCCCCGCCCCCGGCTCCGCCCCGCCGGCTTCGCGGGCTGGAGACGCGGCAGCCGCGGGCGGGCAGCAGCGCAGGATGAGCGATCGGGGCCCGGGCAGCCGGCAGCGGACGCGCCCCCCGAGCCCCCCGGCCCGCGCCCCGCGCCGCCCCCGGCCCCGCGGCCCCGGCCCCGGCCGCGCCGCCCGCGTCGCCCCAGCCCTGCGGGCCATGTCCAGCCGGCCCTGAGCGCGGGCCGGGGGGCGTCCCCTTGCGCCCGGGCCCCGCGCTGGCGCCCCCCGGGCCGCTGCCCGGCGCGGGGGCCATGGCGTTCACCTTCGCCGCGTTCTGCTACATGCTCACCCTGGTGCTGTGCGCCTCCCTCATCTTCTTTGTCATCTGGCACGTAAGGCCGGGCTGGGGCCGGGGCTGGGGGCGGGGTGGGGGGCCGGGGGCGCGGGGCGGGCGGGGGCCGGCGGACGGGCGCGGGGCTGCTCCCCGCCCGCCCCCGAGGGTCGGCTTCTCCTTGCCCCCGTGGCACCCCCTCCCCCCGCCGGCTGCTCGCCCGGCGTCCCCTTCCCCCGCCGCCCCCGCCCGTCTCCGGGTATGTCAGCCGGGGCCTGACCCCCTCCCCCTGCCCCGTGTCGCTTTGGGGTGCGGGGCGCAGGGCCCAGCCGCTCGCGCCTTCCCCTCCTCCTGCCCCCAGCCTGTCGCCCCCGTTTGTCCAGCGGGCAGTTTGTCTGTCTGCCCCTCCACCCTTTGTGGGTTTTTCCAGCCAGAGTGATGGAGCCGGTTGCTATGGCAACTGCATCTGTTTACAGGACCCGCAGATCGAAGTGGCGTTAACCCTTTCCCTTCAGCACCCCCTTCCTGACCCTGCAGGGCAGCCTTGGGCACTGGGCTGCCCCACGACCCCCCCGCAGCTCACCTGGGGCGTCCCTGCCCCCAAGTCCCCCCCACACACTTTCCCTTTGTCTCCTGTGCGCTGGGCTCCTCGGGCTGCGCTCTGGGCACACACCTGGCCACTCCCCCAGAGAGGGGCCCTGACCGGGGGACCCCTCAAGTGCTATCTGTGTCGGGCTCAGGGCCGGCTCCGGCCTGGCCCCTTTTCTGCCCTGCCCTGCTCAGCGGCCCTATCCCGGCAGCCCGTCCCTGCTGGTCCTTCACCCCCTCACCCCCTGCAGCCTCTCCCCTGCCCCCCCCCACTTTCTCTCTCCTTCCCTTACCAGGGCTCCTGCCCCTTCCCACCCCTACTTGGGCAGGCAGCATCGCCTCACCCCTCCAGCCCGCGCTGCTCTCTCTTCTCCCGACTTTGCCTGTCTGGCTCTGAGTTGCTTTCTCGCTGCCTCCGTCCCCAGGTCCAGCTGGTGCTCTCGGGGCTCCGAGCCCCAGGGCTTGCTGTGGAGGGGGAGCTGCAGCCCGAGACTGGGACGGAGGGGCCCAGGCTGGCGACACGGAGCTAACAGTGACTGGGGCCCGGCCCCCTGCCCAGCCAGGGGTCCCACAGCCCCAAGGAAGAACCCTGGGGGTGGAGAAGCCCGGAGCACTAAGCTTCCTGAAAGCCAGGCACTGCCAGGCAACCCAGGGCACCCGAGGGTGCATATGACGAGGGCCCTGCCTGCCCAGGCGGGACGCCTCGGCTGCTTCTGCAACAAGTCCTTAGCTCCACACCTACTGTGTGCAGGCCGTGCGGGGGTGGGGCGGCCAGGGGAGGTGTGGTCCTCCGACCGGAACCTTCTGGGGCAGGACCCCAGATCCCAGCCCAGACCCTGAGCCCAGGCTCCCTGGTCGCTAAGCAACCTGACGGTGAGTGACGTGTGTCAGCTGTCACCGTGGGGATTGTTTGTTCCAGGGGGCTGAGTCAGCGCCAGGGGGGTGGGAGGCGCGACACCCGCTGCCTGCTGGCGGTGCCAGCACCGGGGCAGACAGACGGCACCCTTCCGCTCCCCGCTGGACTCCCCGGCTCCGCCTGGCAGCCCCAGGCTCGGCAACGAGTTGGGGGTGCTGCTCCAGATGGCCCCAGCTCCCTCCGGGAAGCCCGTGTTCTCTCCCCTTCAGCTGCCGGGGGTCTGGAGGCTTGGGGGTGAGGGGCGCAGCGCCTCCTCCTAGGGTTGGTGCAGGCGGCCTGCAGCGGGCGCCTGGGGCTGCCTCCCTGCCCCCTCCAAGACCCCACCGCGTCCACACACCCCGCTCCCACTGTTCTGGAACTCTCCGCCCTCTCCCGCACCTACCCCTCTCACAGCGACCAGCCCGCCCAGCTTAGGCCTGAGGACAGTAGTGTTGGGTTTGATCAGCCATGCTGGGCTGCAGGCCGACTTTCGCCATTGCATCGCCGCAGCCCGGGACAAGTCCTGAAACCTGTTTTCTCGGGACCGCACAGCCTGGCCCATCTAGTTGGTCGTGCCGAGCCTGTCGCAACTCCCAGAGGCAGCATGACTGCCCCGCCAGCACCCCGCAGCTCCTCTCCCGCGCTGGAGTCCCCACGGACACCCAGCTGGGCCTGTCGGGCAGGGCTCTGCAGAGCACCCCGGCCCGTCTTTGCTGGCTCTGCTGAGCTCACTTGCACCCAGGTAGCCAGGGGCCAGCAGCTTCCCCGCTGTCCCCTACCCTTCCAGCCTCTGCCCCGTCCCTCCGCCAGGAAGGCCCTCGCGTGGCTGGACAAGCTCCTGCTCCAAGTCCAGCCAGTATCTGGTGCTCCCTGTCCGCCGGGATCATTTTCTGCCGCCCCTCCCCCTGCCCCCAAGGACAGTGCTCAGCTCAGCACAGCAGAAGAGACTGTTTTGGGGGCAGTTGGGGCTGGAGCATATGGACAGATGGACGGATAGAGTTGGGGGGCATTCTATTGTGACCTTGGGCCAGGCCCCACGCCTCCCAGGGCCTGCCCACAAGCTCCATCTGGCCGGGATGCGCCTCCCCATCCCACAGAAAGACCATTGGGGGGCAAGCGGCTGCCCCCACCCTGACAGGCGCACCCCCTTCCCCAGATCATAGCCTTTGACGAGCTGCGGACTGACTTCAAGAACCCCATCGACCAGGGGAACCCAGCGCGGGCAGTAAGTGATACATGTGCTGTGCCGAGGTGTGTCCGTCCGTCTGTCCTTCCACCTGTCGCGGGGACGTGGGGAGGGATGGGGGACAGGGACGGGAAGGGGGTGTGGGAGGGGCCCCCAGTGTGTCCCCGCCCCCCAGCAAACACCTGGCACTGGCTCGGAGCTCGGGTTCCTCCTGACAGGGCCGCTGTTGCCAGGCTCTGGACCGTTGCCGTGGCGACGCGGGTGAAGGTCCCTCCATGGGAACGGTTGCCATGGGAACGGCGGCTGCTTCCTCGCCGCGCTGCCAAGGCCGCAGGCTGTTCCGGCGCCCCCTGGCGGCCGCGGGCGGACGGTGAGGGCCGCTCCGTCCGCTCCAGCTACCCCACCGCTACCTTTTCCTCCCCAACAGCGTGAGCGTTTGAAAAACATCGAACGCATCTGCTGCCTCCTGAGGAAGGTGAGTGTCCCGGCTGGCCCCTGCCTCCCGTTGTGGCTTCCCGTCTGGGGCTCGCTGGATTCTCTGGTCCCTGGGAGTGGAGGCCGAGGACGCCACCTCCCCGACCCCAGCTCCCTCTCCCTTCCTCCCAGCTGGTGGTTCCAGAATATTCCATCCACGGCCTCTTCTGCTTGATGTTCCTCTGCGCCGCTGAGTGGGTGACCCTGGGCCTCAACATCCCCCTCCTGTTCTACCATCTGTGGAGGTTAGGGGAGCCGCGGCTGGGGGTGGGGGGAGGCAAGGCCGGCCCCCCACTGAGCCTGCCTGCCCCCAGGTACTTCCACCGCCCCGCGGACGGCTCTGAGGTCATGTATGACGCAGTCTCCATCATGAACGCGGACATCCTCAACTACTGCCAGAAGGAGTCCTGGTGCAAACTCGCCTTCTACCTGCTCTCCTTCTTCTATTACCTGTACAGGTGAGGCGGCACGCCCACCCCGAGCCCCTGCCCTTCCCCCTGCCAAGGTAGGGGAGGTGTGGGGGGGGGCAGCCCGCAGCTCACAGCCTGTCTCCCCACAGTATGGTTTATACGTTGGTGAGTTTCTAAGGGGGAAACCGGCCAGGGAGCGAGCCCAGAACGGACCGGACGCCTGTGCACCCCCAGCCCTGCCCCTCGGCCGCAGAGGCCTCAGCCCTGAGGAGGGAGGGGGCACTGGTGCCCCCCCGCCGCCTCTCCATCCCCCCAAACTGCTGCTGCGGGGACCTCCCGCCTTCAGAGTCCCTCCCCTCGGACTAGGGCTGGGCAGTTCGCCCCGGGCAGGGACTCCCCTGCCAGCCTGCAGGCACCGGGTCGGTCCTGAAGGGGCAGGACCTCCGGCCTGGTCCATTTCAGGGGGGACCTGGGCTCTGCCAAAGGGCCGAGCTTGACCTACAGTTCTGGGTCACTCCCCTCCACCCCCACCCCGAGGCTCCCCCTGCAGGTGGGGGGCACCCACACCAGGAATGAGCAGGCTCAGCAGGGGGGCAGCCCCACCCCTAGTCTGCCCTCTCCCCTCCCCCAGGCTCTCTGCCCCCACCGCCCCACCCCTCCCTGTCTCCACATGCCCTGGTTCCCCCCACCCTGCCTCGTGGACCCGTTTTCTATGTTGCCTGGGGGAGTCCGGCACCCCCTCCCCGGCCATTTGTGAGAAAATATGAATAAACTACTGCAAACACGCGGGCCCCGGTCTGCTCGGGACAGGCGCGAGGAGGTGGGGCAGGGCCCCGCGGGGGCAGCCCGGGCTCCATCCCTAGAACATGAAGCTGGCCCACTTGCCCACACGCCCCTCCTCTCTGGGGGGGCCCTGGCCGCTACCCCCATTCCCCGTGGGGCCAGAGAAGGTCCAGTGGGCCGAGCATGTGTCACCTGTGGGAGCCCCGGTTCAATTTCCAGCACCATATGGTCCCCGAGTACTGCTGAGCGTGATCCCTGAACACCGCCCAGACGTGGAAAAGAGAACTCCCCCAAACAAACCCACCGCCCCCTTTTCCCAGCCCCGGAGAAACAGCTGGTCCTGTGGAGTCTGCCCTGTCTGGGACCCGCCCAGCCCCCCCAAGCGAGCAGAGGGTGGGAGGCGCCTCTGCTCCCCACTCAGCCCCAGAAACACGGGTCAGACGCAGTGATGGAAACTACGTCTTCAATGTGCGGGGCGGGGGTCACCGGACCAGGTGGAAGGTGAGCCAGTAGATGATGAGGGGCTGGAACGCCGCCGCGCCCAGCGTCAGGTAGAGATGCAGGCGTTGCCGGGGCGCGGGGCCCCCCATGCTGTCAGGGCCCAGGGCTGCCGTCCGCAGGGAGCGTACCTGGAAGAGAGGGGACATGCAGTGGGGGGGAGGGGCGGCATCCCCAGCTCCTGCCCCGGCACGGCCCAAGACTCACGATGAAGTACATGAGGGCGGATGAGGTCCAGGCCAGGGCCACGTAGTAGCCGTCACTGCCGAAGAGCAGCCCCGTGAGCACGCTGAGGATCATCCTGCGGGCAGGTGCACGGGCTGGAGACCCTCGGAGCCCGGGCCCAGTCCCCCCGCCCAGTCGGGGACTCCTGGGAGCCTGGAGGGCCCAACTCCGCTCTCAGACCCGCCTCCCTACCAGGGTGCTGCTAGGAGCCCGCCGAGCACGGGGGTCTCCGGCCGGAGGGGGCCGGGGGGAGCTCACCCCACGTATTTGTAGCCGCAGTAGGCCAGCAGGTGGAAGGTGCTCAGGTCGCTGCGCACGGTGGCCAGGTAGACGCCCAGGAGCAGAGCCAGCACCTCCATCACGATCCACACCAGCGCCGTGCTCGCACACAGGCCCAGCACCTCTGGGGAGAACCTGCAGCCAGGAGGGCCGTCAGCCGGGGACCGGGGGCAGGGGCAGGGGGCAGCAGGGCGGCACCCACCTTTTCTGAAGGCCCAGGGCCATGCCGGCCAGCAGGACGTAGGTGATGAAGGCCATTGCTGTGGAGGGGCGGAGGTGCCATCAGCCCTTCCCTCTCGCGGGGCCCAATTCCCCCCCACTTCCTGCCCTGGTGTCCCAAAGCTGTGGGCTCCCCATTCTCCCCCCCGCCCCCGGAAGTCACTGCAGCCAAGGCCACTGCTCATCTGAGGCCCACACACAGGGGCCCGCTGGCCTCAGGAAGGACCCCCCCAGGATGTTCCTGGAGTGAGGGCTGCGAGACCACGTCGTCACCTGAGCCGGGGGTCCTAAGGCGGCTTGTTCCCACCAGCGCGCCTCGTGGGAGCCAGAGCTGAACTCTTCAGCCCCCCCCACCCACGTCTCCCAAGCCCCTGGCAGGAAGCTGCCCCTCCCCCACGGCCACAGCAGTCTCATTTCCAGGCCTGAGCCTCCACCTGCAGGACAGGGCCAGCAGTTCCTGTGCTGAGAGGCCGGGGGAGGACAAGATGCATGACCTTTATCCCTCTTCCAGCCCACCACGGCCCACGGGCAAGGGCCTGGGAGTGGAGCAGGCCCGTGGGAAGGGCCTGGCCTGGGCACAGGAAGCTGTGGGAACCCCAAGGGTGCGACTTCCGGGGAGAGGGGTCTCAAGGGTGGCCTGGGGACACTCGTTCCACAGTGTGCGCCCCACGTGGGTGGATCTCTGCCGGCCACTGTCCTCATTCCCACTCCGCCCACCAGATCTAAAGACGGGGTGCCCGATCAGGTCCCCAGGGCACAGAAGGCACTGCCAGGTGCTGCACACGCCATCCCCAGAAGCCGCTGGAGTGTGCAGGACTCACTGGGGATATAGAGGTCCGGGGCGTTGAGGTCCTGGCGCGGGGGCAGAGGCACATCCCGGCTGTAGCGCACTTCCCAGTCCTGGCGGGGTACACAAGCAGAGGGGACGCTGGGGGCTGGGGGACAGCCTGGGGTGCCTGGGGGCCAGCGGCTGTCCCTGCCGGCTCACCTGGTGCGTGTAGGGGAAGACCAGCAGCCCCAGCTTCTTGGCCACGTAGGCTGTGTCCACCGCAAAAAAATACTTGAGTTTGCTCACCGACACGAAACGGTTGAGCTGGAAGGGGAGAGAGCGGGTTGTGGAGGAACTGCACCGGGTCTGGGGGGGGGGCAGGTGTCTTCTGCTGACTCCTTCCCTGCTGCAGTGCTTATGGGGGACCCCTTGATGGCCCAGCCCAGGCCGGACAACCTGCCACCTGTACCCTGGGGGTGAACCACACCTCCTTGTGCACCATGTCCTTCCCTTGCGATGCAATGGAGCTGCCATAGGTCATAGCCATGTTGGCCATTGGATCCCCAAGCAAATGGTTGACGTTGAAGGCCACCTCGGCTCCTGGGGCGGGGTAACCCCCGGGCTGGCTGGAGTAACCACTGCTGGTGTCATCAAAGAGGGGAGGCGGGTCTGGAGCCACTCGGGCTCTGTGTTTGGAGCCTGTGGGTTGGGAGGTACCACAGTAAGTGACAGGAAAACCAAGCTGGACCCCAGATCACAGCCCCTTCCCGTCCCCAGGGTGGTCTTGCATAGGTGGAGGGAAGGATCACAGGGAAGCCCTGGGTGGGTGAAGGGGAGTCCCTTGGGCCCTTTTCTATGGAGGGAACCTCAACCGAGTCTGGGAGTCCCATTTCGCCAAATGGAGATGATGGGAGGGCACGCTCCGGGAGGGGGGCGTGGGGGTGAGTCTGGGGCGAGATCACGAGCCGCACAGGAAAAGGCAGTAGTACCGGCGGCGGACACCTTCTGGCCGGGGTCGGGCACGGAATCCCGGCTGTCGCCGCCCGATCTCGGGCTGGGGACCAGAGGGCAAAGTCCGGGCCACGTTGTCGAAGCAGCCGGGGCCGAAATCCGCATGACACCTGCAGGCCCGGGCAGGCCCCCGGCCGCCCTCGCCCGCGGAGAGAGCGGACAGTGCCGAGCCCCCTCCAGCCTGCCCGGCCGCGCCCCGCCCGCCCCGCGCCCCACGCACGCACCGTGGGCTCCGTAGCCCGAGTGATAAGCCATGGCTGCCACGCTCGCTTCTCCCCGACGTCCCGCTGCTCCGCCTCGCGGGGACCGCTACCAACGAGCAGCTGCTCCGCTCACCGAGCACGGAGAGAGGTTAGCGAGCGGACCGACACGTCCCCGGCCGGCCCGACCGCAGCCGCCATGTCCGCGGCGTCACCCCTCGCCGGCTTGCCATTGGCTCGCCGACAGCGCCGGCTCGCCCCTCCCCTCTCCCAATTGGCTGCCGGCGCGTCCTCGCCGAAGCGGATTCGCCGAGCTAACTTCCGGGTAGGAAATGGGCGGAGAAACGAGGGGGACGCTCGGATTGGACAGCGCGTGGGCTAGGCCGCGTTGGTAGCAGCCAATGGAGAAGCTCAGGCAGGAGGGTGAGAACCAGTCCTGCGGCTGCGCAGTGATGCGCCTGACGCGCGCCCTGCCACGACGACAGCGGGGAAAGGACCCGGCGGAGGCCGGCGGGGGCTGCAGGCTGGAGGGAATCCTCGTTCCGGGGACGTACTCGAGGAGGAAAAGGGGACACTGGGGCTCCCCCCTAGCCCCATCTCTCAGGGTTCCTCGCTTTCTGCAAGGGTCGTTTTCTTGCCAGGTTCCCATAACGCCCTCTAGTGCTGATGCGAAGCCGAGGCGATCCCGGTGGTATTGGTCGGAGGCCCGGCCCGGCAGTGACGAGCGGCCGGGCCGGCCCAGGGACGCTGACGCCTCCCGCCCGCCTCCACCCCTCCTCCCGCGCGGTGCTGTCCACCGTCCGGTGCTGAAATAGCTCATTTTCGCCGCCGCCGTTCTCCGAAGGGGAAGGGCTGCTGCCGGGAGAGCCTGGGGTCCCCATCCCCGCCCACGCTCATTGCGCATATTAAAAACTCCGGGGTCAGGGCCCGCGGGGATGCACCTGGCTGACCCGGGTTCGATCCCTGACACCACGTGTGGTCTCCCAAGCCCCGCCAGGAGTGACCCGGAGTGCAGAGCCAGGAGTGAGCCCTGAGCATCGCTGGGTGTGTCCCCCAAACAAAACAAAACAAAAAAACCACTTAAGTCCAGAAGACGTGAGGTCTCAGCGATTAAACGGTATGTAGCTTGGACAGGGGTATGCATCCCATTTGTCTGGCTGGCCCTTCCGCGGTGAAGGGCTACCTTCAGTCCACCTCTTCCTGAAGATGTGGGTGAAACTCATGAGTCATTGCAGGGCCTGCCGTCTTCCTGAAATGAGACCCTGAGCATCATTTCTCTTCCACGGCTTCCTTTCTCTCCGCCCGATTTCTGACCACTCCCGCCTTCCTGGAGACCCTCTAGGGAGTGAGGGGGGGGGGGCCTCCGCTCCATTCTCGAGGACTTCTGGCTCCTGGACTGCTGCTTTCCAGAGAGCAGAAAGCGGCCCTCTGTGATGGTCCCGAGCCAGATGCTCAGTGTCCCGTTACTCTCGGTGACCTTCCTGCTCTCCAAACTTAGCCACGTGGTCCAACTGCAGGCGTGTCCGCCCAAAAGGCCCTTCCACCTGCGATGCCCTCCCCCTCACAGCCACTTGTCGATTCCTGGTTCTCCTTTAAGTGTCCCTTCCCGGGTGCAGCTCTGAGACAGCCAGACAAGAGCAGCCTGACTGGCCTGCGGTGTAGGCTGAGCGGATCCTCCCCACCCCACCCCACCCCACCCCAGCCCCGGGGTTTGCCCTGATGTCAGTTCGGCACAGACCCTCTGCCCCCACCCTTGTCATCACAATACCGAGCACAGGGACACTTCGAGAAAACCCCAATAAATACGTGTCCAGTGAAGGGTATTGGGTGAAACACAGCGGGTCTCTCCGCCCCATCCTCAAACGGGTAGGGATGTTGAAGCGAAGGTCTCGAGTTATCCTTTGGTGGGGGGCAGAGAGTCACACGTGAAAACCCACTGAGCAGAGCAGTTCCCCGAGTCCCACAAACTGATTGGGCAGCCGGGGGCAAGCCCCAGACCCTGGAACCTGGCACAGTGACCATCTGAGGCCTTGAGGGCCGAGTCGGGGCCTCCGCGTGCGGGGCAGGGGGCCAGCACCTCCGCATCCCCAGGCCGCACGTTGGGGCGCAGAGCTGGGGGGGGTCGAGGTAAAGCAGCCGGGCCCTCGGCGGTCCTGGCCCCAAAGCCTGACCCCTCCAGGCCCGCTTTGAGGCTCAACACACCTTCCCGGAGGCTAGTGGGTGCCCTTCCCCCCACCAGTGAGGTTTCAGACGTGGGGTCTGGGTGGGCTCGTTTGTGCTTACACCTGGGAGATGGAACCCCGCGGGCCCCCCGTTTTTGAGATCCCCCGTCAGCTTACAACCTGGGGGTGGGGGTAGACGCGGGTCCCCGCGGGCAAGGACTCGCCCAAGGTCGTCGCGCTGTGCGGCGGCCTGAGGGGCTGGGGGCTGGCGCGGCCCGCGGGCGGCTCGGGTGCGGGGTGCGGGGTGCGGGGTGCGGGCGGGGGGGGGGGACCGTGCCAGGCGCTGCCGGCGGCGCCGCCGGAGCCGCGGGGGCGGGGTCAGCGGAGGGCGGGGCGGGCCCCGCGGCCGCCGACGCCGCCGCGCTGGGGCAGGAGCGGGCGCAGATGCGTGCGTGGCCGCCGAGCCGAGCGGACGCCCTCCGGGCCGCTCCGCAGCCTGCGCGCCCCCCTATCATGCCCGGGGCCGCCCCCGCTGCCAGGACACCATGCCCGAGGGCGGCGGCGGCGACGGCGGGGAGGCGCCGGGGTTCGTCCCGGACTGCGAGCCGCTGCGGGAGGAGGTAGCGGCGCTGCGGGCGGTGGGGGCGGGGAGGCCGGGCGGGGGCCGCAGGGGGAGCCGGGGGAGCCCCCGGCAGCGGCCCGGGGCGGGGGGGAGTCGCGGGACCCCTGCGGACGATGACGTCATGGGGGTCTCGGCGCCCCTCGAGGGGTCCCCCGGGTCGAGGGGCCTGCGTGAGCAGGGAGGAGGAGGTGGGGTGGGGTGGGGCGGCTGGGGACCGAGGTGGGAGGTGACGCCCACCGGCGGCGCCCCCTCACCCCGCCTCGCCCGGCGGTGACGTCAACGCCGGGCCCCCGCGCGTCTCGGGTCCGCAGCGCCGCCCGCGACCCCCGGGACGGCGGGGTCAGGCCCCCCGGCCCCGGCCCGCGGCGCGTGGGGTGCCGGGGCGGCGCCTGCAATGCAGCAGCCGGGCCGGGGCTCGGGCGCGGAGCGGGGGAGGCGGGAACGGGGCGGGAGCGGCCGATTCTCCCCGCCCGAGGAGCCCCCCGTGCCCCGGCCGGGGAGACCGCCCGCGGGGTGCGGGGCGCTGCGGTGAGAGGCTCCGGGGGGCGCTGGAGGAAGAGCGCGAGCCCCACGCCCGGCCCTGGAGTCGGGAGCGACGGGGGTCCTTGGGCACGTGGGGGCCGCGGAGGCGCGGGAGGGGGCCGGGAGGGCTGCGGTGGGGGGGCCCCAGCGGAGGGGCCGGTGGGTCCCCGGTCCTCTGCGCAGGAGGAGCCCCGAGTGTGCTGTGTGCCAGGTGGGGGGGCACCTGGAGGTGGGTCCGGAGACTGTCGCATGCCGGCGGAGGTGGCATCTGTGCTTGGCGCCTGCCAGCTGCCTGTGGGGTACCTTGGGGTGTGCACGGGCGGGGTTCGGAGAGGCTTGGCGCGGCGGGCACACCTCTGCCGGCCTCTGGGGCGCCTCGCGGCCCTCCCTGCTGTGCCCGCCAGGCGGGGCCCTTCTCCCTCCCCCCTCCTCCTCCTCGCCCCTCTTCCTGCAGAGGCACGGGATGGGATGGGGGCCCGCAGCCCCGGGCCAGCGAATGGCCCCGCTGTCCAGCAGCTGTGCCCGCCCCCGCTCTCGGCAGCGCAGATGGGGAGTGGAGGCCGGAACTCCATCTGCTCCCCCAGACTCACTCCGCCCCCAGCACTTCCTCCCTCACCTCCTCCGAAGGCTGAGTCTCCCACCGGGAAGGGGTCTCGGTGACAGCAGGTGGCCCCCACCCCCCTCACCCTTCCAGCCCGGGAAATAAGCCCCCACCCTAGTCCCGCCCCGTGGTGGGCATCTGCCAGGCAGGTCCAGGTGAGGCCAGAGATCCGGACGGGGCGGACCCTTCCCAGGGCGGGGCGGGGCGGGGCTTCTCACCCTGAGGTCCCCAAAGGCCCAGCGAGGGGCACCCCACACAGCCGTGCAGGGGCCACCCAGGACGGGGCACCAGCGGGGAAGGTTCCAGGCCCCAGGCCTGGGTTTTGAGGGCGAGGAGCCCGGCGCCTCCGTTTCCTCCCCCCGTCACCCGGGGCGCACGCTCCCCCCTGCTTCCGGAGGCTTCGGGGCACCCCCCTGACCCCCGCCTCTCTCCTCCCCTGCAGCAGCGGCCCCTGAAACAGTCCCTGGGAGGCTCCCTCTGCCGGGAGTCGCACTGGAAGTGTCTGCTCCTCACGCTGCTCATCCACGCCTGCGGCGCCGTGGTGGCCTGGTGTCGCCTGGCCACCGTGCCACGGCTGGTCCTGGGGCCGGAGGCCGCGCTGGCCCGCGGGGCGGGGGGCCCGCCGCCCACCTACCCCGCTAGCCCCTGCTCGGACGGCTACCTGTACATCCCGCTGGCCTTCGTCTCTCTGCTCTACCTCCTCTACCTGGCCGAGTGTTGGCACTGCCACGTGCGCGCGTGCCAGGCGCCGCGCACCGACGCGCACACGGTGCTGGCGCTGATCCGCCGGCTGCAGCAGGCGCCGCCGTGCGTGTGGTGGAAGGCCACCAGCTACCACTACGTGCGCCGCACCCGCCAGGTGACGCGCTACCGGAACGGCGACGCCTACACCACCACGCAGGTGTACCACGAGCGCGCCGACAGCCGCACGGTGCGCGGCGAGTTCGACTACTCGGCGCACGGCGTGCGCGACGTGTCCAAGGAGCTGGTGGGGCTGGCGGAGCACGCGGCCACGCGGCTGCGCTTCACCAAGTGCTTCAGCTTCGGCAGCGCCGAGGCCGAGGCGTCGTACCTGACGCAGCGCGCCCGCTTCTTCGGCGCCAACGAGGGCCTGGACGACTACCTGGAGGCGCGCGAGGGCCTGCACCTCAAGGACGTGGACTTCCGCGACTCGCTCATGGTGTTCGCCGACCCGCGCCGCCCGCCGTGGTACGCGCGCGCCTGGGTCTTCTGGCTGGTGTCGGCCGCCACGCTGTCGTGGCCCCTGCGCGTCGTGGCGGCCTACGGCACCGCCCACGTGCACTACCAGGTGGAGAAGCTGTTCGGGGCGGGCTCCCCGCCGCCCGGCGCGGGGCCCAGCGGGCCGCCCCTGTCGCGCGTGGCCACGGTGGACTTCACCGAGCTCGAGTGGCACATCTGCTCCAACCGCCAGCTGGTGCCCAGCTACTCCGAGGCCGTGGTCATGGGCGCCAGCACGGGCGCCTACCTGCGCGGCTGCCAACGGTGCCGCCGTTCGCTGAGCAGCAACTCTCTGCCCCCCGCGCGGCCCAGCGCGCCCCGCCTGCCCTTCAGCCGCAGCCGCCTGTCGCTGGGCGCGGGGGGCCGCGCCACCCCCGGCGTCTTCCGCAGCCTGAGCGGGGGCCCCCTGGGGCGCCGCGGGGAGGACACGGAGCCCCTGGAAAGCCCCCCGTGCTACGAGGAGGCCCTGTACTTCCCGGTCCTCATCGTGCACGGGGACAGCGGGTGCCGGGGGGACGGGCAGGGCGCGCTCTGAGGCGGGCCGCCGTCCACCCGGGCTCCGCAGCAGGAGGGGAGCTGGCCTGCCCCGGGGGGTGGGGTGGGGGGTGGGGTGGGGTTCACGCACAGAGGGGGGTGCGGCGGGGGCGAGTGCGCCCTGTCCCAGCCGAGTCTGAGCACCGTCCCGGCTCGCCCCCGCCAGCCCCCGTTCTGACCCCCCTCCCCAGGACGGCAGACTCTCTGGCTTGAGGGTCCTCGGGCCGGACAGGGAGGAAGTGACCAGAAAGCCAAGGGCAGAGGCCCGCGGACACTCGTGGGCTCCCTCCTGCATGGTTGAGGCCCAAAGGGCTCCTGCCTGCCCCCAAGAAGCACAAGCTGGTGGTTTGGGGTCCTACCCCCCTGGGCTGGCCTCCACACTGCAGGAGCGCCAGCGAGGGGACCCCCACAGCCATGGCCCTGCTACCCCCAAAGCCCACACCCGTCCCGCCTGTCACCTCAGTTGGCCACCAACCCCGGATCAGACATCCCCATACCGTGGGTCCCCCCTCCCGAGAGCCTGGATCCCAGGGTACAACTTCATGCCACCCTCACCCCAGTGCTCCCTGGTGCCCCTCATCCTGGGGACCCTTCTCAGGGCCCCTCTGCTGCGTCCCCGCTCCTGCCCCTGCAGCCTCCATCCACGCGTCAGCCACGCACACGCCCTCCAGACTTCGCCCTCTCATCACACCCCTTCTCTGCTCTTCACCTTCCCAGCCGGGGCCCCGATTCTCCCCGCGGGGCCGGCCCAGGAGAGGAGAGTGTGGCCCCTTCCTCCCAGCCGGGGTCCCCACCCAGGGGCTGCGGGGATGGAGGGGGCAGAAGAGCTACAGCTGAAATAAAGGTGTGAGCCGGAAGTTGTGTCCTGCACGTTCCTGGCGGTGCCCGCGCTCAGGGGGTAGGGGTTGGGGGGCGCCTGACTTCCGAGCGGGGAAACTCCCAGGCCCTCCCTACTCCCTTGGCCTCAGACTCAGGCCGGGGGTCTGGGCTGGGTCACTTCTGAGTCTTCCTGCTGTGGGAGGCACAGAATGCTGAGGCTGTGTGAGCTGAGGACCAGGGAGAGGCAGCTGGTGCCCCACGCAGGGAGAAGAGCTGAGGTCAGCCCCGGGACAATTCTGGGGTCCTGCACCCAGGGGATTGTTGTGGGGCAGGTTGGCGAACACACAGGCAGCCCTCCAGCCGGCTGGTGGGGCCAGAAGGCTGGAGGGGCTTCTGCGCACATGGGCGGTTGTGCAGGCTGCTGACTGCACAGGGACCGAGGACCCAGCCCGCAGGCTACCGGGAGTCTGGCGTGCAGCTGCGTCCACCTGGATCAAGGGCACCCTTTTGGAGACCAGGAGAGGGCTCAGAACCCTGTCCCCAGGGTTCCCCCAAGGAATAACTCAGATGTGGCCTTGAAGTAGCAACGACATCTACAAAGAGAGGTGTGCTGTTTGTTCTTTCGTTTGGGGGTGGGGGCCTCACGGGCAGTGCTCAAGGGTCACTCTCAGCTCAGTGCCTGGGAGTTATTCCTTGGTGGTGCTCATGAGCGTGTGGTGCTGGGGGTGGGCACCAGGGTTCTTTCATGCAGAGCCTGTGCTCTGCCTTCAGCTGTCTCTCCGGACCCGAACATCCTTTACAGATTTATTTTAAAATACCATAAGGGGTTGGAGCGATAGTACAGCAGGTAGGGTGTTTGCCTTGCACGCGGCCAACCCAGGTCCAATCCCTGGCATCCCATAGAGTCCCCCAAGCACCTCCAGGGGTAATTCCTGAGTGCAGAGCCAGGAGTAATCCCTGAGCATCGCTGGGTGTGACCCAAAAAAAGAGAAAAAAAAAAGGAGTTGAAGTGGAGAGGGTGCTTGCCTTGCACGCAGGTGCCGGGTTCAATCCCCAGCATCCATTAAGGTCCCCTGAGCACTGCCAGGAGTAATTCCTGAGTGCAGAGCCAGGAGTAACTCCTGAGCTTCACCCCCCCCCCAAATTAAAAAAGACACCACAAAGGGCCTAGAATAGAGCTGAGAGTGATGGGGGTCCCAGGCAGAGACAGAGTACAAGGTGTCCCAGGAGTGGGAGAAGCCTGGGTCTCAGGTCTGCAGAAAGCCAAGCAGGAGAAACATGGAGCTAAGCTGAGTCCACTTGGGCCTTTAAAGCAAACCCTCAGGTTTAAACGGGCATCCAGGAGCTCATGGGAGGAGCTGTTGGGGATGATGAGGTCTAAGCTGCATTTAGATTTTGTTGTTATTGTTTTAACGCCACATCCAGAGATGCTCAAGGGATATCCAGGCCCTGAACTCAGAAATTACTCCTGGTGGGGCTCAGGGCACTATACGGGAAGCCAGGGGTAGAACCTCCTTTCGCCATACGCAAGACAAGCACCCAACCCTCTGTGTTATGGCTCCAGCCCCTGCATTTAGATTTTGAAGAAAATTAAGCTGCTTGGAGCCAAGGTGGGGGATGGTGAGCGTCACACCCTGTGGTCAGCAGCCCACTGTTCCACTTAGCTTGGGAACACAAGTGGTTGAAAAGCCACTTCCGTGGAAACGCTCCAAGGACCAAACATTAAGGAGGCTGCCGCCGGCAGGGGGCGCCATGGCCCAATCTCTCTCCTGCCACCAGCAGGGGGCGCCATGGCCCCATCCCCTCCCCTCTTCCACCCGGCGCTAGCATCACCAACAACTGCCCCATAGCCACTGGCCCTTCTCCGCCGTCCCCTCCAGATCAGAGGCCTGGTTTCCCTTCAGAGGTCAGAGTCGCTGAAGGCAGCCTTCCCAGCCGCCCACACACCTAGATGCAGCTTAATGTTCCTTGAAATAGAAACACTGGCAACGTCAGTTTCCAATTTGTTTTTTTTTTAATTTTGGGGAGTAGGGAGAAGGCTTGAGCCTCACCTGCTGTTCCTGACTGTGCTCAGGGAACATTCTTGGTGGTGCTCAGGGAACCGTATGCGGTGCTGGGGGTTGAATCAGGGTCACTTGCATGCAAGGCAAGCACCTTATTCTCATCCTGTACCCAGACTGGAATGCAGACGTGATAGCTGGAATTCCAGCCCTGACCTTGGGTCAGGAGATAGCTTTGAAGGTCTGGGGATGTAGCTTGGTGGGACAGTGCTTGCCTAGCATGTGTGAGGTCCTGGGTTCAGTCCCCAGCTTGAGAAAAAAGAAACGGGGGAGCTTGAGACAGACCTGTTCTGGGAGAACAGAAAACCAGGATGGGAGCTGGAGAGACAGCACAGTGTTCAGGGCACTTGCCTTGCACACAGCCAACCTGGGTTCGATCCCCGGCATCCCATATGGTCCCCCCAAGCACCAGCAGGAGTAATTGCTGAGTGCAGAGCCAGGAGTAACCCCTGAGCATCACCAGGTGTGACCCAAAAAGCAAAAAAAAAAAAAAAGAAAGAAAGAAAAGAAAAGTTTGAGCTGGTGAAGCCCTTGTTTCCTCTTTGACCGGAGGCTATTGTGGCTTCTGCCCTCTCCTGCTCCAAGCCAGGCCGGCAGCAAGTGACTTTCCTCCCCCAGAGGGACAGTGTGGCCACTCCACTTCCGGGGCCAGGCGTCAGAGGCCTTGCAGTGTCTGCAGCTGCCAGGCTGTGAGGTTGCCCAGAACAGTCTCACTGGAAGTTGTGAGGCCTCCAGGGGATATGCCAGGCTAGTCGAGCCCCAGGCGACAGTGGCCAGAGGTGCCCTAGCCTGAGGCTGAGGGACCATCATGTGGACCCACTTTGCTGCCCTACAGAAGAACCCCTTGGGGCTGGAGCAATAGCACAGCGGGTAGGGTGTTTGCCTTGCACACGGCCAACCCAGGTTTGATTCCCAGCATCCCATATGGTCCCCCAAGCACCAGCAGGAGTAATTCCTGAGTGCAGAGCCAGGAGGAACCCCTGAGCATCGGCTGGGTGTGAACCAAAAAGCAAAAAAAAAAAAATGAAGAAGAAACCCTTGATTTGGAGAGCCACCAAGATTTGGGGAGATTTGGTACAGGCGGCGGAGAGCTCTGCCTGTGACCCACTACCACCTGGGTTAGAGTGGGGGGGGGGGGGCGCAGAGCCCAGTCAGGCCCGCCAGAGGGCGCTCACCTTTGGGCTGCCTCGTGCCCTGGTTCATTTGTTCGTTCTTTAACAGAACCAGGAGGTTCTAGCGGAGGTTCCATCCCTGCACTGCAGGGTCCCGGGGAGCACTGCCAGGAGGACCCCAGAGCACCACGGAATGTGGTCCAGAAATATAAAAATAATTTTTTTTCAGGGGCTGGACCCATAGTCAGTGGGTAGCGCGTTTGCCTTGCACGCGTGGCAGACCCAGGTTCGATCCCCAGCATCCCATATGGTCCTCCAAGCACTGCCAGGGGGTAATTCCTGAGTGCAGAGCCAGGTCTAGCCCCTGAGTATCGTCGGGTGTGGCCCAAAAAAACAAACAAAAAAATTAAATAAAAAAAATTTTTTTGTTCAGGGCCAGTAGAGAACTGGGCATGGCTCGCTGCCCTGGAGTCTTTCAGATCCGTGTTCTGGGCTCAGGAAGGTGCCCAGGTCCTGTTCTCCTGCCTCCCCACCTGGAGTGCCCCAGGGAGTTTGGGGCTCCTCAGTGGGTCGAGCTCAGAGCCCCCAGGCCAGCATACCTTCCCCTCAAGCCACCTGGCTCCAGAGCTGGGGTTGGCACCGAGTGGCCCCAAGCATGTCTGGAAATGGTAAGAGGGACCTGGAACAGGCGACAGAGTCCCTGGGCAGTGACCACAGGGGACTAACGGAAGAGCGGACAGTCGGGTGGCACTCGGGGCTCAGGATGGCACCGCACCTGCACTCGGGAGCAGCTTCTGTCCCCAGGGCCAGCCCAGACTCGGTGTCAGCTCCCTTCAGCCACCTACGGTCAGCTTCCCAGGAAGACCTATGTCTCCTCTTTCTATTTTAAAAATCTGTAAAATGAAACTGGCCGACATGATTAATGCTGACTTCTGTTTTCAGCATTATAGAAGACATCAGGGCCCAGCGAGACAGCACAGCGGTTAAGACATTTGCTTCGCACGGGGCCAATCCCAGCTCAATCCTAGCCTCTACGGTAACTCCCCAACCCCTGCCCAGAGTGGTCCCTGAGCACAGAGCCAGGAGTAAGTCCTGAGCATAGCCAGGTGTAGCCGAAACACAAAAAACTTTTTTTTTTAGTGTTATAAAAAAAAAGTGCTGAATATCTTCATTTTTAAAAAACAAGTAAAGGGGGCTGGAGTGATAGCACAGCAGGTAGGGTGTTTGCCTTGCACGCAGCTGATCCGGGTTTGATTCCCAGCATCCCATATGGTCCCCTGGGCACTGCCAGGGGTGATTCCTGAGTGCATGAGCCAGGAGTGACCCCTGTGCGTTGCCGGGTGTGACCCAAAAAGCAAAAAGTAAATCAAAATAAATAAAAACAAGTAAAGGGAGGCCTGAGTGATAGGACAGCGGGCAGGGAGCTTCCCTGCACGTGGCCGCACCTGGGCTTCAGTCCCCAGCACCCCAAAGATCCCTCGGGCACTGCCAGGTTCAAGAGTGGTCACTGAACACCGCTATGTGTGGTCCCCAAACCAAACTGAAACAAAACTCGAAAACCAGAGAGAGCAGAGAGACAGCACACACGCCTGGGGCCTGCAACCTCCCTGCTTCAGGCCCTTGCGCCATCCCTGCCTCAGACCTTCCCTCCCGTCTCTGGGCCTGTCCACACCTTGCCCGAAGCCGGGATCCACAGCATGTGACAAGGGGCTGGAGCAATAGCACAGTGGGTAGGGCGTTTGCCTTGCTCGCGGCCAACCCGGGTTCGATTCCCAGCCTCCCATATGGTCCCCTGAGCACTGCCAGGGGTAATTCCTGAGTGCAGAGCCAGGAGTAACCCCTGTGCATCGCCAGATGTGACCCAAAAAGGAAAAAATAAAAAAAGCACAGCAAGTGGCAGGCCGGGCTTGGTGCCTGGTGAACGGCAGTCTTACTGTTCAGCTAACTGGCCAGAGACATTCTATCTGTTTGCTTTTTCTTGGGGGCCATACCCAGCCGCGGGCAGGGCCGTGGGTGGTGCTCTGGGACTTTGTTTTGCTTGTTTTGCGGCCACACCCGGTAGTGCTCCGGATTTACTCCTGGCTCTGCACTCAGAAGTCACTCCTAATGGACTCAGGGACCATGCGAGGTACAGGGATCACCCTGACCCACTGTGCTACTGTTCAGACCCTCAAAGGGGCCGTAGTCGGTGCCAGGATGGAACCCGGATCAGCTGTGTGCCGAGGAAGCCCCTACCCGAGAGACTCTTCCGGCGCCTTCGTCCTGGGCTCCTCTGTACCATTCCCGGGAAGGTCGCCCCTCCCTGCACCGGCCAGAGCTGCTGCGATGCTGGAGAGGCCAGAGCCTTGGCCAGGGGTGAGCGCATGATCCGGCCTATCTGCTTCTGCGCATGCTCTGTTCTATCTGCCTCTATCCTGGCACCACATGGTCCCACAGTGCCGCCAAGGACAAACCCGAACACAGAGCCAGGAGGGATCCCTGAACACTGCTGGCTGTGGCCCCCAAGACGTCTGCACGTCCTGGGCTGTGGAGGGATGCCCTGGCAAGTGCCTGGGGTGAGGCTGTAGGGGAGGGAGAGAGGGAGAGAACTTACTCCCTTGCACAGGGTGAGTCCTCGTGAGGTGTGACAGCCCCCAGGGAACTCACCAGGGAGGCGTCACCACACCCAGCTCATGCCACACCCAGCTCTGTTCGGGGCTTATTCCTAGCTCTGTACTCAAGGATCACTCCTGGTGGTGCTCAGGTCATATGGGGTGTCAGAGACCAAACCCAGGTTGGCCACATGCCAGGCAAGTGCCCTGCCACTGTTCTCTCTCTTCAGCCCCAGAACAGTCTTTGGAATTGATTTTGCTCGGTACGACGTACCCGTTTCCACTGCTGCAACAAGTCAGGCTCACAGGGGCCCGAGCTTGGCATCTGTCCCCCACAGTCCCCCTAGGGTCCTGGTGGGAGCAGAACCTTCTGTTGCCCACAAACTGCTTCCCAGGGGCACCCCAAACAGCTGCTGCACGGTCACGCCCCTTCACAATCTTCCACACCCCATACATGCTCTTGACCTTGCAGTGCTGGAGGGGCAAGCTGGAACATGAACACGTGACTCCCACGGGTGGGGCGCATGTTAGGATGGGCCCGCATGAGTGCTATGGAGGGAGAAAAGGACCCAGCCCTGGGATCTCTCGGCTCTGCCTTCCGTGGGAAACAGGAATGTGGTTTATTTAGGGAGTTTATCGGCCTCCCTATATCAGACGCATCGGGACACCCACGGAGTGACTTTAGCCAGACGGGAAGGCCCGTACCCACTACACAGTCATAGTTGGTCTCCCCACTATGATTGCGAGCACCTGCGAGTGGATCCAGGTTCTGCCCGAGGGAGTCGGCAGTCAGTGGCGTGACACAAATGACTAATTAATCAGCCTTTGGTTAATTGACTAAATTAAGCAGCTTTTGTTTAATTGACTCCGCGCCTCGGGGCTTCCCGGTGGCTGCCAGACACCGCGCAGCCGGCAGGTGGCGCCAAAGGCCCGCTCCGAGACGCGAGCTGCGAGGCGCGCGGAGCGGCACCGTGGACGGAGGGACCGTCGCGGCGAAAGAGGCGGTTCGAGGGTATCCGGGTCAGACACGAGGTGTGTGCGGAGGACCAGGGGGCCTGAGCAACCCCAGAAGGCGGCGAGCGACTCGGAGAGCCCTGCGAGCGCGGCCATGCCCGGGAGGAGGCGGGGCCCGAGGGCGGCGGTTCGGCGTGGGCCGTGCGTGCGTGCAGACGCGGAGACAGGGGCGGGCACGCGGGCATCCTTAGCGGCGCTGCTGCTGCTGCTGGGTCCTTCGCTCCGTGGCCGGGGAAGCGCGCAGTCCGCACGCAGGCGAGGCCTGCCGGCGCGCTGAACGGGACCGCGCGCAGGGCGGGGTTCGCATCGTGGTTCTGATCCACGGGATCCCCTACCCTGGCGGACCGCGTCCCCGGCTCAGTCCCGAGGCGGAGCTCCCAGCTTTGCCAGGCGACGCACGAAAGTGCGTGAGGAAAACGTGTAACTGCGGGGCGGCTTCTGGACGCGGGAACTCAGGACTCTGCGAATCCCCGCTCGAGCCGCGGCGAGGAGGCGGGGTTTTGGCCCAGACGAACGGTGCCATTGGACGACCTCCGTCTTCGGGGCGGGGCACGATGGGCGAAGGGGCGGGGCAGCCGCTCTAGGAAAAACTGAGCTGGCGGGGGCGTGGCTAGAATTCGGGGGCGTGGCCTCGGGAGCGGCCGCCAGGGGCGCGGCGGGGTCGCGCCGGGAGGGGCGGGGCCTAGTACCGGTGGGCGGGGCCTGGGCGCCCGCGCGGGGGACTGGGCGGAGCCCCGGGCGGGCGCGGGCGCGGGCGGGGGCGCAGCCCTGGGAGGCGTCCGTTTCGGGCCGCACGCAGCTCCGCATCTGGTGCTCATTACCGGATGACAAAGAGCCGGCTCTGGGCCCCCTTCCCCACTCCCATCCCCTCCCTCCACCGCGGTGCCCTTAACCCTTTCCTGCCCTCGGATCGCTCCGGTGCCCCGGCCCAGGACCACCTGGGGAGGCGTCACTGCCCCCCAGACTGGCAGGCTTGGCCATCCCCAGGCTGCGCCCGTACGTCTTTCTCATACCCCGACATTCGCGGCCGCCTCGTGGGCCCCCACGCCCAACCCACGAACCTTTCCAGCGGCGCCTCGGAGGTTAAAAGTCTGTGCTGGCCCGGGGGCGTCTGGTTTGAGTTAGGGGAACGTGAGAGTGGGGGGCGGTGCGCGGGGTTCCCCCGCCCTCCCCGCGCGCCGACCCCTCCCGCCTCCCGCCTCGTCCCAGCCCCGACCCCTCCTCTCCCAGTCCCCCTGGAGCCAGCCCAGACCCAGCTTTGGGGACTGAGGGTGACGTTGAACCCCCGGGTAGGGAAGGGGGCGCTGGGCTGCTCCACGGCTGTTCGGGTGGTCGCAGCGGTTCTTCCCAGACCTAATTAGAGGCTCTTTAATGGCCACAACTGAGAAATTACAGAGGCAGTGGGAACCGGCGCCTCCCCGCCGGCTCCCCAAGTGAGCCCAGGAGGGGGTGATCACCAGGTCCCCCCCAGATGGTGGCCTCTCACTATCTCTCGGGGTGCTGTAGACCTGGGCTGCTCGGATCCTCTCTTCAAACTGGGCCTCCTAGGTCCAGGCACCCCCGAAATTGGCCCCAAAGGGAAGGTCCTGCCCAGGGTACTGCCCAGAGCAGTGGGAGGAATCTGAGCACAGGCCCCAGTTGCCCCCTCCAGAGGGGCGGGGGAGGGCGACAGCATCAGCATCGGAGCCACAGCAGACCCCTCATTCCCGGGTAGAATCACCCTTGTGGGCCGCAGGGTCTGTCACCCCGAACCCTTCCCCCAGCCAGCTCCATCTCTGAAATTTGGGCAACAAGAGGAATAAACATGGAATTCTCCCTCCACTGACCTCACCCTGGGCCAGGCACTGCCCCCACTGGCCTCCAGCTGCCCTGGGGCTCACGGGCGCCCTCTCCCGGGCTCTGGAGGGACTCACCTTACTCCACAGGGGTAGGGGTCCAGACCAGCCCTTTCTTCCGGAGTCCTCCCAGACCCTCCCGTGAGTCAGCAACGCGCCAGACGCTCCAGGCGAGGCAGCACCCCATTTATTGGAGAAGACCCCAGCGAGCACCCGCCCCCTGCAGTCCTGGGGGCCTTGGCGTCTCCTCTGCCGGGGAGCCGAGTTCCTGAGTCGTGCCTCGCAGGTGTGTGGGCTGGGGGAGCCCAGAGGCCTCTGTCCAGCGGGCCGGCTCCCCTGGGTCCCTGTGCGGCCCGGGCCATGAGTCCAGTGCATGCCCCTGCCCCCCACCCGCGGAGGGGGGACGGCGCCCCATCACACACTGGTTCTGCAGGTCTGCACCCCACTGAGGCTGCTCCGGGGGGCCACAGGTTCCGAGGGGCCCTTGCTGCCCGTCTGGGTCACCCAGCGGTAGCAGTTGGTGACACGCTTGTTGGGGGCATGGGGGCCGCAGCGGGTGCAGTACACAATGCCCAGCGCGAGCAGGACCACCAGGAAGACGCACGTTGGCACCAGGAGGGCCACCAGCAGCCAGCGGTCATCCCTCCGGCTGCGGCCAGCCAGACTGGCCTCCCCGAGGGCCGTGGGGGCTGCTGACGTCAGCCTCGGGGCCAGCGGGGGGTCAGGGGTCCCTTCCCTTGGGACTGGCTCGACTTCGGAATGGGGGTCTGGAGCACTGGGCAGTGACGTCTGTTGGCTGGAGCTCTGAGACCACCGGGGAGTGTGGGGGTCTGGGTGCGGGGGCCTGTGGTGGGCAGGGGCCCCCGGGGCCTTGGAGGTAGTGGTGGGCAGGGGTGGGGCAGTTGGGGTCCGGGGGAAGTGGGTGGTGGCGGCTTGGAAGAGCAGGGAGCTTGAGGTGCCAGGGGTGCGGGGGTCAGTGGAGGCGTTGGCCAGAGGGACGCGGGTAGTTGGGATGGGAGACGCATGAGCCGAGTGTGGGGTGTCAGGGACACGGAGGGCTGGAAATGGGGGAGATGGACGGGAGGGGGCCAGTCCCAGATGTTCGGTGGAGATGAGGGGTGGAGATGTTCGGGGGCCAGAGGGCTGGTGTGGGGTGCTGGTGGGGAAGAGAGGGATGAGGGGGCCGGGGGGCACCACCACGGGCGGGGTCCTGGGGTTCTGACGAGCAGGGGGCCAGGGGGCACCCGTGGCAGAAACAGTCAGGGGTTGCCGGGCAGAAGGCAGAGCCGGGGACCGGGCAGGGACCCTGGGGTAATGGGGGGCCGGGGGCAGGGGTGGGCGGGTGACGGAGAGCACCGAGGAGTGATAGGGGCCCCTGGGTGGGAGGGGGCGGGTAGGCTCCGGGTGCAACAGCAGGGGCCCGCTGTCCTCAGGGAAGTTGGGGTTGTAGGCCGCCCCAAAGTCCGCCGACGGTGAGGCCACCATCCACGGGGCCTCAGGATCCTCTGTCCAGACCTGCGAGAAGAAGTCCCAGGGTATGTCCTCGTCGTCCTCGTCATCCTTGTCCTCCTCCTCCTCCTCCTCCTCCTCGTCCTCATCGTCTTCGTCGTCCTCGTCGTCCTCGTCCAGCACCTGGGAGGTGGGTGAGCTCCGGTGGCCCACAGGGCTGCAGCTGACCCCGTCATCCATGAGCTCCAGGCCGTCGGCGCAGTAGCACTCGAAGCCGCCGATGTAGTTGACGCACATCTGCTGGCACACGCCGGGGATCTGACACTCGTCCGTGTCCACGCAGCGGTGCGGCTCGTCCTCGGCCGGCCGGAAGCCCAGGCGGCAGTGGCAGCGGTAGCCGCGGGGCCCGTCCAGCTCGCACTGGTGCTCGCAGGGCGCCTGGGCGCAGGGGTCCTCGCAGTGGCGCCCGTCGGCGGCCAGCCGGGAGCCCTCGGGGCAGCGGCAGGACACGCCTGCATCCAGCTCCTCCACGCACTCGTGCTCGCAGCCACCGTTGTCCAGGTCGCAGCTGGTGGGCGGGCACAGCGGCCCCGCCTGGGACCAGACCACGCCGCCCTCGGGCAGCTTCATGCAGAGGAGCGAGGTCTCCCCGCCCGCGCGGCAGGGCACCGCGGCCACCGAGCCGAAGGGCAGCCACTCCCAGGCGGTGGAGACCAGGTGGAAGGGCGTGGTGTAGACGGCGGGACCCGCCTGGCCCTCCTCCTCGGCCAGGGCTGGGCAGGCGCCCTCGAAGCCGAACTGGCACAGGTAGCCGTCCACGGCCAGCGTGCAGGAGCCCTCCAGCCAGCGGTGCTCGCCTCCGGCCTCCAGGGCGGCGCAGCGCTGGGCCGGGCAGGGCCCGCTGCTGGCCGGCTGCGCCCAGTTGGTGAAGGCGGTGTCCTGGTCCCCGGTGGTCCACGTGAAGCCTCGCAGCGGCCGCTGTGGTTGGCACTGCCGCGCCGGCCGCTGCAGCCCAATCCACAGCAGCCTGTCGGCCGGGCCGCTGCCCACCAGGCTGGCCACGCGATGCGCCTCCTCCGGGGTCCGCGGGGTGGCCAGGTCGCCCCCCAGCTCGCGGCAGGCCCGCCAGGCTTCCAGGAAGGTGCGGCGCCGGGGAAAGAGGGCGTAGCAGCTGCCCGGGCCGCAGGTGGCGCGGGGTTCGGTGGCCCAGGGGGCCTGGCCCCGGGCGGGCACCGCAGCCGCCCAGGCCAGCAGCAGGCACAGCAGCATCGCGTCCCCCCGACTGGCCGGGCCCCGCCGGCGGCCGCTCTTGACAGGGGGAGGGCGCAGGGCCCGGGCGGGCGGGCCGGGGGCGGGCCGGGGCGGGCGCAGGCCTTGTAAGGCGCGGGCTGGGGTCGCCGCCAGCTCCCAGCTCTTGCTCCCCGGGGGCCGCCAGAGCAGGAAGCGGCCGGGTGGGGGGGCAGGGCCGGGGGTGCTGGGGCGGGGGAGGGGTGCCGGAGAGGGGGCCCCGCCTACCGGAGGGGGCTGGGCCGGCCCCGCGCCGCGCCGTCCGGGGGCTCCTCCGTCCTGCCGGCAGCTGGGCGAGGTCAGGGTTCTGGACCCGGCCCGGCCTCGCCCTCCGGGACCCGCCTCGTGGCCCAAGAGTTCGTCATGCATGTGGAAATGTGCTCTGAGTCATGGCACACACGTGTGCGGGCCCCCTCCCCACGCTGCCCCTGCTTCCACGCGGGCACCCCGTCTCGGTGGGCCCAGGCCCGCGCGCACCCGCCCCCTACCCCCACCCCCGGCCCGCCGTGCCCGGTCTCCCCCGAGGGCGCTCGCTCGCCCAGTGCCCCCGCCGTGGGACCACCTTGAGACCTGGCGCAGCCCTGCCCGCCTCGTTCCCAGGCCCGGCGACCTCCCGCAGTCCCTTCCCGCTGCGGCGCCACCAACCCGGGGGTGAGGGCGGGTGGGGGGGAGGGGTCTGCCCTGCCTTCACCTCCGCTGGCTCCAGCCCTGGGAACCTGGGCTTGCTGGGGCGCGGAGCCGCGGCCCCCAAACAGGAAATGCTTCTCTGGGCAGGGGGAGGGGCGCCTGGCCCGGCTCAGGGTGCTGTGGCCCCGAGGGGGCTGGGGGAGCCCTTGTATGGGCAGACGTGTGTGTCTGTGACACAGGCGTCACGGGCCCGCCGCCTCCCCTCCTGGAGGCCTCTGGAGGCTGAGCAGGGGCCCGTGTCCCAGGACGGTGGGGGGGGGGGGCGCGGCGGCTTAACCCTTGCGCACCCGCTGCGGGGAAGCATCGCCCCGCCGCCCCGCAGTGTGGCTGTCGGAGGCCACTGAACCTCTCTGAGGCTCACTTTGGGGTCCCTGAAAAGGGGGGCTCCCGGGGCGGGCTGCAGGGAGCCCTGGGAGTGCGGATGTAGGACGGTGGTTGTCTCACGCAGCAGGGGGAAGGCAAGCAGCCCTGCAGGAGCGGTCAGCCCGGCCTGAGATCAGCCGCCGCCTCTTTCTCCCACACCGACGTCCTGGCCGCTCGCTGGGAATCCCTGTTGGCAGCGAGCTGGTCTCACGCCCCCCTTCCTGGGCCTTCCCCCTCTGGGGACCTCGTCACCTCCTCCAGGCTGGCCGCCTCTCCCAGATCCTTCTGCATCCGACCCAGACACTCCCGCTCAGAGCCCCCCAGTCACTTCCCCGGCACCATGGAAACGGGAACAGGGAACAGACACCCAGAGGCCACACGCCGCCCCGCCCTCAGTGACCTGCCCCCCCCCCCCCATCCCTGGCCTTGCTGTGCTACATCAGCTCTTCCTGCCACACTGTCCTTCCTTCAGATGTCAGGGTGCACATCCGGTCCCCAGCCGCCTCCCTCCCGGCGCGTGGGGCTCCTGGCCCCATTTTCTCTTGCGTGAGCGTGAGCGGGGCTGTCTGACATATTCCGTGTTTAATGTGGGCCGGAATCTCCAGGGAAGCCAGGGGTTTGGGACATCCCTGATACCAGGGCTGGGTGACTATCTCTGTGGGGGTGCTGTGCACCCTAAGATGTTTTGTGGTACCCCTGGCCTCGGCTGGGTCCCAGTAGTGCGCCAGGGAAAGTCTGCCATTGCCAGAAGTCGCATGCGTTGCCCGCACCCCGCCCCCAACCCTGGGGACAGTAGGTCTCTGCTCTACCTTGTCCGCTGCATCTCTGAGGTTTGTACTCGGCTGCCGCAAGAGCATAGTGGGGAGGGCATTTGCCTTGCACACGGCCCAGCCAGGTTGACCCATATGGTCCCCTGGGCACTCAGAGCAGTTCCCTGAGTAACCAGGAGTAACCGCGGAGCATTGCTGGGTGTCACCCAAAAAGCCAACAAGGAAGGAAGGGAAGAAGGGAAGATGGAAAGAAGGGAGGATTAAAGGAAGGGAGGAAGGAAGGAAGGAAGGAAAGAAGGAAGGAAGGGAAGATGGGAAGAAGGAAGGAAGGAAGGAAGGAAGGAAGGAAGGAAGGAAGGAAGGAAGGAAGGACAGACACAGCTCATAACTTAATGCAGGAAGAAGCTGGCACTCAGCCTGGCGTCACACCCACTGCCAGCCCAGAAGTCAGTCCCCTGGTGCGGGAGGTCACTGGCACCAGCCTTCCTGTGGAGAGGCAGGAGTGGCACTGGGGGGAGAACCCGGCCGGCCAGGGCTGGGCTGCAGGCCTGAGTTCACCCCAGGTGTAGCCCTGAGAGCTCCGGCAGTGCCAGGAAGCCCTACCCGCAAAGAAGGGACCCAAGGCCCGGCCCTTCTCTCTGCTCCCTTTGGGCACCAGTGCCCGGAGACTTCAAGCTGGGAGGTGGCAGAGGGCCAGGAGAGAAAAGGCGAGGCCTAGAGCAGGGGCTGCGGGTGGAGTGAGGGCCTGGAAAGGGCACGAGGAAGCAGGGCTGGAAAGAGCCTCGAGATGGAGCCATGCTGCAGGCCGCCAGGATCAGGGGTCAGTCCCGAGGCGGCCTGGAGGCCAAAGGACCAGTTTGGAGGTTGTTGCAATCAGGCGGGCTGGGAGTGGGGAGGGAGCTGGCAGGGGGAGGGCGGGCAGCGGGGTTGGGCTGGCTGGGGGAGGCCCCCAGGGCCGGGCCTGGATCCTGGTCCAAGGGTGTGGCAGGATCCCCACGGCAAGGGCCAGTGATGAGGCGGGAGGCCCAGGCCTGTGGGTGAGTGGGCGGTCGATCCCTCCACAGGGTGGGGGTGGGGGGCTGAGCACAGAAAAGGGTCAAAGGCCAAATTCCAGATGGAAAAAGTGAGAGTACTCACTGGCCTGTGGAGTGAAGGCTGAGCCACGGCAGGCAGCAGGGGTTCGGGGTTGGGAGAGACCCCACAAGTCTGCAAGAGAAGACTTGGGAGTGCACGAGAGCCGGGCACCGGCCTGCCCACTTTCCCCTGCCAGGTGGACTAACGGACATGGGGCCGCCTGGTTTGAGACACAGCCAGTGTGGGGCAAGCGCAGAGAGGGGGCCTGGTAATGGTCTTCTCTTGCTAACTGTCCGTGCCTTGCTTCCCCCAGAGCACAGAGAAGATGCTGACAGCCCCCAGAAGCTTGAAGGATGATGGATTGATGGGTAGAAGGGACTAGTGGATTGATGGGTAGAAGGGACGGGTGCATGGATGGCAGATAGATGTGTGGGGGGATGAAGACGGGCGGGTGGACACGGGATCAGGTGGTGGCTGCAGGGACAGGTGGTGGACAGAGGGGAAGGGAGGTGGACATGGGGACAGGCAGGCGGGTGGACGCAGGGGAAGGAGGGTGTGTGCAGGGGCAGGCAGGTGTTAGGAGCTGCATGGATGGGTACTTGGATGGGGGGGTGGGCAAGTAGACGGATGGATGTAGGAATGAACGGGTGGAGGGACAGTGACTCAGGATGGGTGAGATGTAGAAGCTCGGCTGGCTGCAGATGGTGTCGGGAGCAGGGGGCCGCTCCATGACGGCTGGCGTGCACAGAACCTGGCACGAAAGGTCCGTGCAAGACCAGCTCAGGAGCTGGACAGGCTGAACCCCACTGGCCGTGGGTGACCCCAGGCCTGCGCCCTTGTTCAAGGCTCCCCCTCTCCCACCCGCCAGCCATCTTGTTTCCTCTGTGGGGGCCCAAGACCGGCTCCCAGGCAGGGGTGGGGGCGGGGACCCATCATGTCACCTGGGCTTGGGGCACTAAGGGGGCTCCTACATCCTCACGGGGTGCGGGGTGCTCGCTAAACAGGGCAGGGGGCGGGTGGCCAGTGGGCTACCAGTGAAGGCCGTGGCAGGGGGCTGGCCCAGAGAGGGCCCAGTGGAGCGGCCAGGACGCGAGGGGGGGCTTGGGGGGGCGAGTGTGATTGGGGGGCGCTCTCAGGAGCTTGGCCCGGAGGCCGCTGAGCCAGCACATTGCTCTGCATGCGAATCAGCGCCTTTCCGTCGGGTCCCTCCCCAGCCCTCCGTTTCCCAACTCAAACCACCCACTGGGGCTGGGACAGGCTGTCCGAGAGAAAGGGCCGTGGGAGGGAGGAGGGAGCACCAGGCAGGAGGGGAGGTGGGGGGCAGGCGGCTGGCTGCCCCACCCCAGTGTTCTGGCTGGGGGATCCCCAGGGAAGGGAGGTGTTGCTGGGAACCGCGCGGTGGGTGGGCGTGGCCCGAGGGGGCGTGGTCACAGTGGGCGTGGCCTGTGGGGCGTGGCCTGAGGACGTGCCTTCTGGGGTAGAGGGTTCTGACAGCTGTAGCCACGGGCCTGTGGGGGCGAGGCGGGTTCTGTGTTCGGGGAGGCGCATGCGTGCCCTGTGCGAGCGCGCGCGCGCGCGCGCGCGTGTGTCCTGCGCCCGTGCCCCGTGTTCATGCGTGCACAGCTGGGTGGCGTGTGTCCCCGCCGGGTCCACACCTGTGTCTGCAGCTGCCCCCAAATTGTCCAACCTGGGCGCAGCTGGAATCTCAGTCCCTCTCCTGGCAGACGCTGGACCTCAACATCTGGCCACATCTGGCCGGGAAACGTGGCTCGGAGCCCGTGTGAGAGCCGGAAGGGTGCGTGGACAGAAGGAGCCATGGCCTCCAGCCACACAGGCGTGCGGGGACCTGGCCTAGCCAAGGGGACCCCTGACCTGGCTGGGGGTTTTGCTGCCGGAGCTGCCCAGTCTCAGAGAGGCCCCCAGGAGGCCAGCCCAGGCCTGGTTAGGGAAATCCTGGTGTCTGAGAGCAAAGTCTCACATTTGGGGGGGGGGGGCGTGGGAAGCGTCTCCTGGGTGTCCCCCATCCCAGCCTGGAGGACCTCTGTGCTGTCATCCCCCATTCCAGGATGGTCAGCCTCCCTGCATCTATCAGGGAGATTTCTCCAGGGCCTCCCTCCCCACCCCTCTGAACATTCCCACCCCCCACCCAGCACCTTCCTTTCTGCCCCTTGCTGTCTGTGCCCAAGGGCCTCTCCCAGGACACCTCCCTCCGCACCACCTTGCTGGGGCGTGGGGGGTCTCAGTCCTTGTCCTGGGTCTCCAGCCTCTCCCCTGAGTTGGGACTGGCTCCTGGATGGCGTCCGCCCACCTTCCCTGGTCCTGGAGGCCCCCCTCTCCCGCGGGGCTGGCTGGGGTGGGAGCCAGGTCTGGGGGCTGAGACCAGGCAGGCGGAGGGAACCGGGCAGACGGGAGATGGGATATTTATGTTAGAACTTCAAAGCCCAGGCGGGGGCTGGGGGGAACCAGGGCCAGGCAGAGGGGAGCTGAGGCCCCTCTGGGCTCAGGCGCCTCCCCCAGGGCCTCCTGACCCCTCACGCAGGGCAGAGGGACAGTTTGGGTGACGAGCTCTGAGGAGGGGCCAGCCCTTTCTGCCTGTCCCGGGCCGGCCTGGAACAGCAGCAGGGCACTGGAGGACGCTGCTGGTGTTGTGATCACTGCTGGCAGGGGTTGGGGGACTGTCCCCACGGGTTGAGGGATCTTGCAGGCTCTCTGGGCCCGGGATGTTGCCCCCGCGCCGTGCCCATGGGCTTGAGATGGCCTGGAGCCCCCCTTTCCATCCCTGCCCCCAGCCTTGGCCTGTCCCCTGCTAAAGACAGCCAGCTGCTGGAGCTGGGCGGGGGTCAGGGGCCCGGGCGAGGCCAGAGGGTGGGAGGGGCCGATTGTCTCATCCTGGGGCTCAGTGCTGCCCTCAGCCCCTCCTGGGGTCAGGCCATCCCCAGACTCTTTGGGGGGGGCACACCCATAGGGTGCCTCTGACCGGATTGCAAGCTTGCTCTGAACCCAAGACTCGCCAGAAGCCCATTCTGGACCCCAAAGCCACAGTTCCTGGGCCAGTGCCCCCAGGTCCACCCCGGGCCGCGCCATGAATCACCGCGGCTGGAATCTGATGAGCTCAGGCCGCCCCGCCCAGTGCTGCCGCCGCTGCCCCGCCCTCGGGGGTCTCCTGGGTGCTCTGAGCCCCCACTGGGGTCCATGCGGGTGCAGGAACGTAGCAGGGCTGGAGCCTTCATACATGGGAAATCTGTGTGTCCGTGGGTCTGTCTGAGCATGCAGCCGCACTGCCTGCCTCCATGAGGGGACACCAGGTGGGGGTGGGGCTGTCACAGTCTGTCACAGGCTCAGCTTGGTCAGTCTCTGCTGTGTGAATGTGTGCGTGTGTGTCTGTATGTGGAGTATGTTGCTGTGTGTTCATGTGAATATTGTCTGTGTTTCTCTGTGGGCCAGTGTGTCTGAACATGTGTGTTTCCGTGACAGGGAGTGTGTCCACGTTGCTTTCTTTCTTTTCTTTTTTGGCTTTTTGGGTCACACCCGGTGATGCTCAAGGGTTCCTCCTGGCTCTGCACTCAGGAATCACTCCTGGCGGTGCTCCGGGGGCCATATGGGATGTCGGGGATTGAACCCGGGTCAGCTGCGTGCAAAGCGCATGCCCTCCCCACTGTACTATCGCTCAGGCGCCACGTCCCCATTTCTGAGTTTGCAGATGGAGAGATAAGTGCCAGTGTCCGTGTCTCTTTTTTGCAGATGTGGGGGTGGGGTGAGGGCGTGGCTCCGAGCAGAGCCCAGATGCATCTCTTGGGCCACCCCAGGGCGTGAATGACTGACAGGGTCGTGGTGATCTGGACACTGGGGTGTTCCGGTTAAGGCTGGGAGCCCTGTGTTCCCATGCAGGAGCGTGGCAGGCGAAGTGGCACAGTCTGAGGGAGTCAGGGCATCATTCTGGATCTCAGGGTCACTTTCCTCTGGGGATTCCCCTTGCTGGACCCACAGACCGGTCTTCTGACCTGGCTTGGCCTGTAGGCAAAGGTGGCCCCTTCCTCTAGTCTTGTTCACAGCATGGTCCCAGGATCCCCTGAGAATTTGCTTTTCTCCTGGCACCAGGCCGAGTGGGGGGTCCACTGAGTGGCCCGGTCCTGAGTGGGGACCCCTGCCTGTGACTGGGAATGGCACGTGCGCCCCCTGGTGGCGGTAGTGGAGAGCGCGCATGGGCGGGCATGCATGCGGGGGTTAGGCTGGGGGTCCTCAGAATCCATCATTTCGTGTCTGTTCCCGAGTGCCAGCTCCCAGCCAGGCATTGTTCTGGGCCGAGGATTAGCCGGGAAGGAGGCCAAGCTCTGACTCTCGCCATCTAGCGAGGCTGACAGCGATCCAACCCCCCGCACAGCACGAGGGTGATGAGTGCGACATTTCCAAGCGCTCACGTCAGGTTCCAGCCTTGCCTCTCGGCAGCCGGGACACTTCAACGCTCAGCGGGGGTGAGGGCTGCAGGATGCACAGTCGGGGGCTGTCATTCTGAGGTGACACTTGGGTTTCTCTCTGGTTGGGGTGGGGATGGGAGGGTGTTTCACAATCCCCTTCGCATACACTCGCAGTGCATCGCTGGACAGATGTGGAGCCACGCCCGTGGGCGGGGTCTGCCCGAGCTCTGCAGAACCTGGCAGCTGAGATTCTGCCCCGTAATAAGCCACATTCTGGCTCAGAGCTCAAAGGGCTGAACCGCTGCTTTGCTTCTAGAGTTTGTTCCCCTGAGCACTGCTGGGAGTGACCCGGAGCACAGACCGGGGAGTAGCCCCTGCTGGCTGTGGCCCCCAATCAGACACTTTCCTTGAACAAGCCTCAGTTTCCTCGTCTGTAAGAATGGGGTAACGAGGCTGGTCCGGGATTGCCCTGATCACAGCCCCAAGCCTGTGTCAGGACCGGAAGGCTCAGGCTGGGTCTGGTCTCGCTGGGATGTAGCAGGAACTAAGCCTGAGCCGACCCAGTGGCCCTCCAGGTCCCTCCTCGGGGACTGGAACTTGAAACATCCGTTTCGGCCCCAGGATCCAGCCTTCCACGAGCGACCGGCTCCCCCTCCCCCTGGCTGCTCGCCGTTCAGGTGACCGGCCCCAATGATGGACAATATTTATTAAGCCCCATGGACGGCACTGGGGTGGGCAGCATCCCAGCGGGAGCAACGGGAACTCAGCGTCGGAGGGAGGGTCTCCTTCAGGGGGCGGCCCCTGAGAAGTCGGCGAAGCTCAGGCTCTGACGCCAGGGCAGCGGAGGGGACTCCGCCTGGTCCCCAGCTTACCCGGCGACCCACCTGCAGCGACCGGCGCCGCCCCGCCCCCAGCGAAGCGCCTTTCTGTGCCCCGCGCGCCCCCTCGTGGTGGTGATCGGCATTTCCTCGGCTCAGATTTGCTCCCAGCTTGGACGCCCCCACCCCACCCGTGGAGGCTACCGGCCCTTGTGGATACGTTTATTTATTGGTGTCCTCCGAGAGAGGGCATCTGGGGTCAGGGCCTGGGTTTGGGGAAGGGGATCCAGTGGGTGCCCAGACATGCCGTCTGCTCTCTGACATGGTCCCTGTCCACTTCCTGGGGCCCCTTGGAGTGTCGGGAGCACTGCCCATCACAGATACTCCTGGACATCACCCATGGATAGCAGGGAAGCCAGCCGCGTGGGGTGTGGCTGATGGACCCCTTTTTCCCTCCCTGTCCCCCGCCTGAGGTCAGCTTAGCAGCAATACTGAGAACCCCTGGGAAGGGGGGGGCTGAACCCATCTCACTGGGGCCCATCGAGGCAGGCGCTGCTGCTCTTCAGGGGGGCTGGTGTTGATGGGGCCTGTGCCCCTGTCCCCCCAAATTCTCCTGACACCCCAGAAGCAGGTCAAACCTTTCAGAGCTGTGAAGGCCCTGGCCTGGAGGGCCTGCCCTGGGTTGTGGCCCCCTGGGGACATATGAAGGGGCACAGGGAGCAGAGATGGGGCTCCCCCAAGCCAGATGTGGCATTCGCCATGGCTGACTGCCCAACCAGACCCAGGGAGAAGGACAAGTGGCCAGGAGCCTTGAGCACTTGGATTGGGGACCTCTGACCCCACCCCCCCTTTATTTCCTCCCCTAGAGGTGGTCCCCAACTGGTGACAGCAGAGTGGACAAGGGCAGTGGGTGTGGATCTGGGGGCTGCAGCCTGGGTCATGGGGGGCCATGGAATGCGAAGGGCCTTTCCCTGAGGACACTGACCTGGGCCTTGGTCACACTCCGGCCACTCCCTGCTACTCTCCAGGGCTCCCCTCTACCTCTGCGCCCCCAGGCGGGGCAGCCACACCCCAGCTCTGGCCCTCGCCTCCCCCACCCCTGTCTTCAGTCTGTTCATTGCTGACCGCAGGGCTGGCTTGGATCTCTGGGACCATCTCGCCCGGATCCCCTTCTTCCTCCTCCTCCTTACGCCCCCTCGGGGGCTCCCCACAGCCCCCCTCTGCCGCGGCCCTGGCCTGTGGGGCATCGAGGCGCTCTGCTCGGCGGTAGACGAGATAGCCGGTGGTTGGCAGCGTGTGGGCCGGGGTGCCCGGGGCCAGGCGGTGGTAGCCCTGCTCCTTGTACAGAAAGAGGCCGAAAGCGTCCGGCTGGGTGATCCGGAACTTAGTGGCGCAGAGCTGGGTCAGGGCAGCAACGGAAGAGCCGGGGGCCACGGCCAGGGTCTTGGAGGTACAGCCGCTGCCCGGGTCCTGGTAGGCAACTCGGAGGAGGTGCTGGGCGGAAGGAGGAGGCAGAGCTCAGCAGGGGTGGGGGTGGGGTGGGATGGGGTGGGGGGGTCCAGGCTGGAGACACAGGCGGGCAGGGGTCAGGCGTGAGGTGTGAGCCCCTTCAGCGGGAGAAGCCATTGCAGAAACTTTTCCGATAGCCGCCCTAGGAAGGGCCAATGTGTGGCCAACGGGCCTGGAAGGGTCCTTGACCAGAGGCTCCTGGTCTCTCAGGTCACTGCGAGATTTCTCTGTGACTTCCACGTGTTGCATTCTCACCCACACCCAGGGGGGATTTGCTACTAATCCATCTTACAGAAGAGAAAACTTAGGCCCAGGGAAGTGACCAGACCGGCTGTGGTACCCCTCCCCCTCTCCACCCGGAAGTGGCAGCGCCAGGATTTGAATCTGATGGCCACAAAGAGTCCCTGAGTGGACAGACAATGAAGAGAGGGGCAGGCTGGGGGGGTCCAGCTGTGAGGACAGCAGAGGGGAAGGTAGCGGGGGCTAAAGCCAGGACTCTGTCTCGCCTATAAAATGGGGACTCTGGATCTCCCTAGGAAGAAGAGGGGACAGTGGGCCCCGGGGAGTTGCTCCGACGGCCGGAGGGAGGCGCAGGTTCCACCCCCAGCACCCTGAGGTCTCGGAGCACTGCGGGGAGGAGTCCCACCGCCTCACACACACCCCCCCTCCCCGGGGCGGGGCCGTACCTGGCAGCTGTGGGCGGCCGGTAGGCGGCGCTGTTCCCAGAGGTGGAGCGCGCGCTGCAGCTCCTGCGAGGGGCTCAGGGGCTGGCGGAGCGCGGGGTCCAGGCCGCTCAGCAGGGCCAGGCTGGCCGACAGGCTGGTCAGGTAGTAGCCGCCTGGGACGCAGCGGTCAGTGAGGCGCGGCCCCGGCGGCGGCCCCGCCCCCCGGCCCGCCCGCGGGCGCGCCCGGCCCTACCCTCGCCCGTGAGCAGCGCGGGTTCCAGCAGCTCGGCCATGTACTGCGCCTCCAGCAGCAGCTCGGGCAGGTCGCACTGCGCCAGCACCAGGCTCAGCAGCGGCAGGAACTCGTCGGCGCCCGCGCCCTCGCCTGCACGGAGGGCCTGGGGACTCAGACGCGGGACCCCGGGCCTCCCGGGCCTGGCCGGAGGCGGGCAGCGCGGTCTCTAGGGACCCGGGCGCGGACCTGCCCTGCCCTGCCCTGCCCTGCCCTGCCCTTTGGGCCTCAGCTGCACCATCTGTGAGATGGGGTGGTGCGGCTCTATCTTTCCCCGCACTCCCTGGCCCCTGCTGCCCCTGGTCGGTCTGGGGGATCTCCTGGAGGGCAGCGTCTGCCCTGGCTGGGCAGTGGGGGTGGTGGGAGGGGCCTACCCGCCTGGGTCCTCAGGGCCGAGTAGAGCAGCTTGCAGGCCTGCAGGAACCACTTGATCTGGGCGCCGGGCGAGTAGGCACCGAGCAGCTGCAGGAGCTTCTGGCGCACCTGCTCCACCTCCACCGGGGAGGGCAGGCTCAGGTGGGACCCGAAGGCGGCCGGGCCCTGGGTCCGAGCCAGGCGGAGGCCTTCAACCAGGCGGCCCAGGGAACCGTCGGCAGAAAGCCGGCGCCGCAGGCGGGCGGCCAGGATGGGCCGGAGGGGCTTGAGCACGGAGCGGTGCAGGGTCTTCTCCAGGACGCGCTCTGCGGGGGAGGGAAGGGGCGCGGGCGCAGAAGAGGGAGCCTGGTGAGGGGCTGGAACTCACTGGAGGGGGGTTTGCGGAGCGCCAGGAGGGGCGCGAGGGCAGGTCCCGGGCAGGGGCGGGCGCTCACCCAGCCTCTCCGGGGGCAGCAGCTTCTCGGGGCCCAGCTCGGCGCTCAGCATGGCCCGGGCGCGGTTCAGCGCCTCCCGCACCCCCTGCAGCTCGCAGGGCTCGGGGCGGGCGCGCACCTGCGTCAGGAGGTCCTGCACGAGCTGGCCCACGGCCGTGTGGCGGTCCCGCATCAGCGCGCTGGCCGCGCGGCTCACCTGGCGCTCGGGCGCCAGCAGGGAGCAGAAGGCGGCGCTCATGGACCTGAGCAGGGGCCGCCGGCGCGCGGGGCCAGGGGACGTGGCGGGGCTGCCCCGGCCCCCCGGCGCCGCCTCCTCCTCCTCCGAGCTGCTGGGGGAGGCGCAGTCCACTTCCTGGAGGGACGGCAGCGGCGGGGGCTGGGGGCCGGCCCCGCTGCCGGTGGGCACCCGGTAGCCCGCCGAGCTCTCCCTCCTCAGCAGCTGGCGAGGGGGCATCCTTTCCGCCGGGCGGGGGGCCGTCCCCGGCGGCGAGGGCACGGGGGGAGGGGGCACCGCGGGCGGGGACAGGGGGCTGGAGGTCTCCGTGGACACGCGCACCTTGAAGCTCCTCTTGAATTTCTCCCGCTTGGTGGGGCCCAGGTCCCCGGGGAAGAGGGGGTTGAAGAAGCACAGGGCAGCCCCGGTGCCCTGGTCCAGCTCCTGCGGGGGGCGGGGTTTCAGCCGCGGCAGCAGCGGGCCCGAGCTGGGGCTGGGCCGGGCCTTGGTGTTGAGGGCCGAGCTCCAGAACTCTACGGAAGAGGAACCGGGGGTTTGCCAGGGAATATTGGGTGGGACCCCCCTCGCCTCCCGCAACCCCTCCCCGTGGCCGCCTGCCTCGGTTCACCCATCTGTGAAATGGGTCGTGCAGGCAGGCGCTCACCAATGCCCAGATGGGAGATGGCTTCCAGCTCCTTGTGGGAGGCTGCCTGGCGGATGGCCGCGGGCAGCTGCAGAGGGAGCAGGAGGACGTCCCTGAGGGCAGAGGGGGAGCACAGTCAGGCTGCGGGCCGGCCGGGGAGGGCATCGGCCGGGGCCAGCGCGCGCGCGCGCACGGGGACACCTCACCGGCTGTGGCAGTAGAAGCAGATGAGCTGAACCAGGTCCGGGAACGCGAGGTCGGAGCCCTCCAAGGAGACACCTGAAGGCGGGACGGTGATGGCCGGGGGCTCCCGCCGCCACCCCCAACCCCGCGCCCAGCCCCTCCCGGGCGCCCCCTCTCACCCCGGGGGCCCTCCTGGAGGTAGTGGCTGGAGACGAAGGAGGGGCCGCTGGCCTCCGGCAGCCGCACGCACAGCACCTGGCACTGGCGGGTGTTGGATTTCCGCACCAGGAAGGTCTGCGGGGAGGCGGGCGCCGGTCGGAGGTGTCCGGTCCCGCCCCCCGCCCCCCGCCCCGGGGCCACTCACCCCCGGGGGCTCGGTCCGCAGCGTGTGCAGCGCGGCCGCCGCGTTGGCCGCCAGCTGCAGCCAGACGGGCCGCGTGAGCAGGAGGCGCTCCCGGAGGCTCACGGCGCGGCCCGGCCGCGGCGGCCCCCCGGGCGGCCCCGCGCCCCCCGCCGCGGGCACGTCGTAGAGCGGGTCCGGGGCGGGCCCGCGGGAGGGCACGGGGCTGCGCGCGGGGCCCTCGGCGGACCCCCGCGCCCGGGCCGCGCCTTCCAACTTGGCCAACTTTTCTCCCTGCGGGGGCTCGGCGGCGACGCTGGCGGGGGCCGGGGCTCCCGGGGCGCCCGCGCGCGGCGGCTCCTCGGGGCTGTCCATGCCGGGCGCCCGCGCGGCCCCTCCCGGGACTCAGGAAGAGAATCCAGCCCCCAGGCGGCAGGCAGCATTCCCGGCGGTGAGTAACACTTCCTGAGGGCGGTCGCCCTGTCACACCCCGCCCGTTAACTCTTGGGTGTCCGCCCGCGCTGTCCAGGCCGCGCCCGCGCCCATCCCCGGGGGGCTCAGCCTGCGGGGACCCCCCGGCCGGCAAGGGCCCCGCAGCAGCTGGGGGCCCGGTCTCCGCACGGCGCTTCGGCGAGGTCCCCCTCGGATCCCGCGGGGCGGGGGGCGGCGGGAAGGGGTTAAGCGGGGCCGCGCCCGCCGTGGACACCTTGCAGACTGTGGTCAGCGGCGGTTCCGCGGCCGGCGGCTGGGGTCGGCCGCGGGGGGAGCGCGCCCCCTACCGGGCGTGCGTGACTCATGCCGGAGCCCAACTTGGGTTTTGGGCTTTCGGGTTGCCATGGAGAAAGGGTGCCCGTCTCCATGGAAACGAACCCCTGTGCTTAACTGAGGTTCTGGGGGTGGTTCTAACACTCTCGACGGGGGGAGTCTGGCTGTGAGGTCTCGGCACACGCGCTGCCGGCTGCCTCCCACGCGCGCGCCGGGCTGCCAAGCTGGGGCAGGTGCCCGCGCGACCAGGCTCCGCGCGCCGCCCCGGCCACGTGACCGCGCGGGCACGGTCACTCCAGGGCACCTGGGGTGGGGAGGAGACCCTCTTCCCCCCCCCCCATACCCCAAGTCAGATGCGCAGGCTCTCGCCGCGAACAGGGGCACTCGCTTCCCAAGGATCCCAGAAAAGCTGAATGGTATAAACGGGACACGTGAGTCGTACAGAGTGCCAGGAGAGGTTTATTCCACACCCTCGACAGGGAGGCCGAAAACAAGAGCCACTGCAAGGACTGGGGTGCCCAGCATCTCACTCCCCGCCAGCGAGCACCAGACCCCCCAACAGTTTCTGGCCTCCGGTTCCCACACGGAGCGGCCCTGCATGAGGCTTGGTGCTGGGGGGGGGGGGTGGAGGGAATGTGTGCAGGCCTGTGTCCACAGGGGTGCTGCGAGAAAGCCCCCTCTGCGGGGCAGTGAGGCTGGGGGTGGTGGAGGTGGGCAGCCCGTCCGGGGTCGCCCCGACCTCCGCTGTCCTGCAGAGTCAGGCTGCTGAGACGGTCAACCACCTTCTGCAGCAGGAACTTTGGGTCCAGCCAGTGAGGTTCCGTCAAGGCCCTGGGGAGCAGGAGTCACACAGGAGGGCTGAGCGGGGACTCAGCCGAGCCCCCCTCAGCCCAGTCCGGCCACCGGGCAGCCACCACCTCTGCTTCTGGTCTGGGGCCAGAGTGCTCCCAGCCCGGGGCTCTTACCATCGGCCTTCCTCTTCTGAGGGGACACGGCTGCTCTAGCCTGCATGAGGACAAGAGGAGCCCCTGAGAGCCTGCCGGGGTGGCAGGTATCCCCATCACGCACTCCCGAGTGGGGGGCTGCTGAGCCCCTCCCAGGCGTGGCTGACGTGGCCACTTGTTTCAGGCCCACCGCACCCACCCTCTGTCCCAAACAAGCTAGGGGCAACCCTGCCCGCCCACTGCCAGCCATGCCAGGGCAGGGGGCCGGGTCTCGCTGATGGCCTCTGCGTGCTGGACCCTGGCAGGGCGAGCACTGATGCCCGGGCACCGAGGGCTGGGGTGGGGGTGGGGGTTCGGGCACCTTTTTGATGGCCGTCCAGTCCTCCAGAATGTCGATTTCCTGCAGCATGTACACGATGTAGGGACCTGAGAGCAGTCAAGGAAGCCAAGGGCAGGTGGTACGCGGGGGACAGTGGGAGGGGTGCAGGGCCAGACGCCCGTCTCACATGCAGCTGAGGGTCGTGGCCTAGCACAGAGCCCAGAACCACCCAGAACACCGCCGGGTGAGGCCAAACTAAGTGAATAAAGGAAGGTTCCCTGGCACTGGCAGGGCGCAGGCTCTGGGGGCCGGAACCCCGGGTTCCCTCCTCATCGTGGTCCCGGGCACAGGCAGGTCGCCCAGTGCCCAGAACGTAGCCGCAGGAAGGGGCGGTGGGTTCCGGGAGGGGGGAATTCAAAGTCCAGCGGCCTATTTGCCGGCACTGGGGGCTGTGATGGTTGAGGGTGGTCGCGGGGGAGGTGGGCGGGAGGGGCTTCCCCAGAGCCTCCAGGCCGAGGCTGGGGCGTGGCCTAAGGTTTGGGGGCGGCTCCGAGTGGGGACAGCTGTCCCTCCCTGCTTCTGGAGACCCTCCAATGCTTCCCAGAGGGTCTGTCTGCATCAGCAAGGGAGGGGGGGGTGCGTGTCCAGCCCCCCACCCTGCCACCCCGGGTCGCCCACCCCGTGCAAGGATACCGGACACCAGCGGCGCCTTCTTCCTCTTGCTGGGCGGCAGCGAGTCCCAGGTGCGCGGGGGGCCTCTGGCGTGTAGCTTGTCATCCCACCACTCTGCGCCCCCAGACCCCGAGTCAGAACTGGGGTGGGCCTGCCCCCCTCCCCTGCTCCCCTGCGCCCCGGGGCGGCCGCACCCACGCACGCACGCACCCGAGCTGAGGTCCAGGCCCTGGCGGTCCTCCTCCAGCCGCTGGATCCGCTCCTGCAGCTCGCCCTGCAGCACGTCGTACAGCTGCAGCTTCTCGCTCTGGGGGCGCAGGGGGGCGGGGTTCAGCCCGGGCGCGTGTCACGCCCCGTCCCAGCCCCCTCTCTCCCCCCCAGCGCCCCGCCCGCCCCCTGCACCTCCAGATGCTGCCTGGCGCCCTGCAGCTCACACTCGTACTTGTTCCGGATCACGTCCAGGCAGAAGCCTTTGTAGATCCCTGCGGGCGGGCGGGAGGGAGGGCGGCCCTGAACACCGGGTCTGGGGGCTGGGGGGCGTGGGGTGGCAGGGAGCGCGGGACCCCAGGCCAGCCCACGGACCTGCCACCTGGATGCGAATCTTGAGGCTCCGCTGCAGCCCCCCGAGGGGCTCCGTGTACTCGGGGGCTCTCTCGGCGCCCACTTCCTCCAGCCGCACCCGCAGCTGGCTCAGCCGCTCCCTGAACAGCCTGGGAGGGGAAGGCTCCGGGTCACACCCGTCCCCGGGCCCGCACCCCGCGCCCTGCACGCCTCCCGGCCCCCCTCCACCCCCTCCCGTCCCGCCCGGGCCCTCACTTCTCCTTCAGCTCCGAGAACTGCTTCTCCAAGTGCAGCATCTCGTGCACACACTCGCTGCGACGCCGCTCGTAGTCCTCATCGTCCATCTCTGCGGGAAGGGGTGGTTTAGGGGGCGGCGGGGGCGTGGGGCGGGGGTGGCGCGAGGGCGGGGGCGGGGGGCTCACCCGAGCTCTCCGACTCCGACTCCGTGGCGCTGCCGCTACGCTCGTCCTCGCTCTCGTCCTCCTCCCCGTTCACGGCCATCTCGGGGGCCGAGTCGCCCTCGGCCTCCATCTCCTCCGGGTCTTTGCTGGACGGCTGGGCGGGCATCTGGGCTCTGGCAGGGGGGCGCGGGTCTCACTCAGCCCAGCCTGCAGCTCCCCAGGGCCAAGGCGGGGGTGGGGGTGGGGGCGGGGCAGGGCGTGGGTCCCAATCCCGGGACACTGGCCAAGGCAAGGGCAATGGCCAGGGGTGGGTACCCCACTACCTAGGGGCCCAAACTTCTGCCGGGTGCGCTCAAGGGCTCCCTGCCTGGCTACTCGGATGCACCCCACCCGCTCTGGTTCTAAAGCACTCCACCTCCCACCTGGAACATTCTCGGCCCTCTTTTTTTTTTTTCCTTTTGGGTTGGGGGAGGGGGGCATACTTGGTGGCTTATTCCAGGCTCTGGACTATATGCAATGCCCCCAGACGGACGCAAAGCAAAGACCTTCCTCACTGTCCTATCTGGCTCATCACCATCTTCTCTCTGTGCCCTGGGCCAGACTCCACGACCCCGGCCCCGGGCCTGGGTGTGCCTCCCTCTTCCCAGAAGTTCGGACAAGCCCAGGCACCTCCAGCCCGCATGCCTCACCCGCAGGCACCGAAGTGCTGCTCGATGTCTGCGTCACCACCACCCTCCGTGGCCTGCAGTGCACTGGTTTCCATCTGTCTGGGCGTCGCTGGTGAGCAGCTCCCCGGGAACTAGTCTTGGCCACCGCAGCTCAAGTCCATACTCGACCAGGCGTGGGAGGAACTTGGGCGGGACCGCGGGGAGCACCCATTACTGAGCTCAGCGGTCTAAGCTGCGGCGGGCCCTGGGCAGGGGGCAGGTGTCATGGCCACTGCTGGGCACAGGTGGGGCGGCCGGATACCCGTCAGGGAGTTCACGAGTGCCTGCAGGAGAGAGGACAGGGACACAGCTCAGGGTCGGGCCGCATCTTTATCGTGCATCTCATCCAGAGCACTGCCCGGGGAACCCGGGGGCCCTCAGCATGCGGCCTGGCTGCTTGAGGATCTGAAGCCCTGAGCTGCAGGGGGGGGCTTTCTTTTTTTTTTTGGGGGGGGGTCACACCCAGCGATGCTCAGGGTTTACTCCTGGCTCTGCACTCAGGAATTACCCCTGGCGGTGGTCAGGGGACCATATGGGATGCTGGGAATCGAACCCGGGTTGGCCGCGTGCAAGGCAAACACCCTAACCGCAGTGCTATTGCTCCAGCCCGGGAGGGGGGCTTTCTGAGCTGGGTGAGTGATGCAAAGACCCCCCCATCAGAGAAGGGCGGGGCTGGGCCTAACACAGGTTGGTCAGAAGCACAAGGCTCTTCTGGCGCTGGACCAGGGGATGTGTGGAGAGTGAGCAGGCTCAGGACGGGCTGCCTGGGGCACCCAAAGGGACAGATGGGGAGGCCCCTCTCCCCCAAAAACAGAATCAGTGAGAGGCAGAGGTGGTGCCAATCCAGCTGATTCAACTGGTCACTGGAGGGAGATCATGCCAGTTGCAAAGGTAGCACTGCTCCGTAGCACTGTCCTCCCGTTGTTCATCGATTTGCTCGAGCGGGCAACAGTAATGTCTCCATTGTGAGACTTGTTGTTATTGTTTTTGGCATATCGAATACGCCACGGGGAGCTTGCCAGGATCTGCCATGCATGTGGGCGCAATACTCTCGGTAGCTTGCCAGGCTCTCTGAGAGGGGCGGAGGAATCCAACCCGGGTTGTCTGCACGCAAGGCAAATGCCCTACCCGCTGTGCTATCGCTCCAGCTGCGAAGATACCCAGTGAAAATCGATCATGATGTCGCTGGGAGAAAGGATATTAAGGCACTTGCCTTGTCCCCTCCAGACTGGTTCAATCCTGCCACCACACGAGGCCCCAAGCACTACCAGGTGTGGCCCCTGAGTACTGCTTGGTGCGGTCCCAAAACAAACAACACGGATAATGGGATGGCTGGAAACGGCTAAAAGGGGGCTTGGGCTGGAGAAACAAGGCATCCGGTAAGGCGCTTGCCTTGCATGCAACAGCCCTGGGTTCGATCTCCGGCATCCCATATCATCCCTAGGCACTGCCAGGAGTGATTCCCGAGCGCAGAGCCAAGAGTAACCCCTGAGCATCACCAGTTGTGTCCCGAAACAAAACAAAAACAAAAAAAAAGTGAGTAAGGAATTTGTCTTACATGCAGTATATCTACTGAGCCAGGGTAGCACAGCGTGGTGTGGCCCAAAACAAATTAAAAAAAAAAAAAGGCAGTGGGGGAGGGGGCAGAGTGCATGCTTAAACAGGTAACTTCTCTTTGACCCCACTCATGCCTGAACAGGCAGCAGGAAAAACGGCAGTTTGCACCCCACGGAGCATGAGGTGGGAAAGCCCAGGAAAGCCACAGGCGGGGAGAGGTAAGCCTTGGGGCTCAGGCAGACCAGCAGAGCAGGACAGCGATGGGCTTTGAGGGACAGCAGCAGTGGGAGACTGCAGCAGACCCAGGGACCAGTAAGGAAGCAGCGCGTGTGTGTCTGGTGGTGGGGTGGTCCAAAACGACCTCAGAGCTGTTAAAACATCACTGGAACTTTGCGAGTCTTGTACGCCAGGCCTTCAGACACTACTCAGGGCCCAGGAACTCAGGAACAAATTGTGATGCTTGGCCAGCTTCTCTGGATGCTGCCTTGTAGTTCAGCGTTTCTCAACCAGGGATCCCCTGACACCCAAGTGGGCTCCAGAGTAACTCAAGGAAGGGGTCACCAGTAAAAATAGCATCTGTGACCCGCCACTCGTAGTACAGGGGCCACAGAAGGGTGCAAGATGGGAAAGGGACCCAGAGTTCAGAAACGGGAGAGAAACGCTTTTATCTCTGCCCGCACCACTCTCCAAGCAGGCTGGCCTCTCACGGCCCGCTCACCCAGTGCACTGGAGGACTCTGAGATGAGCAAACACTTTTCAAGAACAATCCTTCACGGGGATTGTTTTGGCTTTTGCCTCTTCTGCTCACTCTCTCACCCAGGCTTGCAGTTGTGTGAAATAACAGGCCCAGGGACACTTTCATCACATTGCTTTGCGCTTTATGCAAAGGAAGCTTCTGCCTGAAACAGTCTGCTCTCCAAACCAGCCCGGGCCTGAGACAGTCTGCTCTGGAAAGCAGCCTCGACCTGCCCTGTCTCCATCCTCAGTTCTTATACGCCCTACCCCCCCGCCCCAAGTTTGCCAAGTGCCCGCGGCACTGTTCTGTGTGTGCCAGCATCAAACCCGGCTGCCCTGCAGGGACTTCCCCTCCGGCCCCCTCTTCCCTGCTCAATACACAGGATGACTTTTTACGATGCCCGGTAAAGTGGCGCCTTTCCAAGACAGAAAAGGAGGGTGCGGGTGGGGATGGGAGCGAGGCGTCTCCGAGCGGTCTCCAATTCCACCTGGTGGGTTCAATTTCATCACCACCTCTCCTCCTCACCCCGCGGCAAGAACCAGAGCTCCCGGGGCTCCGTAAAGACAGCAGGGGGGACCCGAGGGCGGAAAAGCGCCTAGGAAACCTCGGTGCGCTGCTATCCTGCAGGAAAATCAGATCCTCCCTCGCCAAACTCCCGGGGTCCGAGCAGCCCCGCCCCTCGCCGTGCCCCCGTGCGCCGGCGCGGCTGGGATGCTCCCAGGCCTTCCGCGGCCAGCTGCAGCCCCGAGGCCCGCAGGCACCTGGCCAGTTGCGGGGGGTCCTCTTCGTGGGCCCGGGCGGTAGGGGGGGGCTTGCCTGGCGCCAGGCGGCGATACGCACCGCGAGGAGCGTGGCCTGCGCCTTCACGTCCGAGCAGCCCCGAGCGATGCCCGAGCAGCCCCTCCGGATCGCCGTCGCCGACTCCCGGAAGCCCCGCGCCGGTCCCTCTGCTCCGGAGTGGGGGGGGTGAGTGGGTGGAGCCTGTCCGCGCTTCCGCATGCGTCATCAGCAGGCGCCCGCGGGGTCGCTCCCAATTGGACGGCCGTGGGCGAAGCCAGCTGGGATACCGCGGACCCGTCTCCATGGCAACCGGCCGGGATGTGGCGCTCTCGGGCCGCTACCCGCGGGAAAGGCGCTAAGCGGAGTCGGCAGGCGCCACAACCCCGCCCCCCCTCTCCGTCCCCGGGTTCGGAAGAGTAACGGAGCCAGCTGAAGGGTGTGAACACTGATTTATTTACAAATCGCGGGTGGTTGGCGGACAACCTCGCCCAGTACCTGCAGACTGACCCATCCCTTCTCCTGAGTCTCCGAGGGCCGGAAGTTTGGCCTTCGCTGCCCACCCCGCGCCCCCCCTGCCCAAGGTCAATGCCAGGCCTTCCTCCGAAGCTTCTCCCTATTCCTACGTTTGGCGCTCCTCCTGCCCAACGCACCCGAGATTGTTAACCAATAATAGTCACAATGGTAACAACGACAATACTGCAATAATATTAACAATACTTCACATTTGTACGAAGCTTGGGCCCCTCCTCTGAGCCTCCTGCGGTTCCGTGAGGTAGGTCAGCTCACCTCCCTTTTGAAAGACTGGGTAGCAGTCTCAGAGAGGGACCACTATTTGCTCAAGGCCACACAGCTTAGTTAGTGGTAAAGCCGGGACTGGATCCCGGTACCCCTTGATCAAGTCAGTGCTCCACGGCCGCCGCTGCCACAGTAAGGCGGGGGTGACTGTCTTACCCCAGCTGGCACCCGCTGGGGCTCGGGGAGGGAGCGGGCACTCAGCAGTGGCGCGGAGAATCCGGGTACTTGGCCAGCATCTCCTGTTTGAACTGGCGGTACAGGATCTTGTTGCGCTGATTCTCGGCCTCCTTCTGCGGGTGGAACTTCAGGGATTCCTTGAAGCCTTTATGCACCAGAAAGGCCTCGTTGAGCACTTCGAAATCGTAGCCCACCATATGCAGCTCGCAGGCCTGGGGAGGAAAGGGAAGGTCAGCAGGGCTGGACGACAGAGCCCAGACGATGTCCCCAGCCCCTAAAACACACGCTACTGTCTCCACTCTTCCCTGCCGGAAGAATGCCGGGTCTCCCCCACCCCCCGCACCCCTCCGTCCCAGGGCACCTGGCTGATGCGATTGAAGCCGTACTGCCGGAAGCGCTCGTCGAAGGCTGGCACCTTGCCCCCAGCCACGTAGAAAGGCTCCCAGGGGTCCTGCCAGGGCACCGCGTAGGCAGGTCTCAGCAGCGCCGCGTCGGGCAGGTAGGCCCAGCGGGAGTAGTTGGTGGGCGCCTGGCAGGGCGTGCACAAGCCGTTGTAAAAGGGCTGCACGTCGCCCATCGCGTAGAGCCGCAGCAGTTCGTTCTTGTTGGCGGGGATGCGGCGGGGGTTGCGGATCTCAAAGGCGGGGACCACCAGCGCGATGCCGAACCACTTCCTCTGGGTCAGCATCTCCCGCAGGCCCCGCCACAGCCCCTCGCTGGGCACCATGTCCACGTCGATCACCAGTGCGAAGTTGGCCCCCTCCCGAGCCAGATTTCTCAGCATGTTGTTGGGGTAGGAGACGTTGGTGCCCAGGGCGTAGTTGAGCCCGGGCTGGGCCACCTTGGCCAGCTTGTCATAGACCTCCTGGCAGGACCGCAGCAGGGCAAACTCGCCCGGCTCCCGGGGGTCGGGCACGGCGGCCTCGAAGCGGGAGGGACAGGCCAGGTGCAAGGCCACCCTCGAGCGCATGTCCGGGCAGTTGTTGCTCAGGGCGTAGGTCAGCACCGTGGCCAGCTGCGCCTCCTCCTTGGTGGCCGCGAACACGGCCACGGCCAACGGGCCCTCCCAGCGCTTCAACAGGCCTGACAGGTGCACCAGGTTGTCCACGCTGGCGTGCGTGGCCAGGATCACGTCGTTGGGGGCCATGCTGGTCTTCAGGAGGTTCCGGTAGACGCGGTAATCGCCGCTGGCGTCCAGCACGCCGCCAGAGGCCAGCGCGGCGCGGAACTGCGCCCTGACCTGGTCCACCGATCGCGGTGGCGGGGGGAAAAATTCAAAATACTTGTCTCGCTCCCTCTGCCCGTGCAACCCCGACAGCAGGGACAGGTACAGCAGCTGCAGCATGGCCACCAGCATCAGCGCGGCCAGCAGCAGCTGGTAGAAGGCGCACCGGATGGCGTAGGACAGCTGCATGGCTCTCGGGGCCCGGGGCGCGCAGCGGGGACCACCGGGCCGCAGCCTGCACCCACCGCGGCCAAGTAGGATTTACCGCAGCGTGCCGAGCGCAGCCGAACCGAGCCGAAGCGAGCCGAGCCCGCACGCCGCCCCGCCCCGCCCCCGCTCGCTCGCCCCCCTGCGGCCGGGAGGACCCACTGCAGCGCCGTGCGGGCCGCGCGCTCTGCACCGGGCACGCGGGTTCCCCAGCAACACGAACCCCCTCGCTCCCGGGCAGTGCGCCACCCCGGCGCGACCCCCGGCACCTAGTGCGCCCTGAGACAACTCCCTTCCCCCCCGTTGGCCTCACCCCGGGAATACGGAGAGGGAACCTCGCTGGGCTGCAGCTAGGGGAGGGATGGCGCGCGTGACCGGCAGCAGCCGGCAGAAGGAAAGCAGAAATTGCCCTTCTCGCCCGCCCCAGCCTCATCTTCCTTTGGACCCGACAAATTTCTGCAAGGAAAATGGGGTAAAGGTGGCCCGGAAGGTGCGGAGTAGATGAGAGATAAGGGATTGTGGAAGGGGGCGCTGTTCATGGGACGAGGTGGCCGAGTGGTTAAGGCGATGGACTGCTAATCCATTGTGCTTTGCACGCGTGGGTTCGAATCCCATCCTCGTCGGTTGCGTTTTACACAAGACACGCGCCTTAATTTTCCACGGGGCAGAGAACCTCACCGGGGACGGGAAGATAATTCTTCTGCTCGCCCCTCCCTCTGCTCACCGGCCACTCTTCGTACTCTGAACCTTCTCCTGGCTCGGAACTACAGTTCCCTGCAAGGGAGGCACAGAGGCACCTGGACGACCAGGACAGAACTTCCGGCGCCTGCCAAATTGGGAATGGATGGGTGATGTAGTCTGCAGGAAGCGGAGAAGCGTCCTACTTCTCCGGTGGAACCTGGGGGAGGTGGAGTTTGACATCAAATTATCATTTTATTTAATCCACTAGGATTCAACCTCTTATTGAACAACTTTATAAATCACGGTGTTTAAATTTGAAAAATTGTTATAGGGCCACATTTGGTGATGTTCTGCATTTAGGAATTAGTCTTGGAAGAGTAAAAGGAACTGTGCCTGCCACAGAGGCAGGGGACGAGGGGGGGGACCAGGTGGGGCTGGCCGGGGTGGAGGTGGCTCGGGAGGGGTGGGGTTGGGGGTGTGTGTTACTGGGAATATTGGTGGTGGAGAATGAGCACTGGTGGAGGGATTGGTACTCGGATGATTGTATGACTGAAATTTTATCTCGAAAGTTTGTAAGTTTGTAACTATGTATCTCACAGTGATTCCTTAAAAAATAAAAATAAAAAAAGGAATTAGTCTTGGCAGTACTCTGAGGACCAAATGTAGTAGTAGGTATAAAACCCGGGTCTGCTACAAGCAAGGCAAGGGCCCTACCCGCTGTACAACCTCTCCAGCCCCAATTAAAAAAAAAAAAACTTTTATTGAGTTGTCGTTGGTTTATAATATTTAAAAATAACTAAAAGGCCAGGGCTGGACCTGGGTTCAATCCCTGGCATGCCAGGAGTGATTCCTAAGTGCAGAATCAGGACTGAGCACCGCCAGGTGTGACCCCCCCCCAAAAAAAACCCCACTTGAATCACATTCATTATCATCTTTGATGAATTCGGAGAGTGTATGTTAAGTCAGATGTCCAGCTTTTTTTTGAGGCAGGATTACATGGTACAGAGGGTACACCTTTCCAAGGCCACACCCAGCGGTGCTCAGGGTTTACTCCTGAGTGCACTTGGGGATCACTCCTGGCAGGCTTGGGGGACCTATGGGGTTCCGAGGATCAAAGTCAGGTCTGCTGCATACGAGGTGGGTGCCCTCCCGACTGTTCTATTGCTCCAGCCATTTATTTTTGGCCGTGCTGAAGGTCAAACCCAGGGCCTCACACATGCAGGGTAGATGCTATGCTAGTGACCACATCCCTGATCCCTGCTTTTTTTGGGGGGATGCTGGGAATTGAACCTGGGGTGGCCGCGTGCAAGGCAAACGCCCTACCTGCTGTGTTATCACTCCAGCCCCAAATTATTCTTTTTGTGGTGTCAGGGATCAAAACCTAGGGTTTATCCATCTGTGGCCTGTGCTTCTCTGCTGCGCAATACTCCATGCAGTGGTGGTAATTCTTCTTTATTTTTATTTTTTTTCTTTCTTGCTCTTTGGGTCATACCTGGCAATGCACAGGGGTTACTCCTGGCGGGATGCTGGGAATCGAACCCTGGTCGACCGCGTGCAAGGCAAATGCCCTACCCGCTGTGCTATCTCTCCAGCCCCAAGGGTAATTCTTCAAATGATTGATAGAATTTTGTTTTGTTTTGAGGCCACCCCCAGTGGTCACTCCCGGTAGTGCTCAGGGTAGTTGGCAGAGTCAGGGATGAGCTCCAGTTTGGGGGGGTCACCTCCAAGGTCCGAAAACACAGACAGGTCAGAAATAAAAGATGGAAGAAGATATTGCCCGCTAAGGGGAAGTTGAAGGGTGGATGTACTAATCTAATCCCGACAAAAGAGACCAAGGGAAAACTCTTCAGAGGGGTGAGAGAAATAGTTCAAGGGTTCAGGCACTTACCTTGCATACATCTCACCTTCCCCCCCCCCTCATTAAAACTATTTATTTCTTGGGGCTGGAGCGACAGCGCAGTGGGTAGGGCATTTGCCTTGCATGCGGCCGACCCGGGTTCGATTCCCAGCATCCCATATGGTCCCCTGAGCACCGCCAGGAGCGATTCCTGAGTGAAGAGCCAGGAGTAGCCCCTGTGCATCGCCGGGTGTGACCCCCCCAAAAAAACTATTTATTTCTTTAATTTTGGGGGGTGGAGCCATAGCACAGCGGGTAGAGTGTTTGCCTTGCACACAGCTAACCCGAGTTCGAGTTCTCCGTCCCTCTCGGAGAGCCCGGCAAGCTACCAAGAGTATCCCGCCTGCGCGGCAGAGCCTGGCAAGTACCCGTTGGCATATTCGATATGCCAAAAACAGTAATAACAAGTCTCACAATGGAGATGTTACTGGTGCCCCCTTGAGCAAATCGATGAACAACAGGGGGCACTGCTACAGTGCAATTTTGGGGGTTAGCACACCTGGTGGTGCTCAGGGTTACTCCTGGCTCTTTCTTCACTCAGGTATGACTCCGGCAGTGCTGGGGGTCCATGCGGAGTGCTGGGGATTGAACTCTACCCATGGTACTGTCACTCCATTCCATCTTGTCCTTCCCACTTTTTTTTTCCTTTTGGGTCACACCCAGCGATGCTCAGGGGTTACTCCTGGGAGTGCTTGGGGGACCGTATGGGATGCCGGGAATTGAACTCAGGTCGGCCACGTGCAAGGCAAATGCACTACCTGCTGTGCTGTCTCTGCCCCTGCCCATTCCACCTTACCCCGCATGCAGATCCCTGGAACTGCTGGTGATCCCAAAGCACCGTTAGGGGTCAGTCCTGAGCACAGCCAGGTGAGGTCTACCACAGGTGACAAAGACACAGGGCAGGTCTGCGAGGAAGCCAATGGGAAGAAGGAAGTGGCGTCATGAGGCCGCAGCTCCACTATGGAGCCTACCCCGAGGGCTTTGGGAATTGTCAGACCAGCTCCCCCATCTCCACCCCCAGGATCCTGAACCAGTGCTCAGCTTCAGGGGTATATGTGTGTGTGTGTGTGTGTGTGTGTGTGTGTGTGTGTGTAGGGGGTGACCTTCTGGCCCCCCAGAGGTTCTGGGAAACCTAGGGAACTTTGGGATACAACAGTGTCTGAAGGTGCAGGAAAACATCGGGGTCCTCCCCACCAGTTCAGCCAGGGGATGCAGCACCTCTGGGGTCGGTGTGAGATGCTGGGGCCGGGCACTCTCTCCCGGCTGTAGATATGGCCACTGCCCTCCCCGCAGCTGCTAAATCAAAGCCTGGCTCCACCCAGCGCTCTGGGCCCAAGTGTGGGTGCTCAGCCTCTCATGGACAGACCAGCTGCCCTGCCCTGAGTCCCTGCACCTCTCCCTTCCTCCCTCCCTCCCACCCTCCCTCCCTCCCTCTCGCCTCTCTCTATGCCTCTCTCTCTCTCTCCTGTCTCAATGCCAGTGCCTCCACTCTCTCCCTCCCTCTCTTCCTTTATCCCTCTCTCTGTCTCTCCCTCCCTCTCTCCTCCCTCTTGTTTTCTCTCTCCCCCTCTCGCCCTCCCTCTCCTCTCCTCTCCTCTCTCTCTCTCCCCCCCTCTCTTTCTCCTCCCTCCACCTCTCTCTCTCTCTCTCTCTGGGGTCCACACCCAGTGGTGCTCAGGGCTTAACTCCTGCCTCTGCTCTCAGGGATCACTCCTGGGTGGCTGGGTGCGGGGGGGGGGGTGGTGATGGAGAGGGGGGACAGGGATCCACCCCCAGGTCAGCACCGTGGGCCTCTCGCTCCTCTCTCTAAGCCCCCCTTGTGGCCAGCAGCAACAGAATCTCGGGCTGCTGTGTTGTTGGTCAGCCGGCAGCCAGTCCTCGGCTCCAGAAGGGGTTCCCTAACAGACTTACCACCACCCCTGTCCTGAGCTCAGGGTCCACATCCAAACCCTGCAGGCCTTACATAGGGACTTTCACTGTCCCAGCCTCCTCTCCTCTCCCTGCTCCCCTGGGGCATCCAGCCCCTTTCAGAGGCCCCAGGTGTTTCCAGAATATTCCACGTCCTGTCTCCTGCGCTCTCTGGTATCTCTGAGTGTTTTACCTGCTCCTGGTCCTTCCCTCAAGACCCATTGAGAGGCCCCTTCTCTGAGACGCTTGCTGTGAATTCCCAGGCAGAATCGAAAGCCCCTTCTAGAATCTTCGGTTGCATATTCTGCAGGGCTGCGATACGTTCCATTCTGTTCTCCAGCACGTCGTGGGCAGACCTCCGGCCTCCTTTGCTTTAGGGTCACCAGCCCAGCCCTGGCAGCATGAGGCAGGGCGGGGAACGGTCCAGTCTTGGGGGGGGGGCCCCTCCCGGCTTCTGTTGGCCACCCGTGCCTCACTCATCTCCCCTGCCCTGGGAGAGCTCAACAGCCTTGGGCTTCTCAGTGGGGCTGGTCTGGCTTGGCAAAGGTGTGAAATAGCTGCTCAGTGAAGGCTCACTGGGGGTGGGAGGGCAGAAGTAAACTCTGCTTTATTCAGCTTTTTGTATGTTGGCTTTGGGGGTCACATCCGACAATGCTCAGGGATTACTCCTGGCTCTGTGCTCAGGAATCACTCCTGGCGGTGCTTGGTGGACCCTATGGGATGCCAGGGATCCACCCTGGGTTGGCTGTGTGCAAGCCAGTGCCCTACCTGCTGTGCTATTGCTCCAGCCCCAAAAAACCATTGCTTTAAAAATAATAAAAAATGAGGCTGGAGTGATAGCACAGCAGGTTTGCCTTGCACACGGCTGGCCCAGGTTCGATTCCCAGCATCCCATATGGTCGCCTGAGCACCGCCAGGGATAATTCCTGAGTGCAGAGTCAGGAGTGACCCCTGTGCATCGCCGGGTGTGACCCAAAAAGCAAAATAAATAAATAAAAATAATGAAAAATGGGGGGAAGGAAAAGTAAGGGGGGGTGGAACCATAGCATGTGGCAGACCCAGTTCAATCCTTAGCACCTCAGATGGTCCCTCCAGGAGGAATTCTTGAGCACAGAGCCCGGACTAGGCCCTGAGCACCACCAGATGTGGCCCCCAAACAAAACTAAACAAAGGGGGCCTGGAGAGCGCCCCAGGGCTGGAGGGCAGGCTTCCATGCCGTGGCCCGGCCTTGACCCCCAGCACCGCGTGGTCCCATCATCACCCAGAGCCACCGAGCAAGGCCAGGAGTGACCTGAGTCCTGCCAGGTGTGGCCTGATGCACCGCCCCCAGACAAAGTACATGGTGGGCATAGGCAAGATCCCACATCTAATCCCCAGCACTGCAGGTCTCCCCTTCCCCCGCCCCCGTCCCCGCTGGCTGTGGGGGTGGCCCCTAGGCTCCTGAACAATCCAGGGGCCCACTGAGTGTCGCAGGCCCAAGCACTGAGTCAGCTGGCCCCATGGATCATGGCTCATCGGGGGTGCCTGGGGCTTTCTGAGCTCTGCTTGGTAGACACCCCCCCTCCCGTGAACCCCCCCATCACAGCACTGTAGCACTGTCCTCCCATTGTTCATCGATTTGCTCAAGCGGGCCCAGTAACGTCTCCATCGTGAGACTTGTTGTTACTGTGTCTGGCATATCGAATACATCACAGGTAGCTTGCCAGGCTTTGCTGTGCAGGCGAGATACTCTCAGTAGCTTGCCGGGCTCTCTGAGAGGGGCAGAGGAACTGAACCCAGCTCGGCCGGGCTGGCTGTGCGCAAGGCAAACGCCCTACTACTGTGCTATCGCTCCAGCCCACCAGAGAGAGAGAGAGGAAAAAAAGTACCTTCTTTTCTCTGGACAGGGAAGCATGGCCACGTGCAGTGACAGGCCCCCCAGAGGACCGGCAGACAGCCATGGCCCCCTGGGGCTGCCTCCCTCTCTGAGGCTGTTTCTAAGAGGAGGTGCCCTGGGGAGGTAGTGGTGTGTGTGTGTGGGGGGGCAGCTGTCCAGCCAGGAGTCCAGCACTTGCAGGCCTGGACCCTTGGGTCATCATGGAGCTGAGAGGGTCCAGTTCAGGGCTGGACCCTGCCTCTCGGCCTCAGTCATCCCCCCTGACAAATGGGTGCAATTACCTTCCCACCAGCACATCCAGGCCAAAAGATGTCAAACAAGAAGTTCTTTGGGAAATAAAGACACAGTGGAGTCGTTGTACAAATCAGGAAGAATGTTATTAGGAATAGAGGTCACTGGAGCAATAGTAAAAAGGTGGGTAGGTACATGGCCCTGTGTCCCTGCAGGAGAGAAGCAGGAATGGGTGGGAGAGGAGCCCCTGGGGCCTGGGTCTCTCGCCTGGACCAAGAGGGCACCATGGACGCGGGTGTGTGGGGCCCAGGCCCGGCCGGGCTCTGGGAGGTGCAAACAGTCTTGGCAAAACAGAAACACCACCGAGGGCAGGGATCACCCTCAGATCTCCGCTCCCCACCTTCTCCCTGCAGCCGTGATCACCCCAGCCCAGGTTGTGGGATGCTGCCGGTCCCGCAACCCCGGGGCCTGAGGCTGGGCAGTCTTGGTGGACAGCGGCCTGGAGGCCCTGAGCGGCCAAGGTCGGCTCCATCTGGCGGAGGGTCGAGACCCCGGGGGGCTCGCCCCATAGAGCAGTGCGGACCCCCAGCGGGCAGGTCAGAGCAGCGCCTTGAAGAGGAAGGAGAGGGACGCCCCGCAGGAGAGCCCCAGGGCCAGGAAGAAGGTCATGAGCGCGCCGGCCACCTCCCTCTCGTGCGGGAGCACCTGCCTGCAACACAGGGAGGAGCTGAGCGCGCCCCCGCCCCGGCCCCCGCCCCGGCCCCCGCCCCGCCCCGTCCCCATCGCCACCCACCTGGGCGCCAGGCACATGGTGAGGGACACCAGGTAGCCATTGGACACGGCGAAGAGCAGCATGAAGGTGATGAAGTAGGCGTCCTGCGGGAAGAGCACGGGCAGCCGCGAGCGCTCGGGCACGTGGCACAGCATGAAGAGCGGCACGAAGAGGACGCGCAGACACACCAGCAGCGGCAGCAGGCGGCTGTCCTCGTCGGGCTGCGGCGGGTGGAGGCGGGCCCTGGTCACCGCCCGCCGCTCTCCACCCCCTTGGCCCGCTCAGGGCGGGCGCGATTGGCCATTCTCAAACTGGGTTCCTCCCGGCACCCCTGGCGGGCACCCCTGGCGTTCTTTGGGCCCCTGGGGGTGGCTGGGGGGATGAAGGGCTAGGTTGACATCTGAGTGGCTTCTCTTTGCTCAGTTTTGTTGTTGTTTTTGTTTTGTTTTGTTTTGTTTTTTTTTGCTTTTTAGGTCACACCCGGCAATGCACAGGGGTTACTCCTGGCTTTGCACTCAGGAATCACCCCTGGCAGTGCTCAGGGGACCATATGGGATGCTGGGAATTGAACCTGGGTTGGCCGCGTGCAAGGCAAACGCCCTATCCGCTGTGCTATTGCTCTAGCCCCTGTTTTTTTTTTTTTTTGTTTTGGGAGTGCTCAGAGGTTACTCCTGGCCTTATTATTTTATTTTATTTTTTGCTTTTTGGGTCACACCCAGCGATGCGCAGGGGTTCCTCCTGGCTCATGCACTCAGGAATTACTCCTGGCGGTGCCCTGGGGGACCCTATGTGGGATGCTGGGAATTGAACCCGGGTCAGCCATGTGCAAGGCAAGTGCTCTACCCGTTGTGGTATCACTCCAGCCCCAACTCCTGGCTTTAAATTCGGGAATTACCATCTGGGAAATATAAAGTAACAAAATAGAAGACTAACACCCAAGAATAGCTGAGATAAGTACCAAGAGTTTCACTCCATGGCTTGAAGGGCAGCCGCACATGCTAGGGGAAAAGGCAGCTCAGATAGAGAAGGGAGCACCAAATAAAGGGTGTTGGGAGGATCCTCCCAGGATGGGAGATGCATGCTGAAAGTAGACTACAGAAGACTGAACATGATTGCCACTCAATGCCTCTTTTGCAAACCACAGCACCCAAAAGGAGAGAGAGAGAAAAAAAGGGAATGCCTGCCACAGAGGTGGGGTGGGATGGGGGGTAGGGGGATGGGAGGGATACTGGGATCACTGGTGGTGGAGAATGGGCACTGGTGGAAGGATGGGTACTCGATCATTGTATAACTGAAACCCAAGCACAAATATTTGTAAGTCTACAACTGTACCTTATGGCGTTTCACTAATAAAAATTAAAATAAATAAATAAATTCAGGAATTACTCTTGGCGGTGCCCGGAGGACCCTATGGGATGCTGGGAATCGAACCTGGGTCAGCCGTATGCAAGGCCCTACCTGTTGTGCTATTGCTCCAGCCCCAACTCCTGGCTTTAAATTCAGGAATTACTCCTTGCGGTGCTCGATCAAACCCCCTTCCTGCCCTTTCACACCCTCAACTCCCCCAAATGCTCCCTCCAGCAGCCAGGGGACCTCCAGTCCCAGTGCTCACCCACAGGAAGTAGGAGGTGAGGCTCCGGCCCAGCCAGTCCATGACGTTGAAGAGCAGGAAACAGCAGATAGGGTTGAAGAACTGACCTGGCCAAGAGATGGGTGGGGGGTGTCCATCTGGGGTCCTGCTCCCCCACTCGCCGCTGGGCCCGGCCCCCACTGCTCCCCTGAGACCTCCCACTCACTCCACTTCCCGGGGCTGGTGGAGCTGGTCACCATGGCGGTGATGGCCGGGAAGACAGACAGAGTGACTGTGAAGACCAGCACCAAGCACAGAGCTGTCAGCCAGATCTGGAGGCAAAGGAAAGATGAGCTCAGGGGAAGCCCCTGGCCCGGTCCGGGGGGGCTGGGGGCACTCTAGCCAGACCCCACCTTGCGGAAGACCAGGATGACGGATGGTTTTCCCGGCTTCTCCGGCTCCTGGGGCTCCAGCTCGGGCTCCTTGTCAAGGTCCAGAGTTAGGACCGCCTTGTGGGGGCTGCCGGGAATCCCGTTCTTCTCATCTGGCCAAGAGGAGGGTAGGGTGAGGCTGGGAGGGGCACCGGCCAGGAGGCACTGAGGCAAATGGGGACTTTTGTTTTTGTTTTGGGGCCCGGGATGCTCAGGAGTTACTTCTGGCCCTGCACTCGGGAATCACTCCTGGCAGTGCTTAGGGATTGAGCACAGGTGGGCGCAGTGGAAGGCAAGCTCCTAACCCACCGTGCTATCATTACGGCCCTGTTTGGTTTTGGTTTTGGAGATGCTCAGGCATCACTCCTGGCAGGCTCAGGGGACCACCCGGGATGCCGCGATCGAACCCAGTAGGCCTCATGCAAGGCAAACGCCCTCCCATTCTTGTCACTCTAGCCCTGGGAAATCTGTCTGCTACTGTCTGTTCAGCAGCTCCCTGCCTGGCCAGAGGTGAGCCCCTGCGGGCGGGCTCCCTGCCCGGCCTTACAGACAGAGAAACAAAGCTCAGAGAGGTTTGGTGTCTTGCCTCGGGTCACACAGCCTGGATGCTGTGAAGTGAAGTGCAGACTCAGATACACAAGATTGAGAACTCACAGGCACGGATGCTCTGCTGTCACAGAGGAGGAAACTGAGGCCCTGGGGAGGGCAGGGAGGATGGTTCCTTTCGTTTTGTTTTGTGGTGTTAGGACAGAACCTGGGACCTCACAAGGTGAGCACTTTGCGGACGAGTGCACCCCCCAGGAATGGTCCTGCTCCTTCCCTCAGGCCTTCTGTCTCTGTCCCATGAAGCTATGGGGCACAAAGGGGCTGGGACGGTGTGTGTGTGTGTGTGTGTGTGTGTATTTGTGTGTGTGCCATGATGGTGTGTGTGTGTGTGTGTGTGTGTGTGTGTGTGCGCCATGATGGGTGTGTGTGTGTGTATGTGCCATGAAGGGGTGTGTGTGTGCGTGCGCCATGATGGGTGTGTGTGTGTGTGTGCCATGACAGTGTGTGTGTGTGTATGTGTGATGATGGTGTGTGTGTGTGTGTGTGTGTGTGTGTGTGTGTGTGTCCTGCAGGGTCCCCAGCTTACCTGGCTGGAGAAGCTCCGCTCTGGTCTCCAGTTCCTGCCCTTGGGCCTGCGCCGGCGTCCTGGCCAGGTAATAGCGAGCAAATTCCTGCCGAAGGGAAGTGGCCGGACCTGCCTGTCTTGGAGCAGGTTTCTGGACGCCCCCCCTCCACCCTTCAGACCACTGCCTGGGAGGCCGGGGTCCACCAGGGTCGCATCCTTCAGGAATCAGACCCCCTGGGCCCCGCGGGACTCAGGGCTGCCTGGGGGGGCTCACCAGGTGGGGCAGGCTCAGGTAACACACGATGGACAGCAGGATGCCCACGCAGGGGGTGACGAAGTAGGCCAGCGCCGAGGTCTGTGCGTCCACACCACCTGCACGCAGACGGCTGGTCCCACGGTGCCCCCCACCCCGGTGTACCGCCCAGACTCTCCCTGCAGCCCCCCACCTCGAAACAGCCCTCACTCCACTCGCTCCTCCCACTGGCTGCTTTTGCAGGGTCACCCGCTACTTGCCAGAACTTTCTCTGACGGAGGAGGAAGCACCCATCAGGGCCGAGGTGGGGGCAGCAGACCCAGAGGTTTAGGGTCTGTTTAGATGCACCCCCGGGCCCCTAGCTAGGGGGCAGCAGGACTGGAGACCCCACCCCGGCCCCCACCCCAGGCCTAGCTCCCCCTCGGCCCCCCTAGAGTCTCACCCCCAGGACACTGCCCCCCCTAGAACCCCAGCCCCCGACGTCCACTCACTGGCCATGGACAGAAGCATGGCGAGGGCGGCGAAGATGCCAGCCAGGCCCTGGCCGCTGAGGAAGAGGGTGCTGTAGGTGGAAGGCATGGTGCCCAGCTGCCCGAAGAGGCCGCCCTGCAGGATGGCGCAGAAAGCTGCGGGCAGTGGCCGCTGTTTAGGCAGGCAGCTCCGCAGGCTCATGGCCAGGCAGGGCAGGTATGGGACGAGGCCCCAACCCCCCACCACAGGGTCACCTCCCCCCCCTTCAGTTTACCCAGGGGGCTTGGCAGGGCCTGTCTGGGGCGGTCCCCTCCCCCGGGGTGCGGCACTCACAGTTGATGAACCAGACGCAGGCCATGGTGATGGAGAAGAAGGGGCCGGGGCTCATGTCCACCTTCACCAAGGCCGCGGTCAGGGCGAAGAGGAACAGGATGGCCAGCAGGCTGCCCAGGATCCGCACCGTCTCGGGGACGCTGCCCAGGAGAGGGGCCGTGGGGCGAGCTGCGGCCAGGGCGGCGCAGTGGGACGGGGACACGCGGTTGTCCCCCCTCCCCACGGCCCAGGAGCCCGGCCACTCACCACTGGTACAGGAAGGAGTTGAGCAGAGTGAAGAGCAGCAGAGGCAGCTGGGACAGCAGCGTCACCCAGTTATTGAAGTTGAAGGCGTCTGCGGGGCCTGTGTGGTTGGTGCCCAGGCTTCCGGAGGTGATGTTGGCCCCCGCCAGCCGCCCCTGGAAGTACTGCCAAGATGCCGGGATAAGGAGGGACGGGGCCGCCCTAAGAACCTGCCGCCACCCTCCCCCAGCCCCCTGTGCCTTGGGGACTCTTCAGGGACCTCCCGCCAGCTCCCAGCTCTGTCCCTGTTCTGGCCCCAGCACCCAGTGACAGAGTAGTCATCCCTGCGGGTGCAAACGTGGGCACAGCCCAGCCGCATGGTCCCCGGCTGGGGCACCTCCCGCCCCACTCCTAGGAATTGGGATGTGGCTTGAGGCTGAAGCCCAGAGGCTGCCTGCCCTCCCTCCCCACTGTCCCTGGCTCCCTATTCCTGCAGGGGGCACTTGGGGGGGTGTCTGGAGTTGACCCCCCACTGCATTTTGCGCCCACCAACTCCCAAGAAGTTCAGGCTCCGGCTCTTTCTTTTTTCCCGGGTTTTTGGGCCACACCCAGCAGTGCTCAGGGATTACTCCCAGCTCTGCGCTCAGGCCCTGGTGGTGCCTTTGGGGGGGGTGGGGGCGCGTGGGATGCCAGGGATCGAACCCGGGCCGGCTAGGTCTCTGGCCCTCAGTCTGGGTCTTTCTCTGACCCTCTCCTGCTCCTGGCCCATGCCTGGGCTGCTCGCCCGCCTGTCCCCCTGCACGCCCCTCCAGGACCCTGGGGCTCTGCTCCCGGCTGGGGACGGCCAGCCGGTGGCTCTTCCGGCTGCCAGTGGCTCTCAGGGACCCCTCTCCCTCTCAAGACCCCCCCGCCAATCTCTATAGGGTCTCCAGGGCTCAGCAACACAGCTGGGCATGGAAGGTTCCAGAACCCCGTGGCCCGGAGACCACGAACGCCAGCCACATGTTTGCCTTTCCTGCTGGACCTGGGTGACAAGGACCCTGCCGGTGCGCGGGGCGGTGGCCGGGAGACATTCGGGAGATAAAAAACGCGAGGCGGGAGGAAACCCCTTAGGGCGACGGATCCCGGGCTGACCAGGGCCCGCGGGGGGCCGGGGGGCAGCTGCTCCGCGCGGTCCCGCTGGCTGTCGCCGAGCGGGTGGCCCGGAGGGGAGGCCGGAGCGAGGCGGCGCCGCCCCCCGGGCGCGGCGGGCGGGCGGGCGGGGACAGGGCGGGTGGCGGCGGGCCTCACCGGGATGGCGGTGATGAAGAAGTTCCAGGGCAGCAGCGTGCCCAGCCCCAGGATGAAGAAGCTGATCCCGACCAGGTGGTAGCTGCGGGGAGCAGGCGAAGGTCACCCCCAGGCCGGCCGCGCGCCCCCCGCGCCCCGCGCCCCGCGCCCCGACTCGCCTGTCGTGCGGGGCGTCTCCTCGCGCCATCGCCGCCCGGCCGCGCGTCCGGGCGGGCACGGCGGGCACGGCGGGCACCGGGCGGGCACCGAGCCCCCGCGGCTGCGGCGGCCGGGCTCAGGCTCCGCAGGCGGCGAGCGCGGCTCCGCCCCCGGGGCGGGGACTCGGGGTCGCCCCCCGCCCCCCGCGCGCCGGCTCGGGACCGGCCCGGGGCCTCCCAGCGGGTCCCCGCGGTCCCCGCGGCGGGCGGAAGCGGTGGCGCCCGAGCCCCCAGGCTGGCGCCGGAGCCCCCCGGACGGGGGAGGCGCTGGGGGCGGTGGCAGGGGCGGCCCGGGGAGGGGCGTCCGGGAGGGCGACCCGGTGTCGGCGAGGCCCAGGGGCGCGCGGAGCTGCTGGGCGGGGGGGCGGCGCTGAGCCAAGGCTCGGGAGGAAACGGTGACAAAGGGTGACCGGGAGGCCAGCAGGACCCCCCTCCCCGCCCTCCGGCTGCAGCGTCGCCGCTTCGACCCCCCCGCCCCGCCCCGCCGCGCCCACCCCTGGCGGGAAGCCGTTATCCGGCGGCCGGGCCGCGGGTGCGCCCGAAGCCCAATATTTCCCGGCGCTGGGTCCGCTCGCGTCGCGGTGCCAACCGGGAATGCGGGAGACTTTTCCCAACGCCACGCACGGCCTGCCCGAGTCCTGCCCGCAGCCGCCGTGGAGAAGGGCGGGCCGGGGTGGGGGGTTGCATTGACCTATAGAGGAGGGGCTCTAGGGGGACCCCCATTCCCTCGCGGGGACAGGGCGAGTTGCTCTGGGGACCCTCTCAGCCCGCAGCCTGCCTCAGCTGCGTCAAGCCTGCTGCAACAATAGCGCAGATGTGCCTTATTGCGGGATTTGGAGCCGCGTTCGGAGGGGCTGGAGCGGGGGGAGGGGGGGTGGGGGGGAAGGGTGGGCTCAGCGCCCCGCCTCCTGCACGCAAGCCGGCGCGGCAACCCTCGCAGCCCGAGCCAAGACACTAGTTTATTTATAACTAGTGTCTTTTTTTTTCCTGGCTGCTCATGCGAGTTTGCAAAGGGCATACTTTTCCTTGATAAACGAGTGTCTGATTAAAGGATGGGGCCAGAGCAGCAGGAGAGCTGGTGGGGGGCACTTGCCGGGCACGTGGCTGAGCTGAATGGGATCCCCGACATCCCCTAAGGTCCCCTGAGCCCCCCAGGAGTGATCCTTGAGTGCAGAGACAGGAGTAAGCCCTGAGCATCAGCGGGATGTGACCCCACACCAAAAAAAAAAAAAGAGTTTATGACTATTCCATCAAATTAAATACAAAGAATAAAAAAGTCAGATAAGTAGGTGTCATGTATTTACATCAAAAATAAATGTGAGGGGCTGGAGCAATAGCATAGCGGATAGGGCGTTTGCCTTGCTCGCAGACGACCCTGGTTCGATTCCCAGCAGCCCCTATGGTCCCCCGAGCACCCCCAGGAGTGATTCCTGAGTGCAAAGCCAGGAGTAACCCCTGAGCATCGCTGGGTGTGATCCGAAAAGCAAAAAAAAAGTGAATATGATTTTAATATAAATGAATGTAATTATAGCACAGCGGTAGGGCGTTTGCCTTGCACGCAGCCAACATGGCCTACCCAAGTTCGATTCCTCCGCCCCTCTCGGAGAGCCCGGCAAGCTACCGAGAGCATCTCGCCCGCACGGCAGAGCCTGGCAAGTTCCCCGTGACGTATTCGATATGCCAGACACAGTAACAACAAAGTCTCCAATGGAGACGTTACTGGGCCCGCTCGAGCAAATTGATGAACAACGGGAGGACAGTGACAGTGACAGTGAATGTAGTTATGAAAAACTGTGGTGGAAAGGAAGTGGGACCCCTTGTCCGGCCTCCCAGCAGCACAGGGAAAGATGGGAGCCCCTGAGCTTTGGGGAACACTTCCTTGGTAGAGGAAGGGGGAGACTTCAGGGAGAGGGCTGGAGAGATCGTGCAAAATTTAGGCGCTTGTCTTGTACAGTGCTGACCCGGCTTCATTCCTCAGCATCACACAGGGGGCCCTGAGCATTGCCAGAAGTGACCCCTGAGCACAGAGCCAGGAGTAAGCCCTGCGCACTCCCAGATGTATTTAGGGAGAGAGAGTCAGGGAGAGAACTGGCTGTACCAAGACCAGCATGGTGGTGTAGCTGCTCTGTTCCATCTGGCCCGTCCAAATAATCAGCCCAGAGGCTGGGATAGGTCAAGCTGCAGTGGGAGGAGCTTGGGTTTCACTCTAATGGGCACTCCCAGACTCACTCAACCTTTTTTTTGGGGGGGTCACACCCGGCAATGCACAGGGGTTACTCCTGGCTCATGCACTCAGGAATTACTCCTGGCGGTGCTCAGGGGACCATATGGGATGCTGGGAATCGAACCCGGGTTGGCCGCGTGCAAGGCAAACGCCCTACCTGCTGTGCTATCACCCCAGCCCCCTGACTCATCCTTTTAATAAATATTTTGTGTGATCCTCTGGTTGATTCCATAGAACTAAAACCTCCAGCTACCCCTGCCTAAAGCTAGGAGGCTTTACTATAATCACATGACACAGATTAAAGAAAGAAAAGTGTCTGGGGCCAGAGCAGCAGGACAGCTGGGGTGGGTTGGGGGGTGTGGGCACTTGCCTAGCACTTGGGTGACCTGGATTGGATCCCAGCACTCCATATGGTCCCTTGAGCCCTCCAGGAGTGATCCTTGAGTGCAGAGCCTGGAGTAAGCCCTGAGCATCAGCGGGATGTGGCCCCCACCCAAAAAAAAAAAAAAAAGAAGAAGAAGAAGGAGGAGGAGAAGGAGGAGGAGGAGAATTAGAAGAGGAAAAGAAGAAGAAGAAGAAGAAGAAGAAGAAGAAGAAGAAGAAGAAGAAGAAGAAGAAGAAGAAGAAGAAGAAGAAGAAGAAGAAGGAGGAGGAGGAGGAGGAGGGAGAGGAGGAGGAGAATTAGAAGAAGAAGAAGAAGAAGAAGAAGAAGAAGAAGAAGAAGAAGAAGAAGAAGAAGAAGAAGAAGAAGAAGAAGAAATAGTGATGTTTTGTGATAAAATGTGTCGTGATATTCGACTGCATGGGTGAGGAACATGACCTGGCCCAGCCCCTCATTAAAACCCACAGCAGCTGTGACCCCTCCATCCCTCCCTGCAGACACTAGTTTTCCCTTGGTGATGGAATTGGACAAGTGGTGACCAAGTCATGATACAATTCCAGGACAGCACAGCCATGCAGCTGTCCCTTAGCAGCCAGCAGACGTCGTTCTGCGGGGTCATTATATGCAAACCTGACCAAATTCACGCTGCATGTTATTGGCTGGGCTTAGAACATTTACGTGGTTTCCAAAATATAAATAAGGCTGTTTTTAGGATAGCTTTAGGCTTAAAGGATAGTTGAGTCAACTTTATATCTATAATGTTTACATATATTTGCCTCTTTTGATCACACGGCCCCCAGACTCACTACTGCATCTATTGGTGTGTTATATCAGTTCTAACTCCTGAAATGAGAGTGATATATTACTATTAACTATATATTAGGTCTACAGCTTCCATTATGGTTTACTCTATATTTTAGTCTATGGTTTTTGATAAATACCTAATGCTAAGAGGCTACTTATTACAGTTTAATACAGATTTATATTCCTTCCCCTGCCCCCAGCAGGGGTTGAATGAACCATAAGAGGTTCTTCGGGGCTGGAGCGATAGCACAGCCGGGAGGGCGTTTGCCTTGCACGCAGCCAACATGGCTGACCCGGGCTCGATTCCCAGCATCCCATATGGTCCCCCGAGCACCACCAGGAGTGATTCCTGAGAGCATGAGTCAGGAGTAACCCCTGAGCATCGCCGGGTGTGACCAAAAAAGCCAAAAAAAAAAAAAAAAGAAAAAAAGAGGTTCTTCATACGCGCAGGCTGAGGGCTTCTTCATTTGTTCTGTGTTTGGGGGTGGAGGGGTGGTAGCTGAGCCACACTTTGCTGGTGCTCAGTGGACCATGGAGCTGCACCGAAGCCGAGTTATTCTGCCACGGAAGTTGCCTCCCTTGGCCCCTGTGCCCCCACCCTGTCCTGGGCCCCTCCAATGAGCCCTTGCAGCTGCTGTTCTTTGCACCGTGAACACAGCCGTGGCTGTCCTGAGACGTCGTAGAGTTAAATCATCTAGCGCGGGGATTCAGGCCTGGCTTCTCTCATTGCGCTTTTTCCTTCTAAATCATTCTGGTTTATGTCACCTAGTGACACGACAGTGTGGATATTTATGGTTTTGATGTACACAGATGCTGTGATCGCCCCCTGAGGTTCTCAGACCCTCTTCTCCACCCTGATGTTATTTCCTGGCCACCTCATCGGCCCCCCCCCGACCCCTCCCACCCTAACTGGACATTCTTGGACCATGGCCTGGTCATTGGTATGGCTTATTCTCTTATTTTATTTTTTCTATATATACCTCAAGTGAGTGAGATTATGTATGTGTATGTATATATGTGTATATATATACATATGTGTACACATATGTGTATATACATGTGTATATATGTGTATATATGTATACACGGGCTGGAACGATAGCACAGCGATAGGGCGTTTGCCTTGCACGCAGCCAACATGGCCGACCCGAGTTCGATTCCTCCGCCCCTCTCGGAGAGCCCGGCAAGCTACCGAGAGTATCTCGCCTGAACGGCAGAGCCTGGCAAGCTCCCTGTGACGTATTCGATATGCCAAACACAGTAACAACAAAGTCTCCAATGGAGACATTACTGGGCCCGCTCGAGCAAATCAATGAACAACGGGAGAACAGTGACAGTGACAGTGACAGTGAAATATGTATACACATATACATATGTGTGTATGTATATGTATATGCATAGATATGTATACAAATATTATGTGCATATATATATTTATATGTTTTTGGTTTTGGGTCACACCAGTAGTGCTCAAGGCTTATTCATGGCTCTGTGCTCATGGATCACTCCCAGTGGGGCTTAGGGGACTATATAGGGTGCCAGGAATTAAATCTAGTCAACAACATGCGAGGCAGGCGCCCTACCCCCTATGCTATTGCTTTAGCTGCAAGAGTATCTTTTCTTATGGCTGTGTAGTATTCCACTGTGTATATGTGTGTCTATGTCCCACTGTCTTTACCCACTTGTCTGT